TTCAAACCCTAGCCCTATATAAAAACCAATAAATAAAATTGTAGTCTGTCTGAGGAAGGGACACGTGACCAGAGCATTTGGGAAAGATGATCTTAGGTGGAACAAGCAGGACAGACACTTCTTCAGGCCATTAGACCCCTACACTGCTGAGCAGCACAGGAGATTTTTCTCTCCAGGTTTTCCATAGCAGCTAAGGCTGGTCAAGTAGATGCAGGTGTTCTGTGCTAGGGGGCTCTGTGCTGCTCTTGGTGCTGCTTGGGTCTTTGCTGGAAGGGATTTGGAACTATTATTATTTCCCAGTTGTCCTGGGGGTGACAGAGAAGGAGCAGGAAGGTGCCTGGCTGCATGACTTGGAGGCGGTGACCCAGCTCCCTGCCTCACATACTCCTCTGCTCCAACGGCCAAAAGCCAACTTCATCGCAAGGTAGGATTTGGGGTGCTTGAAAACATTAAAATTTAACCATATCTTATTGACATAGTCTCTTAATTACATTGTTCACTGGGCTAACTTCATTCCTGATTGGTCATAAAGTTCCATTTTTTTTCTCATTGAGAAATTTCTTTTCAGATATATATTTTTGTAAAGTGGTTTGCTTTTACTGCAATATAAAAGCAATTATTGTTTTTATTGTTTTAAAATTTTTAACCTAAAAATTTTAGATTTAGCCATGTTGTTTTTTTTCATAGCACCTATATTTGTGATTCCTTTTATTACTATTTTTATAACGGGTTTTTAAAAATATATTTATTTATTTATTCATGAGAGACAGAGACAGTGAGAGACACAGGTAAAGGGAGAAGCAGGCTCCACGCGGGGAGCCTGATGTGGGACTTGATCCCAGGACTCCGGGATCACACCCTGAGCCGAACGCAGATGCTCAACAGCTGAGCCACCCAAGCATCCCAATTCCTTTTATTATTTAATGATATTGGTTTTCCATTTATTTATTTTTTTTAAGATTTTATTTATTTATTCATGAGAGACACACAGAGAGAGAGGCAGAGACACAAGCAGAGGGAGAAGCAGGCTTCATGCAGGGAGCCTGACCTGGGACTTGATCCCACGTCTCCAGGATCATGTCCCGGGCTGAAGGCGGTACTAAACCACTAAGCCACCGGGGCAGCCCTGGTTTTCCATTTATAAATAAAATATTATATAAGTCTGTTTAAGTATGAGTCAGCTTAAAGAAAAATTTTATCTAATAATATTGGTGATATTAGGATAATGGCAGAAATTATGATAGTGGTGTCCAAATGATGGCAGGTGGCTGGTCTATAAGCAATAACACTGTTGTTTATTACTGTTATTGAGCATTCATTCTGCCAGCATCAATGCTATTGACATAGTCTGTAGTGCTGTCCAATAGAATCGATGATAATAGAAATGCCCTGTATCTGCACTATCCAAGCCACATGTGGCTATTGAATCCTTGAAATGTGGCTAGAAAGACTGAAGAATTGAATCTTTCTTTTATTTTAATTAATTTAAATGTTTGTGTCTTTACCATATTAAACAGAACAAATCTAAGGAGTTTGAATTTAGTATTTTATAAAACCTTTACAACATCTATGAGTAAGTATTATTATTGTCATCTTTGCTGATGCAGAGATTTGGAAACTTGAGAGGTACCTGAGGTCACACAATTAATAGGAAGCAGAGGCAGGATCTGAACCCAGACCCACTGGACTTCAGAAGAGGTGCTCTTGGTCACTTCCCACAGAAAAATAGAGCCCAAAGAATTCTGTCAGTAGTTGAATTGTACTTAACCAAGTGTGATGCTAAACCTGGTAGACTTGGGTATTTCTATTACTGGAGTGATTTGTTCTATCATGGGATAGGCTTGAGGTGTCATGCAGGATGACTGGCATGACTATTGGCTCTCTAGTGGAACTGAGGTGTGACTGAGAGTGAGACATGTCCACATTGAAGGCTAATCCTGATGAGGCCCCAGATGAATAGTGGCCGCCAATGCTCCTTAAGGGCAGGGCCATTTCCTTCACCCCAGTGCCCCTAGCACTAACCTCATGGCTCTACAGAACATTGCTCAATGTCTAACAGATGATAGAAGTTCAGAGCACAGTAATCATCATTTAAGCCAACATAGCACTGTGGCTGGTTCCACCTAAACTCATGACACAAATATCAGGTAGGCCCTCATATTCTCTGGTAATATGAAACACATCTCAAATATGTTCACTCTCTGATGATTTCACACTTTTTTTCAAATGTCCGACACCCTTTTCCCACTTTTCACCCTAGACTATTGATTTTGTGTAGTAAACCTATACTGGCTTTTGGTTCTCTGGAATCTGAGCCTATTTGTAATCCCCCATTGTGCAGGTCTTGGTGAAAAGCAAGGAAAATATAAGGGTCAAAGAGACACACTCTCACCTGTCCCCAAGACTTGGGCTCAAGCATAGACCTAAGGTTGGCCAAACTGGAGCTCCCAACTAGGACTCTGACTTCTGAGCCAGTGATACCAAGACCCAGGGCTTTTTAGAGGCAATGCACAGTGGTGGTCATCACAGAGTGGTCCTGTGCTGGCAAGCCTATAGGAGGGGTATTCACCAGACTGTTCCTGTTGGTTCTAGTCTTATGACATATGAAGATGACTTCTCAATTTTTATGTATAACTTTTATTTCTTTGCTGAGCTCCAAACTTGTATATTCAGCTGCTTATTTGATAGTTCCACTTGGACATGTATAATGCAATGATATAGAAGAAATATATTTGGTCATTCAGATGACCAGAATATACTTCTCAGATACATTTGGTCTTCATCCACAGTTCCTGAAAACACCTCAGAGCCCTAAAAGTGAAAAAGTCTTGTTATTAACATTTATCATAGCCTTTAACAAATTGATAACTGTGTTTTCCTGAGTTCCTTGACCTGCTGCTATAGCAAATTAATCAAATCTAAGGTGGAGGTCATTGGTACCTTGGGCTAGTGACTAACACCTGCACTGGGAGGTCAGGGGGCAGTCTTAACAGAACTGTACCTTTAACCTATGGATTCTGATACTATCTTTGGGTAGATAGTATCAGAATTGCTTGGTGTTATGCATGTGGCACCTTCCCACTGCCCTGCTGACATCGGACTTGAATCTGGGAACCCTAAAAGAACATGTAATATGCATTTCAGATATTACAAGACTAAAACAAAACTTTTCATCTTCTTAACAAAACTTTTTACTTCCCTGGTCTTTCCTATCCTAGTAGATAGCACCACCATCCACCCAGCTGATCAAATCAAAAACCTTTGGGTCATTCTCGATTTCTTTTTCCTTGTAAATGTTCACATCCAATTGTGCAGGAGTCTTTCAAAATATACCCTAGTCTGATTGCAAACTTGATAGCACCTGGACTTTGGCAGTAATCTCTGTGGTATCCCCTCCCGCTCAGCAAAGATGTCTATGTTCCAATACTGGGAATCTGAATATGTGATCTTACATGTTTAAAGGACTTTGCAGATGTGATTAAAGTAAGGATCTTGAGATGGGGGAGATTATCTAGAAAGGCCCAGTGAAGTCACAAGGTCCATATAAGAGGAAAGCAGTAGGATCAGAGTAAGTAGTAGAAGATGTACTGGAAGTAAGAGGCTGTAAGGATGCAAAGAAGAGGCCACAAGCCAAGGAATGAAGGTGGCTTCTGGTAGGACAATGAAACAGATTCTACCCTGAAGCTTCCAGACACAGTGCAACCCTACAGACACATTGATTTTAGCTTTCTGACCTCCAGCCGTGTAAAAGAACAAAGTCATGTTGTTTTAAGGCATTAGGTTTGTGGTGATTAGCAATAGGAAGCTAATACAGCCCTCTGTTTGGTCTCCCCATTTCCTGCCTTGTCATTCTACAGTGCATTCTCCACACCACAGATGGAGGGGGGACGGCTTTTAAAATGTAAATTAGATTGGTCACTGTCCTCTTTAAAACTTCCTTAACAAGAAGCTTCTGTTTGTGTTTGGAACAAAATCCTAATTTACCATGGCTGTAGGCCCTTTATGGGCTGGTCACCTGCTCTCTCTCCAAGCTCTCCATAGTCCTTCATTCCTCCATGTGGACCTAGGGAAGATGGTTTCCTCTTCTGGGCCTTTGTTCTAGCCATTGCCTGTCCCCGGATCTTTGAATGGCTGGTCCTTCTAGCTTTTGGCTCCAAGTTCTCTTCTAAGAGATTTCCCTGACCCCAACCTCTCACTTGTATCACCTTGTTGTTTTCACAGCACTCATCCTTATCTCAAGTTATTCCTACTTCCTGCCTTTTCCTTTAACCCAAGTTCCAGGAAACCAGGGAACTTCACTTATCCTGCTGTATCCCCAACTCCTACCACAGTGTCTGTGCCCAGGCAAAGAGGCCCTCAGTAAAAACCCCTTGCATGATTAAATGCTTGACTTCACAGATCTAGGGTTCAAGTTGGCTACTGGCAGAGCGGGGCCTGGGATGCTGGTCTCCCGTCTGAATCCAGAGATGAAGCTAAGTCTGGGCTCCCGTCCCTCTTGCTAGAGCTGGGGTCGGCCTTTACTTAGAGTACCTAGCCTGGTCAGAGTAGATAGAGGGAGGAGTTAGAGGACAGCCTTGGGAACTTACAGTGATAAAGCAAACAACAATGATAACAAAGAGAGCTAATGCTTTTCGAGCACTTTCTTCGTGCCAGGCCCCATTCCAGGTGGCAAATTCACTTCCTCTTCACAACCACGCTGTGAGTTGGATCCGGTTATTACAAGCTGCGGAGACGGAAGCGCTGAGCTGTTTAGGTAATTTACCCAACACTCAGCTGAATGTACAAAACGATAGGTCTCCATCAAAGCCATCTTTCGCACTCCGTCGCTCCCTCACGCTGACCTGGGTGGGAGAGCGCCCAGCCGCTGAAGTCCCAGACGGCCCGAGGCCCCGGTGGCCGGTTCCGCTCCCGGGAAGGAGGCGGCGTCCCAGAGCGCAGGCGCGGGCGGAGCGCGACGAGAGGGCGGAGGCAGGGATTGGTGGGAGAGCGTGGAAATCTAACAGCGGAAGTCCCGCCCGGCTGCGGCGAAGCTTCCGGCTCCGGGCGCTGGAGCCTTATGCTGACGCCTGGGAGCTAGCGGCGCCGGGATGGTGCTGCTGGAGAGCGAGCAGGTAAAGCCAGAGCTGGCCGGCTGAGGGACGGATGTAGTTCGGGGCTTAGCTGGGGGCCTCTGCCTCCTGCCGCGGGAGGGAGTGGGACTTGACGAGGATTCAGGGCTGCCTAACGGGGCCCGGCTTCCGTTCCAGTTCCTGACGGAGCTGACCAGACTCTTCCAGAAGTGCCGGTTGTCGGGCAGCGTGTTCATCACCCTGAAGAAGTGTAAGAGCCGTCGACGCGGCAAGGCCAGAGGGGAGCCGGGAGGCCGAGCGGTGCCCCGGGGCACCCAGGGTCTGGAGCCGTGGGCGGAGTCTGTGTGCCGCGCCTCCCCGCCTTGCCCTGCCTGCCTCCTCCTGTACTGGGCATATTCTGGGCTGCGGGACGGGAGCGTTAGGGATTGTGGCGCGGGCGACCCTCAGCACTTAGCCACCCAAGCTACGTCTGGTTACAGTATGCCCCAATGAGAGAGGGCTTTTTTGGGCGGGGGGCAAGGATCCCAAACCCTGCCACCCTAAGTGAGAGCTAATCTGCTTTGCTGTGACTACGTTCCCGTCGTGGAAGTGGCAAGTAGTTTCCCAAGGTCTGGCCAGACTTGATGTAGTGAACAGATCTAGGGCGGTGGGGGTAAATTAGGTATCGTCTTCGTATCCCTTTCCCTACCTAATAACTTTCTGTCGACCTGTTAACGTTTGTGGCTGTGTTCATCAGGATGTATTTTTCATGCAGATGATGGTCGAACTAAACCCATTCCAAGGAAAGGTTCTGTAGAGGGCTTTGAGCCCTCAGACAACAAGTGTCTGTTAAGAGCTACTGATGGGAAAAAGAAGATCAGCACTGTGGTGAGTTGGATTCCTGACAGTACAATTTTGGAGTTAGAAGACCTGAACTTAACTGAAGATGGGCATATCTGAACCAGGTTTTTGTTTTTGTTTTAAATAAAAGCTAGTACGTGTGTAGCTGTTTCTTGGGATGAGGGCCACTTTTTATTGCCCTAGTAGTAGGAAATTCAAGAGCAAAACCAAATTGAAGAAGTCAAATACTTGTTGGTTCTACTGAAGCTTTCATGGAAATAGAATTAGCATATTGGTTCTTATTCATAGGGGCACTGGAAGGAGCACTTGGCATAAATATTTGATTTTTAATTCCCTTACACGGTGGGCCTTCAGTGTCAGTTTCTTGGTACCAGATGATTTTACTTGTAAGCTGACAAATCACTTGTATTTGTGGTTGACATAGCAAACATGTAGCTGTATGTTAGGCTTGCTACTAACCTACAGAGAGAATACGGATTTAGTCAACAGTCCCACTGTTCCCTTTCACGGTGGAGAAAGGCAAAGCAATAGGCTTCCTGGATTCTGAATGTACTTTTTTACTTTGCTGGGGCAGAACAGGACTGCTCTTTTTTTTTTTTTTTAAAGTATTTTATTTTTTTAATTTTTATTTATTATTTATGATAGTCACACACAGAGAGGCAGAGACACAGGCAGAGGGAGAAGCAGGCTCCATGCACCGAGAGCCCGATGTGGGATTCGATCCCGGGTCTCCAGGATCGCGCCCTGGGCCAAAGGCAGGCGCCAAACCGCTGCGCCACCCAGGGATCCCCCAGGACTGCTCTTTAATCACATCAGGATAGGACATTTCATGAGAATGTAGACCGTAATTAGTTGATGAGTCTCCCTTTACAGTTATCTTGAGAGGACTTTTATAGTAAAGTAAACTCATGTGGTTTTAAAAAATAAACTTGGGTATCATGAAATGTGAAAACCTTAGGAATCTTGAGAAGTAGAATTTCTCTTGTGGTAGCTTGTGTTCGGCTTAAATAGACCTGGATTAATGGAAAGTAGGTTTCAAATAAGATGAGGAGGGAGTAGTTTAAATGTATCTTGCACAAAAGATTAAAATGAAGTTCTCTGATATCTCTAGAATCCAGGGAGAAAGTCAGTGCCATGTGTGTAAGAAGTGTCAGACATGAGAAACTTCACTTCTTTAGTAGCCCCCCACTCCCACCCCCCCTTCTGCCTTTTTCCCTTCTTGGTACAATTCTCATGTGGAAAAAGGTGCAGAGCTGCTTTGCTTCTTCCTCAGACAAAGTGGAGAAGAATAGCTGTTTGATATTATGACCCCTAAAGTTGGAAAGATAGATTTTAAAGATGATGTTGTTTTAATGAGGCTTTTGAGTTATTGCCTGGGGTGAGACAGAGGATTCCTATATGGGTAATAACGGTACACTTTTTTTTCTTTTCCTTTTCCAGGTGAGCTCCAAAGAAGTAAACAAGTTTCAGATGGTGAGTTTGTGGTGTTCTCTATACACCTTTTCTCAGGGCAAGAGTAAGCACAAAATTGAATACTGGGTTAAGAATGATATTTCTTTTCTTTTCTTTTTTTTTTTTTTTAAGAATGATATTTCTTATGTTTTGCTGATACTGTGAATAAAAGCTACCAGGGTCTTTCACTTTCAATGCTAGTATTCACTTTCAATGCTAGTATTATCTTCCTTTTTAGTTTTTTTAGGTAGATTTTGCGTTTGGCTTCAGATATGTTCTATCTATAGTATAGTTGAACAGGAAGTTGCCTGCAGTTTTCTCTTTTTGCTTAAAAAGTGTCAGAAGCTGCTATAATGTGCAAGAATGTGTTTTCCTCTTATACTATTTTCTATAGGACACAAGTGTTCCATGGTATGATTGCTTTATCGGATAGGTGGGCTTTCTGATATTGACTACCCTAAATTCATTATGGAAATGGGGACAGCTGCTCCACCAGTTTGAAACCCTTCCCACTAAGTTCCGTGCTGTGTGTTTTTTATAGGCTTACTCAAACCTATTGAGAGCTAACATGGATGGACTGAAGAAGAGGGACAAAAAGAGCAAGAGTAAGAAGAGCAAAGCAGCACAGTGAAGGGCACTGCATATCCTGCTCTCACCAGTTCACCACCCAGATACTGTTTTTCCTTTGGTTTTTCCTTTTGGCCACAAAGCTAGCTTTCTCATTCCCCTGTGATAACTTTTCATGTGAGAGGAGGCTCATTTTGGATGGAACAAGGGCTGCAGTGTTTACAGGATAGTTGTAAGAAGCCAAGTTTATTTTAGAATTGGTTGATTGGTTTGTGTTGCATGGTTATATATCCTGGGATCATAAAGTCTCTGTAGTTATCTGTGTGAAGAACAATGGATCATTAAACCTGTATTTATCTGCACTGACCATCTCATTTTTTCTAGTCCCTATTAATAGTTTCTGGCAATAATTACTAATTCTGAGTGTTGCATTTATGAATAGGCTTTACCCATGTGTTCTAGGTTATTGGTATTAAAACCTGACAGTTTGGGGATGCCTGGGTAGCTCAGTCACCTGAGCATCTGACTCTTAGTTTCTGCTCACGTTGTGATTTCAGGGTTGTAAGGTTGAGCCTCACGTTGGGCTCTGTGCTTAGCACAGAGTCTGCCTGACATTCTCTGCATCTCCCTGTCCCCCTCCCTCCACTCTTGTTCTCTTTCTCTATCTCAAATAAATAAAATCATAAAAAAACAACCTGACAGTATTATAAAAAAGTTGTGTTATCTCATGGGTATTCTTCCCAACTGGCTGTATATTTAACATCCTCATTCCTTTAGCAAATTTGAATGAGTTCTCATAGCTAATTGAGACTTTGCTTAATCACCTTAAGGATAAGCACGTTACGGAATCAGCAGGAATAATGATTCCAAGTTAAACATGATACTATGTATATTTTTAAAAGATTTATTCATTCCACAGATGAGCACAAGCAGGGGGAATGGTAGAGGGAGAGGGAGAAGCAGGATCCCTGCTGAGCAGGAAGCCTGATGCAGGGCTTGATCCCAGTACCCTGAGATCATGACCCAAGCTGAAGGCAGATGCCCCACTGACTGAGCCACTCAGGTACACCTGATACTGTATTTCTTTAAGCACTTTGGTTTGGACATTTTCTTTCTGGGGTAGGGGAAAAAGAATATTTGCTTTTTTTTTTTTAAGAGAGCAGGTTGCAAGATGGGTTATTAGGCAATCTCTATTAGATTTTTTTTTTTAATATTTACTTGCATAAAAATTTTTTAAACTCCAGTATAGTTAATATACAATGTTACATTAGTTTCAGGTGTACAAGATAGTGTTTTAGGAATTTTTTTTAATTTACTTTTATTTTTTATTTTTTTGTTTTGTTTTAGGAATTCTATACATTACTCATTGCTCATCAGGAAAAGGGAATTTTTTTTTTTAAGATTTTATTTATTCATGAGACACAGAGAGGCAGAGACATAGGCAAAGGGAGAAGCAGGCTTCCTGTAAGGAGTCTGATGTGGAAGTCAATTTCCGGACCCCAGGATCACGCCCCGAGCTGAAGGCAGACGCTCAACCACTGAGCCACCCCGGCATTTTTAATCCCCTTCGGCTATTTTACCCATCTCCCCACCAACCTCCCCTCTAGAAACCATCAGTATGTTTCCTATAGGTTTTTTTTTTTCAGTTTCTTAAATTCCACATAGAAGTGTAATCATTTGGTATATGTCTTTCTCTGACTTATTTCAATTAGCATTATACTTTCTAGCTCCATCCATGTTGTTGCAAACGGTAGGATTTCATTCATTGAAATGAATGGCACAGTAATATTCTATGTATATTTACACCACTTCTTTATCCACTCATCTATTGATGGAAACTTGGTCTGCTTCCATAATTTGGCTGTTGTAAATAATGCTGCAATAAACCTAGGGGTGCATGTATCTTTTTGAAATAGTGTTTTTGTATTCTTTGGGTAAATTCCCAGTAGTGAAATTACTGGATCATATGGCAGTTCTTTTAGTTTTTTCAAGAATCTGTTTTCCACATTGGCTGTACCAGTTTGTGTTCCCACCAACAGTGCACTGAGGGTTCCTTTTTCTCCACATCATTGCCAACACTTCTTATGTTTTTGATTTTAGCCATTCCAACAGGTCACAGGTGATATATATCTCATTGTGGTTTTAATTTGCATTTCCCTGATGAGTGATGTTGAGCAATTTTTTTTTTTTTTTTTTTTTTAATTTATGATAGTCACAGAGAGAGGCAGAGACACAGGCAGAGGGAGAAGCAGGCTCCATGCACCGGGAGCCCGACGTGGGATTCGATCCCGGGTCTCCAGGATCCGCCCTGGGCCAAAGGCAGGCGCCAAACCGCTGCGCCACCCAGGGATCCCAATGTTGAGCATTTTTAATGTGTCTGTTCTCCATATGTATGTTATCTTTGGAGAAATGTATGTTCATGTCTAATGCCCATTTTTATTTGGATTGTTGTTGAGTTATAGAAGTTCTTTACATATTTTGGATACTAACCCTATATATGATATGTCATTTACAAATACCTTCTCCCATTCCATAGGTTGTCTTTTAGTTTTATTGTTACCTTGGCTGTGCAGAAGCTTTTTATTTTGGTGTAGTCCCAATAGTTTTTTGCGTTTGTTTCCTTTGCTTCAGGAAACAAATCTAGAAAAATGTTGCTATGGTATATGTCAGAATAATTACTAGTGCTCTCATCTCGGACTTTTGTGGTTTCCAGTCTCACAGTTAAGGTCCTTAATCCATTTTGAGTTTATTTTTGTGTATTGTATAAGTAAGGGGTCCACTTTTCTCACCACTATTTGTTGAAAGAGACTTTTTTCCATTGCATTTTCTTGCCTCCTTTGTCAAAGATCAAATGAATATATAATAACGGGTTTATTTCTGGGCTCTCTGTTCTGTTCCATTGATCTGTATGTCTATACTGTCTGTACTATATGTACAACTTACTAAGTTGTAGTAACAAAGTAACAATTTACAAAGTTGTAGTAATCTGGATTGTGGTACGTCCAGATTTTTTGTTCTTTTTCACAATTGCTTTGGTTATTTTGGGGTCTTTTGTGGTTCCATACAGATTTTAGAATTATTTGTTCTAGTTCTGTGAAGAATGTTGGTATTTTGATAGAGATGGCATTAAATCTGTAGGTTGCGGGCAGCCCGGGTGACTCAGGGATTTAGTGCCACCTTCGGCTCAGGGCCTGATCCTGGAGACCCGGGATCGAGTCCCACGTGGGGCTCCCTACATGGAGCCTGCTTCTCCCTCTTCCTGTGTCTCTGCACACCCCCCGCCCCCCCCCCCCGTCTCTCATGAATAAATAAATAAAATCTTTAAAAAAATCTGTAGATTGCTTTGGGTTGTGTGGACATCTTAACAATATTTGTTCTTCAATCCATGGAATAGTTTCCATTTGTTTGTGTCATCTTCAGTTTCTTTCACCTCCTTTATTCCTAGGTATTTTTGTTATTTTTGGTGCAGTTGTAAATGGGATTGTTTTCTTAGTCTTTTTGCTACTTCATTATTAGTATATCGAAATGCAGTGGATTTCTGTATATTGATTTTGTATCCTACAACCTTACTGAATTCATCAGTTCTAGTAGTCTTTTGTTGGAGTCTTTAGGTATTTCTGTATATAGTAGTATTGTGACACCTGCAAGTAGTGAATAAAGTTTACTTTCTTGGGGCACCTGAGTGGCTCATTCGGTTAAGTATCTGCCTTTGGCTCGGGTCATGATTCTGGGGTCCTGGAATTGAGCCTCACATTGGGATCCCTGCTCAGTGGGAAGTCTGCTTCTCCCTCTGCCTCCCCTCACACCCTCCTACTCCCCAACCCCAATGCATGCTGCTCTCTAATACATTTTTTAAAAAAAATATTTATTCATAGAGACAGAGAGAGAGAGGCAGAGACACAGGCAGAGGGAGAAACAGGCATCATACAGAGAGCCTGACGTGGGACTCGATCTAGGGTCTCCAGGATCACGCCCTGGGCTGCAGGTGGTGCTAAACCGCTGCGCCACGGGGACTGCCCTAATACATTTTTTAAAAAAATATTTTATTTATTTATGAGAGAGGCAGAGACAGGTAGAGGGAGAAGCAGGCTCCATGGAGGGAGCCTGATGTGGGACTCGAACCCAGGACCCTGGGATCTCGCTGAGTTGAAGGCAGATGCTCAACTACTAAGCTACCCAGGCATCCCAATATAATCTTTTTTTTTTTTTTTTTACAAAAAGTTTTACTTTCTTACAAATCTGGATGCCTTTTATTTCTTTTTTTGTCTGATTGCTGCGACTGGGACTTCTAGTACTAAGTTGAATAAAAATGGTGAGTGTAGTCATCCTTGTCTTTTTCCTGATCTTAGAGGAGAAGTCCTCAGGTTTTCACCATTGAGTGTGAGGTTAGCTGTGGGTTTTTCATATATGGCCTTTATTATGTTGAAGTATGTTCCCTCTAAACCTAGTTTGAGAGGATTTTTTATCATGAATAGATGTTGTACTTTGTTGACTCCTTTTTCTGCATTGGTTGAAATGATCATACAGGTTTTTATCCATTTTCTTTTTTTTGTTTGTTTTGTTTTTTAAAGGTTTTATTTATCCAGGAGAGACACAGAGAGAGGCAGAGACATAGGCAGAGGGAGAAGAGGCTCCTTATGGGGAGCCTGATGTGGGACTCGATCCCAGGACCCCAGGATCAGGACTGAGCCACCCAGGTGCCCCATATTTTTATTTCATTTGTCTTCATTTATTTTTTAATTTCCTTTTTGATTTTGTGATTGACCCACTCACTGTTTGAGTACCATGTTCTTTAACTTCCATTTGTGCTCTTTCTAGATTTTTTCTTACAGTTGAGTTCTAGTTTCATAGTGCTGTGGTTGGAAAAAATGCATAATGTAACTTATTTGTTGCGGCTTGTTTTGTGGCCTGATATGCGATCTATTCTGGAGAATGTTCCATGTGCACTTGAGCAGAATGTGTATTTTGCTGTTCTAGGATGGAATGAATGTTCTGAATATATATTAGATCCATCTTGTCCAGTGTATCATTCAAAACTAGTTTCCTTGTTGATTTTTTGTTTGGATGATCTATCTGTTAATGTAAGTGCGGTGTTAAGTCCCCTACTGTTATGTATTACTATTGATTACTTCCTTTGTTATTACCTGATTTTTTAGAGCTTCCATGTTAAGTGTATGTATACTTATATCCTCTTATGGATTGTCCCTTTTTTATTATTATGTAGTGCCCTTCATCTCTTGTTACAGTCTTTTTCTTAATTTCTTTCTATCTATCTATCTATCTATCTATCTATCTATCTATCTATCTATCTATCTATCTATCTATCTATCTATCTAGACAGAGAGGCAGAGACATAGGCAGAGGGAGAAGTAGGCTCCATGCAGGGATCCCGCTGTGAGACTCCATCCCCGGACTCTGGGATCATGCCCTGAGCTGAAGGCAGATGCTCAACCCAAGCCACCCAGGCATCCCAAACTTTTAATTTTTTTTTAAAGATTTATTTATTTGAGAGACAGAGAAACAGACAGACTGTGGAGTTGGGGGGAGGAGGAGAGTGAGGGAGCGAGAATCCCAAGCAGATTATGCTGAGTGCGGAGGCCAACACAGGGCTCCATCTAATGACCCTGAGATCACGATCTGAGCCAAAACCAAGAGTCAGACAGTCAATAACCCAGATATAACCCAGGTGCCCTACTGGTCTTTGTTTTAAAGTTTATTTTGTTTCATGCAAGGATGGCTCCCCCAGCTTTCTTTTCACTTCCATTTGCATAAGTACTTTCCCATCCCTTCACTTTCAATCTGCAGGTGTTTTTGGGTCTGAAATGAGTGTCTTGGAGCCAGGATGTAGATGGGCCTTTCTTTTTTATCCATTCTATCACTCTTTGTCTTTTGATGGGTGTGTTTAGTCCATTTACAAAGTAATTATTGATAGGTATGCACTTACGGCTATTTTACATATTTTTATTTAAATTCAAGTTAGTTGGGATGCCTGAATGGCTCAGCAGTTCAGCATCTGCCTTTGGCTCAGGTGGTGATCCCAGAGTCCTGGGACTGAGTCCCACATCGGGCTCCCTATCTCTCTCTCTCTGTCTCTCATGAATAAATAAAATCTTTTTTTTTTTTTTTTAAATTCAAGTTAACAAATATTAATATAAAATTCACTTCAGGAGTAGAATTTAATGATTTATCACTTACAAATAACACTCAGTGCTCATCACAAAGTGAACCCCTTAATCCCCATCACCCGTTTAGCCCATCACCCCACTCATCTCCCCTCCAGCAACCCTCACTTTGTTCTCTATGGTTAAGAGTGACTTATGGTTTGGGGCACCTGGGTGGCTCAGTTGGTTAAGCATCTGCCCTTGGCTCAGGTCATGATCTTGGAGTCCTGGGATTGAGCCCGACGTCAGGCTCCCTGCTCAGCAGGGAATCTGTTTCTGCCTCACCCTGGAGTTGTGCTCTCTCTCTCTCTCTCTTCAAGTAAATAAAAATGTTAAAAGAAAGTCACTTACCGTTTGCCTCCCTGTTTTTATCTTATTTTTCCCTCCTTCCCCCTATGTTCATGTGTTTGGTTTCTTAAATTCCACATAAGTGAAATCATGTTTGTCTTTCTTTGCCTGATTTCACTTAGCATCATATACTCTAGTTCTAAGTTCTGTCCACATTTTGCAAATAGCAAGATTTCATTCTTTTTGATGGCTGAGTAATATTCCGCTGTTTGTATATACCACATCTTCTTTATCCATTTATCAGTCAGTGGAAAATTGAGCTTTTTCATAATTTGCCTATTGCTGATAGTGCTGCTATAAACATGGGGATGTGTGTGGTCCTTCAAATCAGCATTTTTGTATCCTTTGGATAAACACCTAGTAGGACCATTGTTGGGTCATAGTGTAGTTTTATTTTTAACTCTTTGAGGAACCTCCATACTATTTTCCAGAGTAACTGCACCAGTTTGCATTCCCACCAACAGTGCAAAAGGGTTCCCCCCCTTTTTTTCTAATATATTTTTTCTTTTTTAATATTTTTTTTGTTTATTCACGAGAGACACAGGCAGAGGGAGACGCAGGCTCCCTGCAGGGACTCCAACGTGGGACTTGATCCTGGGACTCCAGGGTTACACCCTGAGCTGAAGGCAGATGCTCAATCAAGCCACCCAGGCGTCCCTTATGTATGGTTTTATTTTATAGGTGTTTTTGTAGTTCTGTTTCTTTCCTCTCTTTCTCTCTTCTCTCATGGTTTGGAGGCTTTCCTTAGTGATATTCTTTTCTCTATTTTTCGTATATCTGTTAACCAGTTTTTGCTTTGTGGTTACCATTACGTTAGTAACAAACCTCTTACACATATAGCAATCTACATTAAGTTGATAATCACTTAAATTTGAACCCATTCTTTACTCCTCTCCCCGCCACATTCTAGGTATATGGTGTCATTTTATATCCTTTTGTGACTTCCTTGACTAATTTTATTTTTCCCTCGATTAATTTTTACAGATATACTTAATTTTATCGCTTTGGTGCTTCCTACTTTTCTTGTCCCTACAATAGTTTTTCCTGTCCATTGAGTTCCCTTTAAAACTTTTTACAGGGCTGGTTTAGTGGTCATGAATTCCTTTAACTTTTGTTTGAGAAACTTTTTATTTCTTCTACTCTGGATGATAGCTTTGCTGGATACAGTATTCTTGGCTGCAGGTTTTTTTTTTTCTATCAGTACTTTGCATGTATCATGGAACACCCTTCTGAAAGTTTCTGCTGAAAAATTAGCTGATAGCTTATGGGGTTTCCCTTGTATGTAACAGTTTTCTCTTGCTGCTTTTAAAATTCTCTTTATTACTATTTTCTGCTGTTTTAATTACTATGTATCTTGCTGGGGACCTTTTGGGTTGATATGTTGGGGTAGTTTGGGCATTTTCATGTGCTTAGTAATTAGAAATAAGGGAAGAACATGGCTCTTGTGTTCTAGCTCCACAAAAGCTTTGGTGTCAACAGATTTGCAACTTAAAAGCAGATACATGGAAGCATTATATTCAAAAAGATAAATTTATATATTACACATGAAAAACTTACAAAGCTCAACTTTGTAGGACAGCTTCTTACAATGTAAAGTTAAAATTACAATGAATGTACAACATTTCATAGTATAAGCTCCTATCTTAGAACAAGATGATGACTATTCTTTATGATTAAAATAAGATTCGGTAGTAGTCATCTCTGTAGCTATACAGGAATAGCACAGATACCCTGCAAAAGAGAAAAAGTAGGATCAATATAAGGGGTTAACAAATTATTTTTAGAACATTTAACTGTAAGAGTATTGTTTAAAAAAAAAAGATGGAAGACTAGTGACTGAGAAAGATGACATGTTATAGAAGCTTTGACTGGCATAGGTCTGTATGTAAGGCTCTACATAAGGGGATCACTGGTGACATGAATGATTGGCATTCTGACGTGAGGACCTACATACATACAGCAAAGCAGTCACAGCAATTCCCATTCATGTAGACATTCCTACGAGTTACCTAGGTGATGAAAATTTTAAGTGGGATAATTACTTCTGGCACTGCTATGTTTTGTTATTGATAAATCATGACTGTGATTCACAGTCCTGAACAAGATTTACTTGGTTATCTGGTGCAATTCTAATTTAATGGCTTATTAGCCACCAAACCTCAACAAGACAATGTGTCACTTTAAAAAACCCCTCGAGTTTTAACCCATGTTGCAACTTGCAATAGCTCAGTGAAAACTTACTTTTTCTCTACTTTGATGTTATAAATTTCATCACAGACTAATTTGAGATATCTCTGCTTTGGCAGGCGTGACAGCAGCTGCTTCACAGTTGTGTTAAATGCCTGTTCATCAGCATCCCACTAGGAAAAAATAGATAAGATTTAATAACAAGTACTAGTGTTTGTTAACTGGCTTTTCTTGGGTCACTGATGAAATGTCAATGCCATTGTTAAGTGTACTAAAAAAATCAGCTATAGAGAAAAACTGATGAGGCTGCTGGGGTTCTTCCTTTGAAGCAACAATTTTATTTAAAACAAGACTCCTTATTAGGTCCTGTTTAGCAATGCTCTAACCATAGTGTGCTACTGTGATTTTAGTAGTTACTTCTGCTAATTTATTGTGTATAAAATGTAAATAAACCTCTGTGTGCCTCCATTTGAGTGGATCATAAAGCTGTAACTGCCAGCACAGGGATATATATATGCTGCTTTACAAGACAACAGAAAATATATGAAATTTTTCTTCATCTCACTCACTCTGACTAAATACTCTGGATAGACAAAAAAGTATTCTTTAGGTGTGCCTTGGGTGGTTGTCAGTTAAGCTCTGCCTTTGGCTCAGTCATGATCCTAGGGTCTTGGGATTGAGCCCTGCATCGGGCTCCCTGCTCAGCAGGGAGCTTGCTTCTCCCTCTCCCTGCTGCTCCCCCTGTTTGTGCTCTCTCTGTCAAATAAATCAAATCTTAAAAAAAGAAAAGGTATTCTTTAATAAGATGCTTAAAAAAAAATCACCTGTAGCTGTGATTATAGTTTGTTATCTTTGCTATTAAGAATGCTAATTCAAATTTTTAGGACTACCCATTAAAAACAATTTTTTTTAATCCAGTATGTTTAACATACAGTATTATTAGCTTCAAGTGTAAAATACAGTAATCCAACAGTTCTGTACATTATTCCACGCTCATCATGGGAAGTGTACTTTTTTTAATCTTCATCACCTATTTTACCCATCAGTTTGTTGGCTGTAGTTAAGAGAGTTTCTTGGTTTATCTTTTTTCTTTTGCTCATTTGCTTTGTTTCTTCAATTCCACATGAGTGAAATAATATGGTATTTGTCTTTCTCTAGCTTTATTTCACTTAGCATTCTACTCTCTAGCTCCATCCATGTTGTTGCAAATGGCAGAACTTCATTCTTTTTTTATGGCTGCATAATTTTCTGTGTGTGTGTGTGTACACGTGTACAAACACCCCACATCTTTATCCATTCATTTATCAGTGGACATTTAATTCGGCTATTATAAATAATGCTTCTGTAAAGATAGTAGTGCATGTATTTCTTTGAATTAGTGTTTGCTATTTTTGGGGTAAATACCCAGTAGTGCAATTACTGGATTGTAGACTAGCTCCATTTTTAACTTTGTGAGGAACCTCCATACTGTTTTCTACAGTGGCTGCACCAGTTTGCGCTCCCACCAACAGTGTACTAGGGTTCCTATTTCTCCACATTCTCTCCAACACTTGTTGTCTCTTGTGTTGTTGATCTTAGCCATTCTGACGTGTGAGGTGATAACTTCACTGTAGTTTTGATTTGTATCTTCCTGTCCAGGAGTGACGTTGAACATCTTTTTATATGTCTGTTGGCCATCTGTAATGTCTGTTCATCTCTTCTGCCCATTTTTAAATTGGATTATTTTTTGTGCTACTCATAAAATATTTTAAACATATATAATGACCTAACTTAATTTTTACAAAAATATCTTCCATACAGTTCTATATTAGCTTCCTTAGTTGAAATTAAGGTCTGAGGCAGCCCTGTATACTGGTTAGGAATAGATTCCCCTAGTCTGCCTAGGTTTAAACCCTGGCTGTGCTAATTACTAGTAGATTGACCTTGAGTAAGACATTTAATATCTCTTCTTCCATTTTCCATAAAATGTAAAATGCTTCTGCTTCTATTGATCTATACAATGGGGATAATGGTATCTACCTCTTGAGCTTGTTATGATTAAATGAGTTAATATCTGAAAGATGCTTAGAGCAAGGCCTGCCAAAGCCTGACACACAGTAAATAATATCTCTGAAATTTAATAGAAAGTTACTAGAAAAGAATGATTCTCTCAAAATCTGATTTAAGTAATGTATATGTCACATGAAAAGAACAATGCTATTAAATTCCTAGAACTGCCAAAAAAATACCTAGTATCAGAAAATAATAGCATTTTCAATTTTGTTTTGGCAAATTAACAGCAGAACTTTGGAATTTTATTTTATTTTGTTTTATTAAGATTTTATTTATTTATTCATGAGAGACACACAGAGAGAGGCAGAGACACAGGCAGAGGGAGAAGCAGGCTCCATGCAGGGAGCCCGATGTGGGACTCGATTCCCAGACTCCAGAATCATGCCCTGGACTGAAGGTGGCGCTAAACCGCTGAGCCACCCAGGGATACCCCAAACTTTGGAATTTTAAAGGCCACAATGCATAGCAGTTCATCTTGCTTACCTCTAACGATAAAAACTGTAAGATTGTTTCTTTGGGTAGATCCACCTGTTGATACACAAAAATGTTATGTCATTTGTCAGGGAACCTGAGGTAGCACATACTCATTTGTCACAATGGTGTCACCTTGTATGGAGCAACATGAATAGGGCTTACAGAGTCGGGGACGCTACTGTGCTATATTAAAATAAAGCACACTCAAATGAACCATGAAGCAGTAAGATGTCAGCACTGGTGAACAAATAGTCCTCAGACGGTGCACCCCAAAGGCTTGATGCTGCTGCCTCTACTCAATGTATTTTTAATGAGGCAAAGGTCTGAAACATTTCAGAAAAATGATGATTTTTGTTTTTACTCCCCCTGCCCCCCTGTCTCTTAGAGGAAGAAAAAGGGAGAAAGAAACAAAATGTTCTGCTTCCTCCCCTGTTTTTACAGATTTAGATTATATGTGGTTCTCAGCAGTGATCAAAGGCCTGCATCCCAATACTGTGTACAGGGAGCAAAAATGCCCTGACCTCTAAGGAAATGATGTTGATGACAGGGACACAGGCAGTTCTCAAGATGTTACAGAGAGCAACTTACAGCCAAAATTTCAATTTCATTGCTTTTCTGATGTAAGTTGGCAAGGGAGGTCTGAAGTCGTGTTTGTACCTAAACAAGAAAATGACTTGTCAGAATTCAGAAGCTGTCAATACAAATCATCTTTCTTGCCATTTCCTATTCTAGAAAACAATAATGAGTGACAAACTAAGGCCTAAAAGGGCTCCCAAAAATTATCTAAGGATTTGGAAAAATGTGTGCCTAGCCTTTCCTGATCTCAGGAGACATGAAAATTTTAATAGCCTGTTTTGATAATAATCCACCTACTTATTTTTTTCTAATTTTGAAATGACACCTAGAAGCTCAGGGCATTGAAACTGCATGTGGAAGCAGGGGGATTTTGGTATTAAGCTAAATTTGGAAAAAGGGGAAGGTGACAACAATGACATCAAACTGAAATATGGTAGGGGATGAGAGCAGCAGAAAGATGTGAAAATGAGTTGCCATCCACAATACTGAGAAAGCGCTAAGAGTGCATACAAAAATGAGGCAACCTAATCTTCTGTATTTTGATCTAATCACATTGAAAAAAAATTTATTTATTTGAGAGAGCGAACACCAACAGGGGAAGAGGCTGAGAGAAAGAGAAGCAGACTCCACACTGAGTGTAGATAAAGCCTAACTGGGGGCTTGATCTCACGACCCTGAGATCATGATCTGAGCTGAAATCAAGAGTCAGACACTTACCAACTGAGCCACCCAGGTGCCCCTCCCCTCTAATCACATTTGTAAATCATGACTGCTCTCTAACCTCCACTTCCCAAGTGAGGCCAATGTCTTGACTGAGCTCATTAGCCTGAGGACTGCCCTCATCTTTCCTCCCTATCATCTATTTAAATCCTTCAGGGATCCTTTAGGAAGCTGTCATCTATCATTCACCCAGATACTGATCTCCAACCTGTTCCTATGTCCAGCACTGATGTTCAGTGTATCTAATTCAGCATTCTGTTACTTCTTTTCTATGGTTCTCTAACTGTAGAATGCATATGCTTCTAGGGTTATGAACTTTTTGAGGATAGGGCCATGCCACATGTCTTCTAAGTTTTACACAGAATCACACATACAGCAAATACCAAAAACACGTATACAGTGAGAAACCTGCGCCAAGTCTTCTGCTTGTTACTTAGAACAAAAACCAACCAACCCCATCTGTCATTAGATCCAGATTGGAAAGTCTTTGTTTAGATCTAGTAATTCTGATAGTTGGTGCTTCTAGGTGCCCATAATGTACATGGACACCTCTTTGGAGGACAAATGGGACGGAATCCTAACACCAGAGAGATGTTTTGTGTTGATGAAATTTTCAGAAGCCAAGTTAAGGAAGTGCAAAGAAAACCATTTCCAGGAAACCATTTCGTATCTTCCTTTCCTGTCTTCTTCCTCCTTTCTAGCTTACATGAGAAAGCAGAGGAAAGTGTGCATACCTGAGTTTCATAACGCCTCCTCGTGCTGGCTGACAGCTTCTCTGGGGCTATCACGCTCACAATGGGGACAACTGCTGCTCCGTGGATTTCAAACAAACCTGGAACAAAAAGTTGCAGAATTTATGGTCTTATCTGGTCCTACTTTCTGTAACACACCACAGATATGGCAAAGATGCTTAGTAGAATCCACTCTGGTGTGATTCTATGGGCTAGATTCTCTTTGGGCTGTGTTTTCCATCTCTGCAACTAGCTGCACTTCACCTGGAGGAAGTCAGCACCCTAAAACCCGAAGTTTTAGTGCTTCTGTAAACACTCCCAGCCTCCTCTCTTCAGCTGGGGGTGGGGAGTGACACAGGCATAAGGAGGCTCTCTCTGTAAGTCACCCAAACTTCATGAATCTAAGGTGGGAAAAAAATCAAACTTACTATCTCTCAAACTTGAATACTTTAAATTCCTAAGTATTTGAAATCGGACAGTGGCAGAAAGTCCATGTTAACAAACAAACCAAAAAGACCCAGTTCTGTTGAAAGCGAAATATATCTTCTTCTGGTTGTAACTGGGACATTTCTTTTTTCAGTAAGGCTGGTAGATGTGATGAAATTAAAAACCTATTACCACTGTTCCCTCTTGGCTTTCATGAAAAGAAAATGTATACATGATCTTTCTCAAAGGATTTCAATATATTATTCTTCAATGTTCTGTGTGAGGAAAATTTCTAGGAAAATGAATCATATTTTATCTGTACAACAGAGTTGAAGGGAAATTCAACCAGTTGTGAAAATAAGACAGGAAGATAGAGATGTATTAAGATCAGAGGAATACCAAACTCTTAGTCATTTTCTAGGATGTGGGTTTCAAAGCATAGGAATAAATTCCATTTGGTACAATTAATTGTATATGTTACTTTACAGAGACATTTCTGACACAACAAGGAGTTAGCCACAGCAGTTAAGTGTTTACAGCAAATACAAGCGCACACACCCACATTGCAGTATTATGTTTAGATTCTAATTAGTCAATACCTGAAGCATTAGAAAAGGACCCCTTCAGATTTTGCACTGCGAGATTATCAGAAGCTTCTCTAAAAACAAACAAAAACAATTAGAAAACAGTCAATAAAGCAAAACAACACAGATAACTTAAAGTGAGCTATTTTGTCTATTAAGTGTAAAAATTAAATACTGGTTATTAGTAAAAGAAAACAAATTGAACTTAATTATGCTTTTGGTTCAAGAGCAAGTAAAAATTACAAAGGATGTCATTTCAAATTAACAAATGCCTAAAGACAACATTTTGATTTATTCAGCTATGTTTGAAATCCTGGCTCAACATAAGAAGCTAATTTCAATGAACTATAATGGGTGTTCTTTCCGTCCCCTCACAATAGAAGGAAACATTAGCAACAGCATGCCCCACCTTTATTAGGGCAGCAACCTTGGTGATCACCCACAGGAGAACATTTAGTAAATAAGGAGATTCTTTCAAAAGCTGTGAATGGATGTTCTTTCAAAGACAGAATTAGCTAAGAGCCTTTGAGAGACACAATAGCACTCTATCTTGGGAAAACAGGGAAGTAATCATGCACATGGAAGAAAGAGTTTAAATTTTTCTTAGCTAAAACCGAATCCCATCTGGGCCTTTTAGGCTTAATAATGTTCACCTGTACTATTAATTAGTTGAGCATTTTATGTTTTCTGTTTTGAACCTCTACCTTTGTTGGAGATGAGTGATCCTAATAACTGGTGACTTCTAGAACATTATATTTCCTCAGAAAAATCCTAACAGTCAATCTATTCAAGCTCGGTCAATCTATTCAAGTTCGGTGCAGATGGGAGGGAGCCAGGGTTGAGGGAGGGAGAAGAAAGTAAGAATGTTTATTTATATAAGCCAAGGTTTTTCACTCTTGGCACTAATAACATTTTGGGTCTGATAATTCTTGGGTAGGGGCATGAGGGGTCAGTCATGTGCACTGTAGGATGATTAGCAGCATCCCTGGTCTCTACTAGATACTGGCACCCCCAGTTCTAACAACCAGAAATGTCTGCAAACAGTGCTAGATGTCCCTTGGAGGGCAAAATGTCCCTTGGTTGAGAATCACTGATATAAACCAAAACAAAACAAAAACAACCAAAAATAAAAACATATTTTTGATTATAAGCATATATATATATAAAAGTTACAAATTTATGGAAAAATAAGAAAATTATACAAATTTACAGAAAATTAAGATCCTTTGTAATCTCACTAACCAGAAATAGCGGCAATTAAAAATTTAGTACATGATCCCAGACAATGTATAGGCTATGTGTTTTGGTTGAAAAAACAGGATCATACATCTTCTCTGTGAAAATCTCTCCATGTCAATAAATTGAGCTTTTAGATTAGAATCATAATTTGAAAAAAAAAAACTTTTTTTTTTTAAAGATTTATTTATGATAGACATAGAAAGAGAGAGAGAGAGAGAGGCAGAGACACAGGAGGAGGGAGAAGCAGGCTCCATGCCGGGAGCCCGACATGGGACTCGATCCCGGGACTCCAGGATCGCGCCCTGGGCCAAAGGCAGGCTCTAAACCGCTGAGCCACCCAGGGATCCCCCCAAAAATATTTTTTAAGTAAACTCTATGCCCAGTGTAGCACTTGAACTCATGACCCTGAGATCAAAAGTCACATGTTCTAGTGACAGAGCCAGCCAGGTGCCCCAGAATCATCATTTTTAAAGACTGCACACTATTTCATTGTATTTACTATAAATCAAACAATCTTCTACCAATAGATGTTGTAAGTGAGAGATTCTCCCAAGTGTGGTCTAGGAACCTCTTGAAGTCCCTAAGAGCTTTGCACAGGTCTGCAACGTCAAAACAATTTTCACCATAATTTTAAAATGTTAACTTATCTTTTTTATAGATTAAAAAAAAAAACAAAACAACCTCTTCTAAACCTCTACCTTTTTTGGGTCATTCTCTCACATATGTGTAATGGAATTTTCCAGAGACTAAATGATGGGTGATAGCACAACAGATTGAAAGCAGAAGTAGTCACAATCTAGTTTTTTCTATTTAATTTCTATTAAATTTTTTCAAATTTTGTTTTGGAAAATAGTTATTTTTCATTTAAAAATATACTATTTAGGTTAGCATATAATGTGTCTATCTTTTTAAATATTTTACATTTATTTGTGAGAGCACAAGATGGGGGTGGGGGGGTGGGTGGGAAGGGGCCAAGGGAGAGGGAGCAGACTCCCCGCTGTGCTGAGAGCCCAGCTCAGAGCTCAGTTCCAGGACCTCAAGATCATGACCTGAACCGAAGGCCAATGCTTAACCAATTGAGCCATCCAGGTGCCTCAGGTTTATTGTTATTTTAAAATAAATATTTTAAAAATGTTTCTTTTAATTTCTAACAAATGATTGATAGATATAACCCACATAAAACAAAGCTCTTTGGTGCCCTCAAATAATTTTTAAGGGTATAAAGAGGTTCTGGACCAAAAAGATTGGAACTGTTATAAACAATACTTGCTAGACATCTTTGTAGGTACCCCATGGAATGATTTTTACTATAAATTCCTGAAAGTAGAGTGATTCAGTATTTCTTTTTAATTTTTAGTTTTAAGGCAATTTTAACTTACTTTATTAAATGACTACCTAAAGAGATGAACCAATTTACATTTCCATCATGAGTATGAGATCTTTTCCCAGAATATATTAGATCTTTCAAATGTTTTAACAAAACACTACCAAAATTTACTGATGAGCAGGCCATAGAAGATAATTTTGGCTTCTTGGGCCTTTCAAACTGATAAAATATTCTCTGACATGTTTTGAAAAACACTTCAACTATGATTAGTCTTATACATGGGCATATACTTAAAGTGGTGTTATTCAGAAGCAATAGAATGGTCCATTAAAAATTACCCTGATGTATCTTTATTTCCCAAAGGATCAAACTGATTTTTAAGATAAAGAAGTCCTATAGGTTCACAGCTAAGGTTTTCTGGGGTTTTGTTACCTGATAGTCCTTTCATCACTGACTTTAGTTCTGAGTTTCTGCAAAACGTGGTCTATAAGATCAGACTCCTGCACAAGTTTTTCTGTTTGCCTTTCCTTCTCAAAAGACTTAACCTTAAAAAGAATGAAATAGAACCATCAATTTCTGAAGCCAACAGGCTGAATCAGAGTGCAAAACAAAGTCAACAGTTTAGGTTGGTGCTTTTCCACCAGGGGCGATTTTGCTTAGCACAGGACATTTGGCATTGTTTGGAGAACTTTCTGGTTGTGACGGCTATAGGGGGTGCTACCAGTATCTAGTGGGTAGAGACCTGGGGGGTGTTCAACTTCCTAGAGTGCCCAGGACAGCAACCCCCATAATTATCTGGCCTCAGATGTCACTGGCTGCTGAGAAACCCTGGTATAAAACTAGAAAAGCTTGTCATTAATGATAGGATTAAAAAAAAGGGCCAGCACTAACCAACTCCTATTTCATTTGATTTTTCCACATATTCTTCCCCTTAAACATCACATGGTCAGTCACCAGCTCCCACAGCCAATTCCAAACCCAAGTCCTGTCATCCACTTTTATGGTACTTGCCCTTTCATTTTCACTCCATGGCCAGCACCCAACCTTGGCCCAGGACAGCCTTATATTGTTCCATTGCTATTTTTCCCCTCACTCTATTCCATGCTCTATATCCCTACAGATTTATTTTTTTCACATACCATTCTGATACTCCCTTCTGTCCAAAGCCTATGCTAGCTCCCCCACATAGCTGCTACATGAAGTCCAAATTCCTTGGTTGGCATTTTGCTCTCCATGACCTAAGTAATACCATTCTTTCCTGCTGAAGTACCCTTCTTTGCAAATCTTCTGCTTCACCCAAAGTAGACTTATTCAGGGTAATGCCAGAATAGTTCTCTGCTGCCCTCCCTCCAACTTTGGAATAGGCTTTCCAAAGAATTACCATTACCTTTGCCATTCCTTCTGCTTAAAAGTCCCTTTCAGCACACACCTATATCCTGGCCATCCACAAGGGTCCAGCATAAATCGCACCTCCACCCTGAAGACTTACCTGCTATCTTTGAAGTAATCTTCCAGGCTGATAAACCGTCAGAGAACTTGCTCTATAAGACTGTCATGGCATTTAGCACTTTCTAACTCATAACCATGCATGAATGCGTTGTGTTCCCTACCAGATTATAGGATCCTTGACAGCAGGGCCTGATGCTTAAATGTCCCTGTATGCTTTAGGATCTTAAATTCCATCCCTCCTACACTGCATGCTTAACATGCATTTGCTGAATGGATGAATAAAGTGATGTCTTGCCTTTCAAATATGAAGATGATGCAAGATTCAAAAGATAGACAGGTTGGAACAATGTACTAGAATGAACAAGATCACATTTAATGCAGATAAATATGAAGTCCTCTAATTAAAGCCCTCATTGTAGATAATCAGCAGACATAGTGATAATGGTGAAAAGGCCAATGGGCTTTAGTTGGTTAAGTTCAGTACAAGCCAAAAGAGCCACATGGTTGCTAAGAGCTCACTAGTAAGCTGTATGATAAGAAATATGGTATCTGGATTGAGGGAGGTCTCTGACCATTCTCATTTAATCAGAATATGCTTAGTGTGCTCTGTAGAATTCTACTATCTCATTTAAAAGCAGACATTGACAAGGCATGTCTAGAAGAGGTTATCTAGGAGGGTCAAGGCTTTGGGAAATCATGGTGTAAGGGATGGCTTAAGTAACCAGAATGTTTAAACCAGAAAAGAGGACAGAGTGGCATGGCAATGGTCTCCTAGAATTTATCTGTAGGTAGCTGAGAGAAGGAAGAAAGATTAAACTTGTTATTTTCACTACTCTGAAGTAGAAGTAAGACCATGGAGTGTAAATTTTGGGAAGGACACTGATTCAGGCTTTTTAAATTTTTAATCATTATAGCTGTGTGTTACAGAACAAATTATCTAGCAGAGGCTTCATGGGCATCTCTTGGTAATATTGTAGGAACAATCACTGCTCTGGAGGAAGCCTATCAGTAGTTCTCAGGGTCATTTACTATTTTGTGATTGACAAGCAGACTAGTGATAGGGACTTCAAATCTTCCCATAAAGGATAAACTACTACAAGAACTGCCTTCTTGGGGCACCTGGGTGGCTTAGTAGTTTAGCATCTGCCTTTGGCTCAGGTCATGATCCCAGTAGGAAGCCTGCTTCTCCCTCTGCCTATGTATGTCTCTGCCTCTCTGTGTCTCTCATGAATGAATGAAATCTTTTTTTTCTTTTTAAGATTTTATTTATTTATTCATGAGAGGTGCAGAGAGAGAGTCAGAGACACAGGCAGAGGGAGAAGCAAGCTGCACATAGGGAACCCGACGTAGGACTTGATCCGGTGGCTCCATGATCGTGCCCTGGGAAGGCACTAAACCGCTGAGCCACCAGGGCTGCCCTGAATAAATAAAATCTTTAAAAAAAAGAACGAAAAAGAAAGAACTGCCTTCTTGCCTTAAATAATTAGAAATTCAGACAAAATACATAAAACAATGGTTTTTCAGACATTAGACAACAAGCAGTGGAGGACTATTTTCCAAGAAAAGGCAAAGTGAGTACCCTACTACACCCCAGAACAAAGCCCAAAAGTATTTATAGGGACATAAAACCTAGCACCCAGAAATGTAAATTTCATAATGTCCAACAAACAATAAAAAATTATTGGCATGCAAAGTGGTAGGAAAATATGACTCATAACCAGAGGAAATGATAGAAGTGATGGAATTAGTAGGCAACACCTTAAAATGACTTTTTTTTTTAAAGATCCTATCTTTAAGTAATCTCTATACACTGAGGTACATCATATTCAAACTGCAGAAAATCAGTGAAAATAGAAAATCTTACAAGCTGTCAGGAAATGAAAGATCATATACAGAGGATCAAAGCAGACTTTTAACAGAAACTACTATCTTGATAGTCTGAAGACAATGAAGCACATCTTCAAAGTACAAAAAAAAAAAAAAAAGGTAAATCTTGAATTTTATATCCAGCAAAAATATCTTTCAAAAATGAAGGTAAAGGGGTGACCAGGTAGCTCAGTTGGTTGGGCATCAGACTCTTGGTTTCGGCTCAGGTCATGATTTCAAGGTTGAAGGATAGAGCCTGTTATGGGCTCTAAGCTCAACAGGGAGTCTGCTTGAGATTCTCTCCCTCACCATCTATGCCTCCCCTTGCTCACACTTTCTCTAAAGAAAAAAAAATGAAGGTGGAATAAAGACTTTCTCAGACCAATACGACCAGCAGACCTTGCATGGACCAGAAATACTAAAGGAAATTCTTTAGGCAGAAGGAAAATGGAATCAGAATGATGTCTGCCTCCACAAAAGATCAACAGTACCAGAAATGGTAAATATGTGGGTGAATATAAAGGACATTTCGCCCTTATTTTAAAAACCTCTTTAAAAAATAACTAATTAAAGCTGAAATAATAACAATGTATGTAAAGTTTATAACATATGTATGCAAAATTATTTGGCAACAATAACACAAAGAACGAGAGAAGGAAACTGGAAGGATTCTGTTGTACGGTTCTTATACTGTATGTGAAAGGCATATAATATTTTCTGAAGGTAGAATGTGTTAAGTTAAAGGTATATACTGTAAGCCCTAAGAAGTCACCAAAAAAACTCTCACCAAAACAGGAGTAAATGGTCAGCAAACCAATATTAGAATCTAGAAAGAGGCGTGAGAGGCACCTGGGTGGCTCAGTGGTTGAGTGTTTGCCTTTGGCTCAGGTTGTGATCCCGGGGTCCTGGGATTGAGTCCCACATCGGGCTCCCTGCAGGGAGCCTGCTTCTCCCTCTGCCTGTGTCTCTGCCTCTCTGTGTATGTCTCTCATAAATAAATAAAATCTTTAAAAAACAAAATAAAAAAACAAAAAGAAGCCGTGAAAAGAAAAAAATGGAAAAAAGAACAGATGGAATAATTAGAAAACAAACGGTAAAATGGTAGATTTAAACCCAACCTTTCAATAATTGTATTGCATATAAGTGGTCTAACCATTCCTATTAAAAGATGGAGATTGTCAAACTAGATCAAAAAAGCAAAACTCAACTACTGAGCGTCTCTAAGAAACCCACTTTGAAAACACAGATGGGACGGAAACAGACATGCCATGCAAACACTAATAAAAAAAACTCAGAACAAGAAATATTACCAGGGATAAAGAAGAACATTTCATAATGATAAAGAGGGTCAGTTCAACAAATGGATATAAAATTTAAATGTGTATTCATCAAATAACAGAACTTCAAAATGTACAAAGCAAAATGGATAGAACTAAAAGGAGAAATAGATAAATCTTCAATGATAGCCAGAGATCTCAACACTCCGCTCCCAGTAATTGATTGAGCAAGTACACAAAATGATTAGTAAAGATACAGAAGACTTTGGAAACACCATCATCTAATGTGACCTGATATTTATCAAACGCTCCTCCTAATAATGCAGAATATACATTCAAGTACACATGAAACATAGTAACAGCCAATTATTTTTTTGCTTTAAACCACGACTCAGTAAAATTAAAAGGACTAAAACCATACAGTTATGTTCTTTGATTACAAAGGAATTAAATTACTAGAAATCATTAAAGACAGCTGAAAAATACCCAAATATTTGGAAATTAAGCCACACATTTCTAAATAATCTCAAAGAAATCAAAGAAACCAGAAAGTATTCTGAACTAACTGAAAATGAAAGCACTGCATATAAAAATGTGTGGGATGCAACAAATGTAGTACTTAGAGTGAAATTTATAGCATTAGATGTTTATACTTGGGGCGCCTTGGTGGCTCAGTCAGTTAAGCATCTGCCTTTGACTCAGGTCATGATCTTGGAGTCCTGGGATTGAGCCCCCTTGCTTCTCCCTCTCCCCTGGCCTGCCACTGCCCCCCTGCTTATGCTCTCGCACTCTCTCTGTCAAATTAATTAATTAATAATAAAAATCTTTTTTTTTAAAGATTTTATTTATTTATTCATGAGAGACAGAGAGAGAGGCAGAGACACAGGCAGAGGGAGAAGCAGGCTCCATGCGGGAGCCACCCAGGGATCCCAATAATAAAATCTTTAAAAAAAAAAAAAAAGCTTATACTTCAAAAAGTAAAGTCTAACTTCTGTGGTCTGTGCCAGATGCCAATTTTTTTTTCTGTAAAGGCTCAGACAGTATTTTAAGCTTTGCAGGTTACACACTGTCACATAGTTGTTGTTGTTGTTTTTTTAAGCAAAGAATGTAAAAAAAAAAAAAAAAGTCTTTTTTTTTTTTTTTCTGTAGCTCCACGCCATACAAAAATAGGCTGTGTGCCAGATATGGCCTACAGGCTGTAATTTATCCACCCCCTCATCTAAAGTTCTACCTGAAGAAACTAGAAAAAATATAAACTAAATCCAAAATTAGCAGAATGAAGAAAAAAAGAATAGAAATCAATAAAACAGACAACAGATGAACAAGAAATAGAGAAAAATCAATGATGCCAAAAGCTGGTTTTCTGAAAATATAAAAAAAATTGATAAACTTCTAGCCAGCTGGTGAAATTTAAAAAAAAAGGGAGAGGGGAAAAAAAAAAGGGAGAGGGAGGGAGACATAAATGACCAATTATCAGGAATGATAGAGGGGATCATCATTATAGATCCTACAGATAATAAAAGAGAATATTTGAAAATTTAGATGAAATGGAAACATGCTGGGAAATGTACTGACTACCAAAACGCACTTATTCAGAAAGAGACAACATGAACTGCTCTCTGTCTAGGCCCTTGTGGCTTTACTGGCAAATCTAACCAAACAGCTGAGCATGAAATAATATCAACAGAACACAAAATCTTTTAGAAACAGAGAACACTGTTCAAATCATTTATGAGGCCAGCATTACCCAGATATCAAAATGCGACAAAGGCATAAAAGTAAGGAGAAAAATATGTTGGCTTTTTTTTCCCCTTTAAAAATAGAAATAAAGGTTAGAAGGTGGTATATTTATGAGCTTTGTAAGTAAAATGCAACAGAGTAAAATAAAACAGGTTAGGAAACAGCCACAGGATATGCTAACCAGCAGGTATCAATCAGGACAGTTATATTCTTATTTTCTTAGATGGAGAAAGGGAACAGAGAGAGAAAAGTAGGAAAAACCTACCACCCCTATTTTGATTTCTGAAGCTTGAAGGGAAGGGCTGGGATTCAGATTCTTATTCTATAGCCTTTCCCTGAAAACAGGCCCAGCAAATAGATTTCCTCCCACACCCAAGGCCAGGGGACAGTGGGAAGTTGGGTGCTCCCCAGTTAATATGGAGTTTGGAAAGTCTGACTGCTGAATTGTGTAAGATGTTCTTAGGTCTGTACCTTGACATAGCTTCCTCCTTTATCTGAGACGAGGGCCACGTAGGTGATTTCGTGGTATCTGCAGTATTCCTGGAGTTCTTCTTGGGACTGAAACAAATGCAGCGCATGAAATAAACACAGAGTGCTTAGGGCAGCTTCAGATAATCAAGGAGACAGTGTTTGACTATATTTTCAATGTGAATTACTAAACATGCCAACTTCAGGAGATCTAAATATTATGCCAGAAGAATAAGAACTCACAGGAGAAGACCTTGCTGTCCTTACTTTCACTACTGTCCTCAGGGGCCATGGACAATCAATGTGGTCAGGACACAGTAAGAGGTCTTCAAAAGCTTCAAATCCCAATGGAAGGTGCCAAAGATTACACAGTACACACACATACATGAAAAGGCCTCTGAGGGGCAGCTGGGTGGCTTGGCGGTTTAGCGCTGCCTTCGGCCCAGGGCCTGATCCTAGGGACCCCGGGTCGAGTCCCGCATCAGGCTCCCTGTGTGGAGCCTGCTTCACCCTCTGCCTGTGTCTCTGCCTCTCTCTTTGTGTCTCTCATGAATAAATAAAATCTTAAAAAAGGAGAGAGAGAGAAAAAAAGGCCTCTGAGGAAAGCCAAGGCAACAGTAATAGTGGATGGTACACAGCAGAAGCAAAGCAGGAAGCCACCACATGGCAGAGCAGGACGCCTGCAGGGTCTGCCGCCGTGCAGAACTGAAGGCACGCTTTCTGTGAGGATGCGTTTCTCAAAACAAGGAAACAAATGGAAGAGGATGCTGCTCTGTTGAATGACTTAACGTTGGTGCTCAGCCTCCTCACACACACAGAGGGATGGCAGGAGGTCCAGAATCCTGTTGGCAGGTGATGTGAAAGGGGCATGAGGGAGGGTGGGGCCTCTGCTTTCCCGGGCGGCTCTTCATGTCCTGGGCACCTGAGTGTGGGTGGTCACCTGGGAGTGCAGGCCCTTCTGGGATCTGTTGGTGGCAGTGGAGATGCTCTCTAAGGGCCCCCCTTTCTGAAGAGCAGGTGGGTTCAGGGTGGCCACTTTCCTCACTTCCATCCCCAGAGTGCCCTGCTGTGGGAGGTCTGAGGATACACAGCCCCACACCCGACACGGAGTGGCTTGGGAAGTGTGGGAGGCTAGATCCTGGCCCTGAAAGGACTGCTGAATGTGAAAGTGGAGGAAGGGACTAGAATGGAGGGATGCAGCAGGCCACTGGGAGCTGGAAACGGGAAGGGAATGGATTCTCCCCCTAAAGCCTCCAGACAGAATGGGCCCTAGCAGACACCTTGATTTGAGCCGAGGGCAGCTGATGTCACACTCCTGAATGCCAGAAATGCCAGATAAGAAGCCTAGATCCTTTTAAACCACTAAACCTGTGGTACTTTGTTACTGTAGCAATCCGAAACACAGGAAGCAACTCTACCCAGAGAGAAGCAGAGTCTAAGAGAACTCTACCCTGAGGCTGGAGCAGACGATTCGCCGTTGCAGCCCTGACTACACGCACTCTGCTCGTGGGCGCTTTTTGTCTCCTTACCTGTGACCAGTCGTACATGATCTGTGCTGTGATTCCTGCTGACCAAAGTTTCTGGGTTAGGTTGATGGCCCTGGACATGGACATCTGGCCAACACTTACGATCAGGAGGTCACAAGAGCTTATTGTAACCTGGATCAGAAACAGAGTGGTTACGTTTAGAGGAGCGAGACTGTGGGCATATCGGTGAGACCAGCACCAGGAGGGAGGCACCACTCATGTGAAGACAGGCATCTTGAAATCCTGTACAGCAATAGAAGTCTTAGCTTCAAAATGACATAGTAAAAAAAAAACAAAACCAAAACAAAACCAAAAAAATCTGACAAAAAGCTTTTATATTAGTCTTTTCAGAAAATTATTTCAGCTATTCTAAGCCATCAGGAAGATATTGTTTTCCTCTGGGAAAGCTAATCTTGTCTGAAATGAAAAGGAAAAAGAACCATTTATAGCTCTGTAGAGTCCAGCAGGATTTCTGAACAAGGGGCTGGCTTTGCTAGTCTCTTGACAGCTACAACGCATCAAAGTGCATCAAAAACAAGAGGAACAAGGCCAGGAAAAAATGTGATGAGCTGTCTGAGGTCCCCCAGCTAGAGGCTAAGGATGCAAGGACTGATGCCAAGTCGTGGGCTTGTCTACTGTGGCAAAGGCAACTTCCCGAAGCCTTAGTCTACTGCCATACCCAGGCTCCATATAAATAACTACAAAATGAAAGACAGCCCAGAGCCTGCTGGAAAGCAAAACTGGAACTTACAGGTTCTTCCATGTTGAGGATAGCTGCAGATATCTTGTCTATGGCTATGCTGACCCCAACAGCTGTCGGGACTGGTCCCAGAGCCTGCGGTCCTCTAAACTGGGGAATCTGTGAAGAAAGGCACAGCTCTGCTTATAAAATAGAAAAGAAACTGTAATCACAGGCAAAGCAATGACTGGAAGGCACACATTTGGTAGCAACTTATCATCAAAGGGTTCAACCAAAAAAAAAGTATGCATGAGGACCTGGGTTGGGGGAGAGAGAGAGAGAGAAAGAGAAGAGAAGGAAGGGAAGGGAGAGATGGGAGTAAGCACACATGCCAATTTAGGAAAATGCTAACAAATGCTGAATCTAGAGCTACACTGTTCAATATGGCAGCCACTTAGCCACACATGTGGATTGAGCATCTGAAAAAGGACTAATCCAAACTGACATGAGCTGTCTATAAAATACATAGAGGTTACGAAGACTCCAAATGGAAACAAAGAGGATATAAAATAGTTCATTAATAATATTTACATGCCTGATTACATGTTGAAATAGTATTTGAGATATATTGGGTTAAATATACACTGATTGCAAAGGCTTAGAAAAAATGTAAAATAGCTAAAAAATTTTGAAAATTTTGATTGTATGTTGAAACGTTTTGGGTATTTGGGTTAAATAAGATATATTATTAAAATAAATTCCATCTGTTTCTTTTTACTTGCTGTATGTCACTAGACTATTTATTTATTAATTTTTAAAGATTTTATTTATTTATTCATGAGACGCACACAGAGAGAGGCAGAGACACCAGCAGAGGGAGAAGCAGGCTCCATGAAGGGAGCCCGATGTGGGACTCGATCCTGGGACTCCAGGATCACGCCCTAGGCCGAAGGGAGATGCTTAGCCGCTGAGCCATCCAGGCATCCTTGTCACTAGATAATTTAAAACTACGTATGTCGGTTCTGATTTTGGACCAAGACAGGTAAGAATACTTCTCTCTGCTATTCCTCCTGTTGAGTATAGCTAAAAATCCTGGACATTACTTATAAAACAAATGTAAGAAGGGGCACCTGGGTGGCTCAGTGGTTGAGGGTCTGCCTTTGGCTCAGGGTGTGATCCTGGGGTCCTGGGATCGAGTCCCACATCAGGCTCCTTGCAGGGAGTCTGCTTCTCCCTCTGCCTGTGTCTCTGCCTCTTTCTCTGCATCTCTCATGAATAAATAAATAAAATCTTTGAAAATAAAACAAAAAACAAATATAAGAAGACTATGAAGTGAAGAAAGGGTGACAAACTGGCTAGGGAACCACAGGATCTGAGGAATAACATACAGTGACAACCCAGAAATGCCAAAGAGAACCAATGAGAAGCCCCCAGGAAGACCTGCTCTCTTTAGCAAAAAGATCAAGAAAGGGGCGACCTGGCAAAAAGTGTTTATATAATACCTGTCATGTTCTAGCCAAACACCACAGGAAAAAGCATAGGCCTGCCCTTACCAGCAGAGGCCCACATATTCACCCAGATGTCAGCAGCCCCCCTCTTCCACCAGGCCCCAGCAGGGTGGCATGACAAAAGATGACTAAATGGGAGGCAGGACTTTCTTTTCTGCCTGAGGTATTACACCTGCCCCCTAGACAGTGTCACTGGAGGCCAGGAACTGAAGGATTTCAGACCCTCACCTCCACCCAAGCAGTAACGAGGTCACCCTCCCTGTGGAGGTGGTGCTGGAGACGGCTGAGTGGGAAGCTAGAACTTCCTCTGCTCTCCAGGAGTCTCCTGCTACCTCCCCATCCCTCCACACAGTCCCAGTAGAGGAATGTGGCATCACTAACAAGATACCCCTCCCACCCTAGGGATGCTGAAGCAAGCTCAGTAAGGAACCTAGATCTTGACCCTCAACCAACTGCCACTACTCCTGTGCTATCAGAGGAGGCCTGCTAAACCAGAAGACCTAGCTTAGCTCCGGAGTCTTTTTTTTTCTTTAATTTTTTTAAAGATTTTTATTTATTTATTTATGATAGACATAGAGAGAGAGAGAGAGAATGGCAGAGACACAGGGAGAGGGAGAGGCAGGCTCCATGCCGGGAGCCTGACGTGGGACTCGATCCCGGGACTCCAAGATCGCGCCCTGGGCCAAAGGCAGGCGCTAAACCGCTGAGCCACCCAGGGATCCCCAGCTCCGGAGTCTTGTAACAGAATACATAAAATATCCCGGGGAAAGTGAAAATCATGCACCATGGCAAGAAGCAAGAAATGTGTAAGGAAAGACAATCAACAGACACCAAAAACAAGATGATACACGTGTTGGAAATCTCTGACAAGGATTTTAAAATGACCACCAAAAAATCCTTCAACAAGTATTACGTATAGGGAAGGAGAAGAAGAAAAAGGAAGAAGAGGAAGAGGAGGAAGAAGAGGAGGAAGAGGAAGAAGGAGGAGGAAGAAGGAGGAGGAAGAAAAAAGAAAAGAAGGATGAGGAGGAAGAAGAAGTCTCAGCAAAGAAGAAGAAGAAAGAAAAACCTGGATGGGCTCAACAGAGAATGGGGGAAACCAGTGGAAATAACCAATGAAACTGAAGATGAAACAGTAGAAACTATTCAATCTGAAGAAGAGAGAAAACAGACCGTAAGGCAAAAGGCCCCAGAACCTCAGGGATATAACAAAAACCTGAACTTTGTCATCAAAGTCCTAGAAAGAGAGCAAAAAGAAGGGAAGACGTAAGAGCTATTAGAATAATATGCTGGAAATCTGCCTTTATGGGACTGGGGGGAGGGACGGGGGGGGGGCATGCAACAGAAAACCTTGTTACTGCCTCCCATTCAGCCCACTCCGGGGCCTCTTACTACTCGGGTGGAGGCGAGGGTCTGAAATCTTCCGGTTCCTGGCCTCCAGTGACACTGTTTGCACCACCCCAGGCAGATATGAAAATCTTAGCTCCCATTTAATCTCCGATGCCACCCTGCTGGGGCTTGGTGGAAGCCCACACTGGAAAAAGGCATAAACCTCCAGATTCAAGAAGCTGAGATAACCCCAAAGAGTGTAAATCCAAAGAAAATCATGCCAAGACACATCATGATCAAATTTCAAACTAAAGACAAAGAAAAAAAAAATCTTAAAAGCGCTGAGTGAAAACCAACTTTCCTATAAGGGAGAATTCAAATAACAGCATATTTCCCATTAGAAATCAGAAATTTGGGTTAAGTACACAGACTTTCTTCTCGAATTTCTCAGGGTTTGACAGTTGAAGCAAAAAGCCTAACCCTGTCTGATGTGGATCTCAATGTATGGAGAGGAAACATTTAAGAAAATTATATTATAAATGGGGGGGAACAGGTAAAGGGACTTCCAGAGAGGTAAAGGTTCTGTACTTCACTTGAACTAGTAAATATCAGCACCAACGGATCTATATGGCGACAGAAGAGCTCTTAATCCTGATTGGGGTGCTGGTTACGGACTCCACACACGTGACAGAATGGTACAGAATTACACATGTACAGTGTAACCAATGTCCGTGACCTGCTTTTGATATTTAATTATAGTTATGCCAGATTCAACCATTCACAGAAACTCAGTGAAAGGTACACAAGATCCCTCTGTACTGTTTTTGCAAACCTATAAAACCTTCCTGTAAACCTATAACTATTTTAAAATAAAAGTTAAAAAAAATAATAAAAAATAAAATAAAAGTTAAAAACACTACAAATGTGGTTCACGGTACATTTCTATTCCTAGATAAAAGGCATGAAGGTGTTCAATTATACCACTGGTTCAATTTTTCTGAAGGTTTGGAAGACTTCAAAATACTAATGTGAGAAAGAAAGGAGATTAAGCCAGAATAAATCAACGAATACAGGGCAAGCCCTCACCAGCAGGTCGTATCTGCCTCCAGCTGCAAGGATTTCTGATATAGCCCTTTGCCTCCGTCTGATGACCGCCACAAACTGGAAGATGACTCCGTTGTGCTGCTGTACTTTGTAAACCAAGCCCAAGTTGATCAAGACCTATGAAGTGCAATCCCACACAAACATGTCAGGGGCATGGTTTTCCATCAATAGCATCACAGCAATCAGGAAGATGTCTAAGTATAGCCTGCCAGGTAAGAGAAACTCTGCTCTCTTCAAGAATCACCACTTTGGGGCACCTGGGTGGCTCAGTGGTTGCCTTTGGCTCAGGTCATGATCCCAGGGTCCTGGGATCGAGTCCCACATCAGGGTCTCCATGGGGAGCCTGTATTTCCCATGCATAAATAAATAAAATCTTAAGAAAAAAAAATCACCACTTCACGGAGGTTAACTGACATCAGACCTGCTGTACTACAGGAATCATGAAACTTCCAGGGACATTCTGATTGAAGCCACAACTATCACTAGAAATCACACATTCCAAAATGGAGAAACCAGGATTCTGGAAGAATGAAACACCTACTAGCATTAGCCCAAAAAACCCACTTCCCCCTGCGCTAACACTACAGATCCATGGTACAATCCAACAGTTTGCCAAACCTGTAACTTGATGCCGAGTTTCTTCAACAGCCCAATGATCTCCTCTAAGTCTTTCAAGCCATACTTCACCAGTTGGGCAACACCTGTTTTCTGTTTTATTAATGAATTTATTGCTGGTGTTAGATCTTGCAAATCTCCCTTCTGCTCAATGAATTTGTAGAGTCGACACAGCTGGAAAGCAAACAAGGCACATTTAGCTTCCAATCCACGGCAAGGAGGACGCACGCTGCACGGGGTCTCCACACACAAGGGACACAGCAGAGCTCCTGCACCTCCACGAAGAGCAATTCTGTGGTCAGAGGCGATTTTAACCTTTACTGGGAACCTGGCTGAGGATTATCCTTCCCAGGAACTCGAAAGCATCTCACAGACGTGCTCTGGGCACTTAATCTCCCAGCTAATACTAGCTGAGCCGCCATTACAAGGTTTCTGAGCCAGTATTGTCTTCTTCACCTTCCTCGTGGTCATCAATTCCAGTTACTGCAGGCACAGAAATGGGGGATGGAGGCAGATAATGCAGGAAAAGTCTGACTGTTCCTAATTCTACTCTGAAAAAGCCAGAAACCCCGCCTCCTCCTTTTGCTTGAATAAGTCCTGTTTGGAGCCTTGGGGTGCCACTTGGGTGTCACCTCCCACAGACAACCTCCTGATCCTTCCCTCCCTCTGGCTCACACCTCCATCCCAGCTCTCACAGGAGGGCAGTGGCTAGAGGTTATCTGTAGGCCAGGGCCACCCAGTCCCTGACACACAGCAGGTAGAGGAAGAAGTAACTAAGGTCATAAACTGGAAAGACAATCTCCACTGTAGCTCCTGGGAGTTAAATACAATTATAGCTATTTTAAGATTCTACAAGCATAACCTGGTTCAATGATAAATTGGTGCATGGAAACTAAGAGCTGAATGAAGACTCAGCTTAATCCAGTTTCATATAATAATCATAAACTACATGTATGTTTTAAAAATCCAAAAAGTAATATAATCTCAATTTCTTTAGTATATTAAATGTTTTTCTTCTTAAAATAAAAACTTATTCCTTCTCAAATTTTAACATTGAATTACCCCATTAATAAACTACTACTACTACTAGAATCAATAACTCAAGGTTTGTGTCCTCACCCTGGCATCAACAAACTCCATGTGACTGGGCCTGAGGTGCCCCATCCGTGAAATCCAAAGACTGGGCCAGACACTGGCTTGCAATATTTCTACTTCCTTTTCTAATATCCTTAGAGTCCCAGTTTTATTTTTTTTTTTTGAGTCCCAGTTTTAAATAATGGGAATACCAAATGCCTTTACAAGGTGCTAATTTTTCCATTTTTAAGCTAATCAAATGTACAACTCCAAATGAATGCTGATCATCAAATAACCAGAGGTTTACTTATTATTATTATTTTTTTATTTATTTATGACAGTCACAGAGAGAGAGAGAGAGAGGCAGAGACACAGGCAGAGGGAGAAGCAGGCTCCACGCACCGGGAGCCTGACGTGGGATTCGATCCCGGGTCTCCAGGATCGCGCCCTGGGCCAAAGACTGGTGCTAAACCACTGCGCCACCCAGGGATCCCTAACAAGAGGTTTAACAAGAAGAGGACATCTGAGCAGCTGACACAGCTACCATGTGCAAGTGTGAAATATGTTTGAAGTGTGACATTAGTTCAAAGAACCTTTTGGGCTTGAATGTTCAGGTAAGCAATCACTGGACTCGGCAGTTTCTTGAGCAGATATTTCATGCTCTTTATATATGAGATTATTTCTGCTCATAGGTATGTGCTGTGTACATGTCTAGAGGCTTATGGAAATCCTGTGCTTCATATTAAAATATTATATCATTGGTCACTTTGTGTACCATTAATATCTCCCCCAATACTTAACATCTAAAATTTAACCTGGCTTAATTTCTAGAATCCCTAGGCTCTGTAATCTAGTTTACTCTCCCTACCTAACTGTATGCTAATTGCCCTGAGCTGCTGCCTGTGTGTGCACGTTTTGTTAGAGAGCTGAGGGTAAACAGATACTGCACGGATGCCCCCGTGGCTTTTTAAAGGGCAATATGAATTCAGTTGAAAGCAGCCTGTGGCCTCCTCAGCTGACTCCTTTATATGCTCAGCACTGTGCCCACCACACTGCAGGTGTCCAAAAGAATGAGTGCCTCTGCGCTATATTTTAATCTATTTTATACGTGAATTTGCTGATCATCACAGGATACGTAATTGAGCGCCCAACCAGAGCTAGAGGGATCCTGGGGAGGTTTCAAAGAAGTATCTCTTCTTATATAAATATTCAGGAAAATGTCAGAAATCCCTGCTGTCTTCAGCTATTCAGTGACTCCATGGAGTGTGGGATACCATGCCAAACATCAGAGACCAACCTGATGCCTGTTGAGAGAATATGACAAACCTGTTTACCGCACGAGAGATTCCTCATTGCTGCTGGGGTCAAACGTAAGACTGTAGGAGTAGGAAATGTACCAGAAAAGTAGAGGCTTTAATTCCACTCTGCTGTGTTGGAAGATCGGGGGCCAGTGATGAGGGAAACCCAGATGGATCTGCAGAGCTCTGTGCCCCGCTCTGGTCCCATAGGATCTATTTCAGAAAAGGATAATGAGTCCTAGAGCCACTAGCAGGAGGCTCTGCCGGGCATGGCCCTTACAGTCCGAGCAGGATGCTGACCACACAGGGCCCAGTGGCATGGAGAGGCAGGCTTTGATCACAGCACTGGGCCCTCTGCTCCTGATCCCAGAGGCTGCCACGGCCTGATCAACGCTCAGGGGAAACCGGTCCTGAGGTGCCAGGGAGCAGCATTGCCACACCGCCTCAAAAATGGGGTGACACTTTCTCATACAGAGAAAGCTATGATGGCATCATGACAAGATACTTACACTATTAGATGACAGAGACAGATTACAAAACTTGGCTTCCACTTCTCTCCTTGTCAGCTTTTCTGTCTAATGTGGAAGAGAAAGGGGACGAGAGTCACCAAATTTGGCCCCGAACAAGAGATGCAATCTCCAGGCTAATGCTGACAAGTCTACCATCCACATTGGACAAACTGCTCCAAATCATGAAGGATGGATTAATTCTGTGGTTAGAAAATTTTTTTTCAGTTCACATGAAACTAATATTTGTCTTTTTAATTTTTTAAAAGATTTTAAGTAATCTCAGTACCCAATGTGGAGCCTGAACTCACAACCCTGAGATCAAGAGTTGCATGCTCGACTGATGGAGCCAGCCAGGCACCTCTCACATGCATCTTAAAATATGAAAATTCCCAACATAAGGCAGTCCAGGTGGCTCAGCAGTTTAGTGCCGCCTTCAGTGTGATCCTTCAGCGTGATCCTGGAGACCCGGGATCGAGTCCCATGTTGGGCTCCCTGCATGGAGCCTGCTTTTCCCTCTGCCTGTGTCTCTGCCTCTGTGTGTGTGTGTGTCTCTCATGAATAAATAAATAAAATCTTAAAAAAAAAAGAAAGAAAGAAAGAAAGAAAGAAAGAAAGAAAGAAAGAAAGAAAGAAAATCCCCAACATCGAAGATGAAAGGCAGAAGCTGCCCTTTTTTTTTTTTAATAAATTAATTTTTATTGGTGTTCAATTTACCAACATACAGAATAACACCCAGTGCTCATCCCGTCAAGTGTCCCCCAGAAGCTGCCCTTGTTGAATGATGAGACAGCCCAGGGCTGGACAGGCCGAACCAGGGTGTTTCTGTTTGGACAGCGAGGGAGTAATGGATCGGTGTTCCTCTAACACAAGCCACGTGCAGACGGGCTCTGAGCACTGCACCCCAGGCTGGCAGTTAGGCTCTGACTGAGAAACGAACTGGATGACATGAAGCCCCCTTGCATAATCCCTAGGGTTCCTGCCAGTATCCAACTGACACAGTGTCTGCTGCTGCCAAAAAGGAGCAGCAATTCTGGGGGAAAAGCACCACTGAGAAACAGTAAAATGAGAGCCCTTGATGTGTACCTGCCACATGAGAGAAAGGCTACTTAGGCTTTTCGGTGTATAGAAAATGGTAAGCCAGCATAGACATCCATGGTCTGTTCTGACTTAGTCATGGACTATATGACTCTATAGGTTATTAAATCTCATGGATGCCTCTTATTTATTATAAAAACAATATTTAATATGAAAAGAAATTAACCAACTGAGCCACCTAGGCGCCCCTCTAAGTATCTGCCTTCGGCTCACGTCATGATCCCAGGATCCTGGGATCAAGTCCCGCATAGGGGTGGTCTCTACTCAGACTGCTTCTCTCTCTCCCTCTGCTCTTTTTTTTTTTTAAATATTTACTTATTTATTTATTCAGAGAGAGAGAGAGAGAGAGAGAGAGAGAGAGAGAGAGGCAGAGACACAGGCAGAGGGAGAAGCAGGCTCCATGCAGGAAGCCTGACTTGCGACTTGATTCCGGATCTCCAGGATCACACTCGGGGCTGCAGGCGGCGCTAAACCACTGTGCCACTGGGGCTGCCCTCCCTCTGCTCTTGTGCTCTCACTTGCTCGCTCTCTCTCTCTCTCTCACTCTCCCTCTCAAATAAAATCTCAGAAAGAAAGAAAGAAAGAAAGAAAGAAAGAAAGAAAGAAAGAAAGAAAGAAAGAAAGAAAGAAAGAAATTAGAAAAGATAAGCATTCACCTTCATCCCAGCACCTTAACACTATTAAAAATTTTTAGTGATGGGGCATCTGAGTGGCTCAGTGGTTGAGCGTCTGCCTTTGGCTCAGGTCGTGATCCTGGATCCTGGGGTCGAGTTCCACATCAGGCCCCTCACAGGGAGCCTGCTTCTCCCTCGGCCTGTGCCTCTACCTCTCTCTCTGTGTGTCTATTATTAATAAATAAAAATAAAATCTTAAAATAAATAAATAAATAAAATTTTCAGTGGTTCCCCTCTAGGCTCTGCACACAAACTAGAGAGCAATGAATACTATGATGTGGTTAACTTAGGCCAGCCCCCCAGGAAGGAGGTATTGAATGAGGCTCTACCTGAGGTCTAAACCATTCTCCCCCGATTCAACCAAAAATCCAAATGACCAAATCTATAAATGGCTTTACTGATCAGTATAGGTGGATTGGAAGAATTAAGTGGAAGGCATAAGCCTTTTATTCTTCATACAATCATTCCCTCCAATTGTTTTTGTTTTTTTTTAAGATTTTATTTATTTATTCATAAGAGACACAGAGAGGCAGAGACATAGGCAGAGGGAGAAGCAGGCTCCCTCTGGGACTAGATCCCAGGACCCTGGGATCACGCCCTGAGCCCAAGCAGACGCTCAACCACTGAGCCACCCAGGCGTCCCCAATTGTTACTTTAGAGAAAAGAGGCAAGGAGATAAAACTCCCAATTCAGTCTTATGGTTACATCACTAAGAAAATACTTATTAACTATCATTATGCTTCAGTATCAAGTGGAAGTAACTAAATGCTTACCACTGCATCATACAGAATAACATAGACTTGACTGAGTTTATCTTCTGGGATCCCACAGTGTAAGAAGATTGCTTTCAATAACATGGTGTGGTTCAAGTAAATACTGTAATTTCTTTCCTAGGATATGAATGAAAAATTATTAGTTTAATTATAAAAGCAGTACAGGTACATGATCAAATCCAGAATCATTCCACCAACTTACCATCCAGGCCGGGGATCGGGGAAGGATTGAATTTTTGCATATTGCCTTCTGGCTTATATTTTCACAAATATTCTTTTTATATTGTCATAATCAAAGAGTGTAATAGAATCAAATCCTTCTAAAACACTTTGGTCAGGGTGCCTGGGTGGCTCGGTTGGTTGGGGGTCTGTCTTCGGCTCAGGTCATGAACCCAGGTTTCTGGGATCAAACTATGCCTCAGGCTCCTTGCTCAGTGAAGGGTCAGCTTCTCCTCTGCCCCTCCCTCTAGGGGCTTGCTCTCCCTCTCAGATAAATAAATAAAATCTTTACAAAATTAAAAAAAAAATAAAACACTTTGGTCCTCGGCTGTGGTGAAAAGCCTGAAGGAGTTCACAGAGGTATCAGCATGGGAGAGGACCTGGTTCAACAGTAAACGACACTTAGGGACAGGCTGGTGGAAGCACCGTCGTCACTTTTGTCCACCCGAGCTGATTCGCGAGCAGTGCACTGAGCTGTGTGCAGCAGGGTGCACAGAAAAGTGGACACATCGGCTCTGCCCTCAGTGAGCAGGAGATGTCTCACCTCAAGGGCTGTGAGGGTGGAGAAGGAAAGGTGGCTGGCCAATCGATGAGGGAGCAGTCAGGCTTCCGGGACAGAAGGCTCGCAAACAGCGGCTGGGAAGACAAGTCTTGCTAGACAAGGAACACTGTGACTGGCACAGTGGTGGGGGTGAGCGGCCCCGGGTGTGGGACCCAGAGAGAAGGCCTGAGGACAGCAGTCTCCACTGGCGAGGAAGGAGGCCAGCTCAATGGAAAGTGAAGCTGGGGAGCTAAGAGACAGGGTGGGGCGCAGGAAGGGGCCACAGAGGGTGCAGAACTGGGTGGACACACTAAAAAGTATCGTAGGAATTCTAGCTAATTTCTTGTGTTTTGGAAGAATGGGCCAAGCAACAACACCCTTCCCCCAAAACAGATGAAAACAGAACCCATTCCTGTCAAGGCGGAGAGAGCCTGAGATAAACCCAAAAATAACCTCATTAAATTCTTATCAGTTATTTAAGTCAAACGTGACCCACTGCTGGCACTAACGGAGGGGCACTTCTGTTGTAGTCAAGCCCTCTTGCCTGCCACCCTCCCTGGGTCACAGACCCTAGCAAGTGGCCCCAGAATGTCAGACTTGAGAAGTAACCTGCAGTGCCGGGAACTCCTGGATGATCTCACAGATCGTGTAGATGACTTCAGCAGTGGGCAGAGAGCTGTTGGTGGTAGACGTGACAATGTCAAATGCACATTCCAGAAGTTCTTTGGGGTGAAATCGGTCTAACTTGCGAGGTCTGAAGACACGTTCTATGCAGTAACTGGAGGGAGAAACCCAGATGTAAAAGGTCATTGCTTACTGGAATCAAATAGGTGTAAGAGATTGTTGAACGAGAGAAAAGAAATATGAGAAAATGAATCAGTGGTATGATCAAGGGACCTTAAAGACAGATTTGGGTGCCAATTCCTATGGGGGTACTGCTATTAAATTAGGGGACTACATTTTTTTTTAATGTATGAAATAGAGATGAAATTGCACACGAGAAATAATTTTACCTTTAGTACTTACTCTCTAGAGGGATACACCTTAGGACTATGACTATTAATTAATTGTTCACTTGCAGCAGAGAATTAAAGCACATAAAGCACTCTGACTTCATTTGACGAAAGGCGCTTTGAAGCAGGGTGCCTCGCTGACAACAATACTGCTCCAATTTATGAAGATCTCACTGTTTGACCCCTGCGGGGTATGAATGTACAGAAAAACCTTTTCCACTGCTAAGTGCCTGGAGGTCTGGAGTGTTCCGCACTCCTGCTGGGTTTACTCCATGTCTCTACAAGCAGTTTTTGTTCAGTTACCTGTGTAGGCAGTTTTCACACAGAGACCGTTGGCCATTTGTCCCTCCAATTAACTTTTAAAAGGGGCCATCTGTGATCCAGAACAGCCAGATGTTTTTGTCAAGCAACCATTTGTGAAAATAATTAGTTATGTTGCTTGGAAAGTTTAGAGGGCACAGGATAGACCACAAGAGCTTCAGGGTACCTCCCCAACAGCTATGTCTCCTTTAAAGAGAAGGCCCGGCACCTGGGTGGCTCAGTGGTTGAGCGTCTGCCTTTGGCTCAGGTCATGATCCCAGGGTCCTGGGATTGAGCCCCACATCGGGCTCCCTGCTTTGCAGGGAGTCTTATCCATCTCCCTCTGCCTGCCACTCCCCCTGCTTATGCTCTCTCTCTAAAATAAATAAAAACTTTAAAATAAATAAGGCAAAGAGTTTTTGTCACCCTAAAACGGGGTACTGTGGATGGGCATTTTGACCATATTCCAAACTCATTATTTCAAGCCCAAAATTCTTTGCTGTGTGAGGATCACAAATGATAAAACATTTTTCCTTAGTTTCTCTCCCACATCCACCAAATGAAACCCTCATTGTTTCATACCGTTTCAAATTCAATATATTATTTCTTGACACGTATCTTGCAAAAGGAACCTGAAAAACAAAGGTTCAAAGATCAGTGTTGAAATGTGCCAACAACCCCTCGGTTTTTATTTATTTTTTAAAAGATTTTATTTATTCATGAGAGACAGAGAGAGAGAGAGAGGCAAAGACACAGGCAGAGGGAGAAGCAGGCTCCATGCAGGGAGCCCGACGCAGGACTTGATCCCGGAACTCCAGGATCACGCCCTGGGTGGAAGGCAGGCGCTAAACCGCTGAGCTACCCAGGGATCCTCTGCTCTGTCCAATTTTATTATGCCAAATTAAAACCAGTGCAAATTATCTGTGAATTTTTTCCCCTTTATCTATTTTGCCCATTTCCCCACCCACCGCCTCTCTGGCAATCAGTAGTGTGTTCTCTGTATTTAAGGGTCTGGGTTTTTGTTTTGTTTTGGTCTTCAGATTCCACATAAAAGTGAAATCATACAATATTTATCTTCCTCGGGCTTATTTTACTTAGCATAAAACCCTCTAGTTCCATCATGTTGTTGCAAATGGCAATATTTCATTCTTTTTATGGCTGAGTAACATTCCATTGTATGTATATATACTACATCTTCATTATCCATGGACATGGGCTGTTTCCATATCTTGGCTACTATAAATAATGTGAATTATGTAAAAATCTGAAATGTTTTTTAAAGTGCCATTATGATAATACATTCAAAATGGGTCTTATCTCTTATGGTGAATTCTGTGATTTTTCCCATGCTATCCTAGGTGAAATTCTTACCCAGCCACTAATCATAACCACAACTTGTAAAATCATTGTTAGATTATCCCAAGAGGTCTTACATTGTACATTAACTATGGATCAAATTCTCAAAGGGTAGTCATTTTTTATCTGAGGGGAATTACTATCAGCTCAGAAAAAAGGAGCTGATGTTTAAAAATGTTAACTTTAAGGGCATCGGGGTGGTTCATCAGTCAAGTGTCCACCTCTGGACTTCAGCTCAGGTCACGATTTTGGGGTCGTGAGACAGAGCCCCATGTTGGCCTCTGTGCTCAGAGAGAAGTCTGCTTGAGATTCTCTCCCCTCTCCCCTGCCCCTACCCCTACCCTCTCATGCACTCGCATGTTCTCTCAAATGAATAAATCTTTTTTTTTTTTTAAATAAATCTTTTTTAAAAAATCTGCACCTAGGGATGCCTGGGTGGCTCAGCAGTTGAGCATCTGCCTTCGGCTCAGGTCCTGGGATCGAGTCCTGCATCGGGCTCCCTGTGGGGAGCCTGTTTCTCCCTCTGCCTCTCTCTCTCTCATGAATAAATAAATATTTTTTTTAAGATTTTATTTATTTATTCATGAGAGACATAGAAAGAGAGAGGGGCAGAGACAAAGGCAGAGGGAGAAGCAGGCTCCATGCAGGGAGCCCTATGTGGGACTCGATCTCGGGACTCCAGGATCACGCCCTGGGGCAAAGGCAGGCGCTAAACCGCTGAGCCACCCAGGGATCCAAATATATAAAATCTTAAAATCTGCACCTTAGTGTCCTAATGTTAGTCAGTTTTAAGTATAGCAATTTAAATATCTTTATCAGTCCCATGGGTGAAGTTGAGATACCTTTGCTTCGCATTTCCTTATTATGCATGAGGCTGAACATCGTTTCAGAAGTTTATCAGCCCCGTGCATTTTCTCTCTGAGAACTGCCTGGTTATATCCTGTGCCCATCTCTCCACCTGTCAGTGCTTTCTGTACACTAGGGGAATTAAACTCTTGTCTGTCTTATGCATGTACAGGGCTGCAGACGGGCTTGTTAGCAGCCGACACTAGGTGGGTGGATAACCCAACACAGAGCCACTGTCAGAGGGAATCCTGGGGGTCAGAAGCAAGCAAGCACCAGCAAGACTCAGCCCACCCAGTTAGCGGAGGCACTTGCTGCCAGTAGAATTGTTCTCGACATTAAGACATTAGGAAGTTAGTGAAAATCTAGCTAACAGGAAAAGAAAAAAACTGTATCCGTTGTCCAAGTTGGCCAGGTCAAGTGGCTACGGTCACTCGGCAGAGCTCAACACTGAGGTGCACATGTGGCATCTGCAATGCCGGGGCCTGATTTCTAGGGTTGTAAGTACTTCTGCAGTTAGCAAGGTGGACATACACAAGGTTGGGCGTTCACTAAACTCCAGTAATGCTCTCACCCCACTAACTCCCTCGAGAATGTTTCCCAAAGGTGATATTTAGAATATAAGCCGAGGGGCGCCTTGAGCATCTGCCTTCAGCTCAGGTCACGATCTCAGGGTCCTGAGATCAAGCCCTGCGTGGGGTTCCCTGCTCAGTGTCTGCTTCTCCCTCTGCTCACCCCCCATGTGTTCTCTCTTTAGTAAAAAATTAAAAAAAAAAAAAAGACTATAAGCCAAGGGGAAAAAGTGATCGCTAGGGGTGATCCTGTAACACAGATGCCTCCCCATCCCCGGTGGCCAGACATGGCATCTGGCTGGCCCCAGGGCATTCCCAATCTCACCCGTAGGTCAAAGGGAAGCATCACCAGCATCCCGCTGTGGTCCATGAATAAGGCAGCTTCATTGTGCTCGTATATTTGCCTATTTTGGGGAAGCAGTAGTGGAGTACACAACTGGACAGCTCCTATACCAAGTTAGAAAAAATAACTAATCATCAAGTTTTCATTTTTCCCAGGAGGCAACTGAAAATGCACACACAACTGACGGTTCAGTCATCTGCTACTGGCAGCTGAAATCACCCGCAAGCAATCTTCAGTTCTCGGATTCCACTAATGGATAGCTCATCTGAGGTTGTTTGTTACCTAGTCTTATTTCTGACTCCACCAACCAACTGTACTTTAGTAGCAAGGCTGTAATATTCATATCATAATATTCAAATGTTCTCCACAATAAGCTGAGTGTTCAAAATAAGCTTAAATTTCACTGAATAAGCTTCATTTGCCTTGAAGTCAAATGCCTGTAACTCAAGTTAAAGGTATAAAAATGTGGTTGCACCCAAACCTATGACAGTACTTTCTAATGATGAAATAGAACACTCTGAGAAGGCCTATGATTTTTTTTTTTTAAAAGGACATACCGTGTTTTTTAAAAATGCGGACGATGGTATCACACACATGTTGCTGTATCTTGGATGTACGGATTGAGAAGCCCTAAAATATGACCAATTAACATGTCATCAAAGCCAAATCAAAGGGATCCCCTGAAATATTCACCTGTAGCATGCAGTAAGCATCACATTACCTATTCCCAAGACCAATAAAAGAGAACAAATGAGTGTCTTTTAGAACATGCTCAGAGAAGAGAGAAAATGGCACATCTGGCAATACATCCTGCTTGAAGAAGGCCACCTAAAGCTCAAAGTCCAAACTCTTCACCATGTTGATATAATATATGCCTTTCAGAGAGAGCTAGTCAAATACACACGGTCTCCCCAAGGATTCTCAGGGATGCTATGGAGCAATCAAACATCTAATGGCCTCAGGCCTCCTCCCACTAAGGTGATCTATAGGAGGCCTCTTGAAAGTTACATGGCATTTATATATTTTCTAAAGAGTGTTCCTTTTCATTTGTTTATTATACAGGTAATACCATTTCACTTGAAAAAAAAATTAGAAACAAAGAAAAAGATAAAAATAAAAAGGTCACCTGTAATCCTGTAAGTATCTTCCTAATATTGCCAGCCAACAAAAACTGGTTTGGCCCTTGATAACTATAGTGGTCTTCCACAAATCCTACCACTACTTTTCTCCACTACTCTTTTAAAATTACCCCATTATTTTAAGCATACAGAAACATACTAAGAATATAACAAATAGTTGTTCATCCCTCCAACTTTCAAATTTTAACATTTTGCTCTATTGTTTCAGACTGTTTTTGTTTGAAAAGAAAAAAAAGGAGAGAGGGAAGGAGGAAAAGGAGAAAAAGAAAAAAGAAAAAGTTGCAGGCTGCTAAACTGGCTATGCTTCAGAAACCACCTAGGAGCTCTTAGACAGAGACTCTTGGGGTGCCTTACACCTGGAGATTCCAAGTCACCAGATGAGACATAGGGCCTGAGTGTTGGAAGGGACCAAGGGCCTCCCAGGTGTACCTCCAGGGGGAGCCAGCACTGGGAGTTACTGACCACATGGTCTGAATCTCAACTGGTTAGATCTGCCAGGGCTCAGTCTCCAAAAGCACTGCTGCTTAGACTCTTGGGCAGATGAGAGGTGGCGGTGGGTCAGAAACTCCTCAGAGTTAAGTGATCAAAAGCATGGCTCATTCCAGAATAATGTATATGCACACACCCTACATACATGGACCTCAGATGAACGCCTACATTGGAGGCATTAAAGGAGTCCATGAAAAGTAAGGAACTGACTTGACCCTTCTATGAACCAAGCTGAGCTCTTTCGGAAGCCCACCTTCGGCATGTTGCTGTCGTAGGTGTAATCAATGGCTGGGCTGATGCGCTGGGAGAAGATCTGGGCCATCATGGTGCGGTAGGCCTTCCCGTCCACGTTGGCCAGGGTGTGGTGCAGAACCTCATGCAACTCTGACTCCTCCATCTGGGGTGGGGGCAGCAGCTCACTCTTGAGCAGCTCTGTGGCTGTGGGCCGCTTGGCGGGATCGTGGTTCAACAGCCAGGAGATGACAGATTTCTGTAATGAAACCCAGACACACTGATGACTCGATTCAACAGATGATGCTTCGGAATTCTGACAAGCTGGTGGCTGGTTTGGGGCAAAGAAAAGATAACCACCCTTCTTGCACTTACTTGATGCATTCTAATTGGTATTTCTGAAATCTCTGAATCTGTCACCTTCCCCCCTGCACTTCATTAGGGCCACAGAGTTGTGCAACAGTGCAATATGAGTGTATCTTAAAAGCTGGGTACACCTTGGGGCACCTGGGTGCCTCAGTCAGTTGAGCGTCGCACTCTTTATTTCAGCTCAGGTCATGATCTCGGGGTCCTGAGATCGAGACCCACGGTGGGCTCTGCACTCAGTGGCGAGTCTGTCTGTCCCTCTCCCTCTGCCCCTCTCACTCCCCCGCTTTCCTGCATGCTATCTCTCTCAAGTAAATAAATAAATAAATGGCAGGCCCTTTTTATACTTATTGGTATAACCAACCAAAAAAAACCTTCAATTCAACAACAAAGAAGCAAAACTTAGGCCTTATAAACACAAAATACTGTCTCAAAAAGGGTGTAGGAACATAAAACAAATGTCTCTGGATGCCTGATTTTAGAAGAAATTATAATGCATAGTAGCTGCTGGAATCCTTGCATCTTGTTTTGATTTTTGTCTTCTCCATTTATGTTATCTGTAACAATACCACTCCCTGGGGGCGCCTGGGTGATTCTGCTGGTTAAGCAACTGCCTTAGGTTCAGGTCATGATCCCAGGGTCCTGGAATCAAGCTCTTCATCAGGCTCCCTGCCTGCTTCTCCCTCTCCCTATTTGTGTGTTCTCTCTTTCTCTGTCAAATAAATAAATAAAATCTTTAAAAAAAACAAAACAAAACCACTCCCTGGAATTCTCTTGATTTACATTACTCACTTATCATACCTTCACAACCACTACATCTTATTAAGCAGGGAACTATTTGAAAACAAACAAAACCTTGAATGGTTTCTTCATGAGTCCTTCATTCTCTTGTTTACTGTAAGGACTTAGAAAGAGAGGAATACCTGGGATCAGAAACGCCTCAACTTTTAGATGAACCTTATTATACTGCTCCATCTCTCCTGTGGGGGTAACAATCGTGTTAAATTCAGAATATAAGCACTTTCTATCACGGTCTCCTTTCAGATAAAGAGCAATGACTGTAGGGGCACCCAGGTGGCTCAGTCCGTTGAGTGTCCCACTCTTGATTTCAGCTTCGGTCCTGATCCCAGGGTCCTGCTGAGCCAGGAGCTTATTTCTCCCTCTCCCTCTGCTGCTCCCCTTGCTTGTGATCTCCCTCTCTGTTAAATAAATAAAATCTTAAACAACAACAACAAAAAGCAATGACTGTAATATGGGGGCAGATATTAGGGGCTGCGGTCTGGGGGCCAGTTATTCGAGCCCAGACATAGCCACGCAAGGGTCTCGAGCATGTACCTGTGAGAGGCTGAGTAGTCATCGTCGAGAGAAATGGTTTGTACAGTTGCTCTTGTGTTTGTAGTTTAATAAAATAGACCCCATGGCTGCCAACAGGTGGGAATACTGAGTGAGCCTGACCTTGTTACAGGGAGAGGCTACGAAATGAATATTTATTTATGATATCCGCAAACACAGAAAATGACTCATTCAAATCAATGATAAAAGCTAACGGGGCACCTGGGTGGCTCAGCGATTGAGTGTCTTCCTTTGGCTTGGGTCGTGATCCTGGAGTCCCAGGATGGAGTACCACATCGGCCTCCCTGCAGAGAGCCTGTGTCTCTGCCTCTCTCTCTGTCTCTCATTAATAAATAAAATATTTTTTTAAATTAAAAAAAAAAAGCTAACAAAAGAAGTAGAAATGTAAGGCAGCAGATTGCCTGATGGTCCTTCACTAATGGGACAGCCGAGGCAGACGTGTCCCTCTGGCCATAAATCAATGTTGTGTTAAATACTACCAAGACACAGGACGCTAGTGCTAATATAAATACATAAAGGGTACTTAATCTTTTTATTTGACAGGTGAGGAAAATTAAAGTCTGGATAAGTTAGCGACTCGTCCAACTGGATACATAGCCAATAAGCAAGAAATTGCAAACTAATGCCATGCTCTAGCTAGCTTTCTGTCCTCAACATTAGGACCTTAAATAAGGGATTGTTGCCTTGATTACACTAAGAAAAGTCAGCCTCAGAAATGAACTTCCACATGCCAGGGGTATCAATCACGGAAGGCTTCACCATGACAAACCACCAAGCGCTAAGAGGAAATGCACACCAGACGCACAATATACAAACACTAATGATTATTCATTCAAATCAGCTGGGTGCCAAATAACCCATGACGTGAGTTATGTATATGCCTACTCAGGTATTTCTAGCACAGAGAAGAAAGTATTTTACTTTAAAATAACTGTTAAAATCAGACTGTTTAGTCTTCCCGTCACAATCTGGGCTACTTTAACTACAAATAAAAAAAAATCTATCATTCTAAATTGTATTCTTTTCTTAAAAACTTCCAAGCTTTCTCTAAAATAGTGAAATCTAAAAGCATTCTCTCTTTTTTTTTTTTTCCCAACAGCTAAGCCAAGATTCCAAACAGTACTTCAAAAGCACAATGAGCCACACAGAAGAACCCCGGAATTTGCTAATTTTCCGTGCCAATCCTTGGCATTTTTATGTTTCAAATCTAGTAACATTTGAAAGCATTTCATCTTTTGATATTCCTCCCCCCCCCCGCCCCCGCACTGTTCCCAGGACACAAGAGAATGAGCGGCAGAAGGTAATTAATTGAAAAAGAAGAAAAATGGTAATTAAAATCCAAGAGTGAAGACGCCATAATGAAAGCATCAGAAATTTACCTGCTTTGTATGCTCTCCATCATCGAAGTCTTCTGGAAACTTAGGTGAAGTGGGCTAAAAGAATACAATATGCGAATCAGGAAGTGCTTGGCCATCTGCCACAGTGAAAGCATTTATTCCCCAGAGGTGAGAAAATCAAGTACGGAAATAAAAACAAGGTAAGGCTCAAAGTGATACCTTCTTGAAACCAATGCTTTTGTTCCAAGTAGACACGTGTTATTTTAATACAAATCTGACCCCAATGACAGCCGAGGTGATAGAAAGCACCTCATCTGAGGACAAAGTATTTCAAAATCAAATGGTTTCAGAGGAGGACAAAGTAGGACACACATGAAAGAGGCAAAAAAACCCCACGAAAGCACAAGCACAGAACAAAAGAAAAACATTTAATACCGAAACCTCTTCCTCCTGAAAAGCTCTTGCCTTTCTGGTAAATAAGATTCTCCATCATAACATTAACTTGACCACTCAGTTTTTTGTTTTGTTTTGTTTACAGTTTAGATACTCATGAAATGAGGGAACAGACATGAATTTCAGACTAAAGTAAGGCACTTTCATCAAGGACACGATCCTCTAAGAGCATCATTCCAAGTCAAGGCAAGAGCATGGTCATCACTTCATTTATTTCCATCCTTTGTGAACATCACAGTCCATGCTGTAGTGGCAATAAAATAATTCAAGTTTTTAAAAATATTGAAAAGAGTGTTTTTAGTTATGGTGTAGAGGATTATAGCTTAGGAAAAAAAGAACTTGGGCATCTCTTACTCATGAATATGCAAATCTAAGTCACCCTTACTCTCCACTTTCATCCGAAAGCCATCTGCAATGGGCATCCTTGGCCTCACACAGTTAATATTAGTCCCTTTTAGTTTAGGCAATAACTGAGGAGACAAGAATTAATCCTAAGAACACAGAGGGAAATTTCACTGGGAAAGAAAGTCAACTGGCTGATTATCTTCCTCAGACCCTTTTTAACTTCTGCTCGTGGGGATATTCTTTAGGCATCAACACCATGTCCACTTGGTTGGAATCTTCAATTTCTAGAACTAAATATCCATTATCCTTATAACCTATCCCCACTATTCCAACTATATCTGCAAAATTTTGGGATCCCTCCTTTTTTTTAAAACCAAGAGTGGTGGTACAGCTGGGTGGCTCAGTTGGTTAAGTGCCCGGCTCTTGGTTTCAGATCAAGTCATCGTCTCAAGGTTGTGGGATCGAGCCCCACATTGGGCTCCATGCTCAACTCAGTGTCTGCTTGAGATTCTTTCTCCTTCATCCTCTGTGCCTTGAGTTCATGCTCTCTCTCTCAAATAAATAATATATCTTTTGAATAAATTAATTAATTAACTAATTAAAAAAAAAAACAAGAGTAGGGGCGCCTGGGCGGCTTAGTTGATTTAAGTGTCCAACTCTTGGTTTCTGCTTAGGACATGATCTCAGGGTCGTGAGATCAAGCCCTGCGTGAAGCTCCATACTGCACATAAAGATTCTTTCTCTCCCTCTCTCCTTGCCCCTCCCCTCATGTGCACTTGCATGCACACACACACACACACTCTCTCTCTCTCTCTAAAATGAATAAATAAAATCTTTTTAAAAAAGATTTTATTTATTTATTCATGAGAGACACAGAGAGAGAGAGAAAGAGAGAGGCAGAGACACAGGCAGAGGGAGAAACAGGCTCCATGCAGGAAGCCTGACGCGGGACTCGATCCCGGGTCTCCAGGATCATGCCCTGGGCTGAAGGTGACGCTAAACTGCTGAGCCACCCGGGCTGCCCTAAATAAATAAAATCTTAAAAAAAAAAAAAAAAAAAGAAATATAGGTAATAGTAAGACTGCCTCTTTCATATTATAAATACCAGAAAAATACCCTGCACTAAATTCTGATGTCCATGCTAAGATTTGGGTTTCTGGAAATTGAGGCATTAAAATATCTGATACATACATCTCTGAGTTGGTTGAGAACAAAGATCCTTTCTGAGGCCGTGACCATGGGGTGATAGGACATCTCAAAGAAGATAATTCCCAGGCTGAAGAGATCCACTTTCTAGGGAATAAAAGGAATTCTATTTAGACAGCCTTGACATGAATGTATCATTTAGCAGGGAAATTACAGGATAAGCACTGTTAACTGGAAAAAAGTTTGCATAAGGGAAAAGAAAGTCACATTAGAAAAAAACTTGATTTTTTAAAAATCATAGATATAAAGTACAGATGATGAGATAAAATATTTGGCATGACTTCTCAACATTTTCTTGGAAAATTCATGGTCACTGGCTTAGCTATATACACAGACCTAGAAGATCACTGGCCAAACACTGAGTAATCACGAAAGAGTGAAGACAACTGAGATCTGTCAGAGGAATTTGCTTGTTTTGCTTTGCATCTTTACTAATCAACTCAAAAGCGAAATGCAGACCAAAATCTGCAGTTGATAGCAGAGGTCAACTACTGATTGCAAAGCCATACCAATGAAGACAGAAAACCAGCACAACAGAAAGATCATGTGACTAATCCTAACAGAACACAGAAGTGCAATTCAAGAAGAGCAAGGGCAAGTCGGTGCACAGTCCCAGGTAGGGAGCGGCCGGGAGAGGAGGGTGGTGATGATATGCAGGAGGCAGCATGCCTGATGGGCAGGTTCTACATGGCAAACGCATATAGGCACACAAGCCACTTTCAAGGGCAAGTCTTGCATGACTTTGGCCTCAAGGATTAGTAGGAGAGACTCAATCACCAGTGACCTTCCAAGTCAAAAGAAACCACATTTGCTGTGGCATTTCCTAAGTGTTGGCTAAAGAACATGTGGAACATACAGAAAAGCACCAAGAAAAACAGCACTCACCATCCCACAGTTCAAGGATATATCCTACTGATATCCAACAGAGCACACCCTCCCTGCTGCTGTTTAAATGCATGCAACGCACACACTATAAACTACCATACATTTTGCAACTTTCATTCCCTTAAGATGGCGAGAATATTTTTCAGTAGTGTATCATTTTTCTAACAGGCTCCTAAAACATGATTTTCATGACATACTGAATTCGATTACATGGAAATCCCATTATTTATTTAACCATTTATCTTTAAACACTGTTATTTTTCACCATTTTAAATAATGCTGTGACAAGCCCCTTTCATAGTCAACTTTTTGGAGATGTTGTTTCCTCTGGGTAAATTTCAAAAGGGGGAAACTGCTGGGCTAAAGGGTTGATAGAGCCTCTGAGGATTTCATTACATTTTGCAAACTGAACTCAGAGAGGTGGTGCTAAAGGTGCCTTTGCACACCCACTGTGCTTGCATGCCCATCTCCCCTGACCCTCACGTCTGCTGGGTATTTGGTGGTCTGGATAATTCTGTATCACTGCCCAGCACTCCTTGTCAGAGCCAAAACCCAGGGCACCTGGGTGGCTCAATCTGTTAAGCATCTGCTTTCAGCTCAGTCATGATCTCAGGGTCCTGGGATCAAAACCCACATCAGGCTCCCTGTTCAGTGGGGAGTCTGCTTCTCCCTCTCCCTCTCCCTCTCCCTGCTGCTCCCTCTGCTTGTGCTCTCTGTGGCAAATAAATAAACAACATTTTTAAAATAAAAACAAAACCCAGGCTTGGGTTTCACTGCAAGCTGAAAATACGCTCTGATGTGAACTGCCTAATAAAGTTTTGAAATTTAGCTCTATACTCTTGCCCTAAGTGGTCCCACTGGTCTCATGCCTTTAAATCCCATCTGCGCACTGATGACTCTCAGTTTTACGCCGCTGATTCTGACCTTTCCTCTGAACCCAACTCCTGAGTCTCCAATAACTTACTGGACATCTCTTATTGGATCTGTCCTCAGGCCATTTCCAATTAACATGCCTCCCAAATGGAATTTTCCTGCTGTCCCCTCTCCATCTTGGGCAATAAGCCTGCTGCTCCCAGCTGCTCCAGCAGAACCCTGAGCACTGTTCTATCACCCTTCCTTTCCCCTACCCAGCAGCACCCATCGAGAACGCCTGGCTACTCCCCTCCACCGTGTGTCCTATGTGAGCACACTTCTCCACCCGCTTCCAGCCAGCAGCCACTCCACCTGCCTCCTGCCAAGCCTTCAGCAGCAGCTGCAGTGACGCTCCTGCTCAAGACCCTGCAGTGGGCTCCCCGAACACACTCCTCATCATGGTTAAGCTGGCCCTGCATCACTTGATCCTGGTCTTCCTTTCCAGCTTCATTTCATGCCTCTTTCCCCTGCTGCTCACTGGGCTGCAGCTGCATGGACATGCTTCGGGATCATCTCAAATGTGCCAAGTGAGTGTTCACATAGAGTTCTCTCTCTATGCGTGCTATTTTTTCTGCTTAACCTTTTCCCCTCTCCACTCTCAATGTATGTGGCTTGTCCCTTCTTTATCCTTAAAGCCATCCTCTTGGGGAAGCCTTCTCTGCTCAGTTTATCTGAAGATGATGCCTCCTATTGTTCTCTGGTCACTGGAGTCCATTTCTTTTCTTAATAATTTGTGACTATTTGTTCACTTATCATCTTTTTCATCCATCAAAGGCTAAGGTCCCCAAGGGCTGGAATAAGACACCTATCTTATTAGTCAACTGTCCTGTTCTCTGTATTTCTGAGGCCTAGCCTAGGAGCAGGTAGGTGCAAATGCTCTTTGGATGGATGGACTCTAAGGTCTTTAGCAGCAACACTGCCAGCTTCAGTGGAGTGGTTAACTCAACATACAAGTAGATATGTATCAAAGGAATGAATGTTCCTTTCTCAGCTGGTAACTTACCCCAAATGCTGTGATCTTGATGCTCTTACTACTGTCTCACTCTTGAGACCTCTCCTCCCCAGAAAGCTTCCCCTTTACCTGGTTGTACGTGGGTCTGCTGCTTCCTTGGACCTCTGGGCTTACGTATAAAGCAGTACCAACCATCCCAGTCAAATGACCTGCATGGAAGAAAGCAGAGGGAAGGCTTTCTAATAAGACTTAGCGTTAGAGGTAAGGCAAATTTTTATTTATTTAAAAGAAAAAGTTGGTGGGGGGGAAGGTTTCTTAAGAGTGAGGCATGATCTGTTAACTGTTCACTGCATTTGGAGGAAGCAGCAGCCTTCATTTCACAGAGGGATTACCCAGAAGTCATGAATGGCTACAGACTCTATTCCACACAGGAGGTCTTTGCTGTTCCAGAGGGGCGGTGCAGATAGAAGACCCCAGACACCCCAGATCATGAGGTAACCTCACATTACCACATGGGGTCCAAATGTAACTGTCTATCCATGGGAGCCAATTATTCTAACTGAAGTTCTAATTTCTTGGCGTTTCGAGGAACAATTAATTTAGTGAAGAAGGGGGGGAAGCATTTTCATGATTTTGTTAATCAGTGATTGTAATCTGATTTTTTTTTTTTGTAATCTGATTTAGAATAAAATCTTTACAGATGAAAAACAGGTTTCAGGTATGAAATTTTTTACTGGATGGCATATTAAAATTTTCCTAAGAGAGCAGATCTTATGTTGAGTGCTCTTACCACAAAATTAAGTAATAGTAATTAAGAGGGCAGGAAGAAACTTGCAGTTATGGATATGTTTATAACATAGATCAAGGTGAGGGACACCTGGGAGACTCAGTGGTTGAGCATCTGCCTTCGGCTCAGAGTGTGATCCCTCTGCCTGTGTCTCTGTCTTTCTCTCTGTGTCTCTCATGAATAAACACAATTTTTAAAACAAAACAAAGCAAAAAACATAGATCGAAGTGATAGTTTCATGGGTATATATGTATCTGATTTCCTCAGATGGTATGTTATATTTGCACAGCCTTTTGCATGTAAAAAGAGAAAGAGAGAGAGAGAGAGAGAGAGAATAAGGGAAGAAAATCTTGTGTTCTATTTTTCAATACACTAATTAAATATACAGTCTTCTGGATTTACCTGAGGGGTCTGATTTAATCAAGTGATCCGCTGTATCATCTTGCTTGCCGTCAGCCTAAAAAATATAAGCCAGGCAAATATCACTATTAAAATGTTCTATTATTCCATAGGAATGGAATGTTAGTAAATGAAGACTGAAAAATCACACACAGAAAGCAGAATAACTACACAGATGCTTTCTCTGTAATATATTTTTTAGTTGACCTAGCCTGCTAACATGGGGCTCCCTGGAAACCCCCCGAGATCAAGACAGAGAAGGAGGGCAGGTCACTGAGGAACTCCTTCTTTAAGGCAGAAAGTCCCCAAAGAGAAACCAATTTATTTTCACATTTGCAAATGCCAAAGCAGAATCTATTTCTGAGGAGGATTAAGGGTGTACTGACAACAACCACAAGCCCACTTTTCTAACTTTCCCACTGTTGTTCCCTTATGTGGGTCAGTGTCTACTCCTCTTTCCTAGAGGCCAGTCACCAAGTCTGTCCTGCTGTCACGGCGAGGACCTCTCAGATGGCCTGGCCCTGCTCCGCTGTCCGTGTGGCAGCACCATCTCACACACTACCCTGAGTCACCGTTCTCCCGCTGTCACTCCACAGGATCCCATCACAGGCACCACCATCCACAACAGCGTCTCTATCATTCTCAATGGCATGTGCTGTTCCAGGTGCTCTATGGACTCTCATTTTATCCTGTCAACAACTCTCAAGGTTTTAGCATGAGCCAGGTAGAGGAGATGACATAATGAGAGGTTAACTAACCTGCCCAAGGGCAGGTCACAAGGACATGGCAGGGAAAGGATTCTGGCCCTGGTCAGGAGGCCTCAGCAGCCTTCCGCTTTTATCTACTCACTATACTAACAGCTCCAGATAGGAGGTTAAATTCTTCGGTTTGGGGAATCAAGATTGCCACCATCTGGCCCTTCCTTGGTCTTAGTACTCACTCTTCAAAATGCCCTGCTGTTCTGCTCAGAACCACACCATCACTGGCCCCCTTCCATTTCCTCACTTTTCACTCTTTTCACCTTCTAGTTTTGTCCCTATGATCATTCTTAACATCGATCCAAATCTCTGACCACCCTTATGATTAACTGCATGTCCTAGAGATTTTGTGCCTAGTAACTCCGGCTTATAAGACTCTTCCCCTGGCACTTAAGGCCTGCCACCCACAAGACTACCCACCTTTCCAACATCTTTACTGCTCCCCTAATGCTTCATAGTTTTAACCAACCAGACAACATGCAGGCCTCCAGATATGTCTGTTCAGCCCAGGCCTTTGCTTATGCTGTTCTCTCTGGGCTCCCCTACCCTAGTCTACCCTCAATTTCAGCCTGCCGTGCTCCCACCCATCCTTTAAGGCCATCTGATATGCTCCTTTTTTTATACTGCCTTTCTGGGTCCTCATAACTATATGTAAATTTTCTCTTTCTTTTTGCGTATAGCACTATTTCTCTCACTTCACATTATTTTAGCTTGGCATGTTAAACAACTACTCAATAATGCTGTGAAGAACAAATACCTTCTGAATTACATGATATCTAGGACTGGTTCTTCTGGTGTTCCATGTTTTTTTTGAGCTTTATTTCCTTAAACTAACTAAAAGCCCCTAAAAGTTATGGCATCTAGCCTAGTACCTGGCATGGTAGACCAAACTACCAAATTATTTCATAAACTCTTTTATGCCTTTGCTATATATCATCCACAAGCCAATAATTTTATGTCTCCCAAATGGAACATCCTCACTAAAATGTATTCACCCTTTCAAAACCTATAGGATCATTTGTAGTTCGCCGCTTAAGAGTTGCAGAATTTCCTGAGGATTACAGAGCAGAGTTCAATCAACTCATAATCATGAAGACAGGATAAAAAAGGCACACAGGTCCATTTTTCAGGCACAGTTTAATCTGAAATATACTCACAGTGAAGGCAAGATGGTCTGTCGCTAAACCAAAATCACCTATTTTTACATGGTCATCAGAATCCAAAAAAATGTTGACAGGCTTCAAATCTCGGTGAATCATTCCCTGATGGAAGAGAGCAAAGAACTGTTTTCCAAGCACAGTTTATAGTTTACCTGTTTCCTAATTTCAAAGGCCAACCTAATGATGAGAAGCAGCTGAGGTCTTCTCCCTCAAACTACACTGGTCCAGGCTGTCTGGTCTCTGCACTGTCTCCCAACTGTCCTGCCATGACCTTGCCATCATCTCCCAGTCTACCTGCTGGTGGTCCTGGATGAGGTCAAATTCTACTGGTTGCCTGGGGCATCCAAAGCCCCCTCCCACCAGGTTCCCAAACTCTCTCTGTGGCATCACAAAACCCTGCTGCATATCTGGCTGGGGAGACACACACCATTTCCATGCCTTCTTCTATTCTTCTCTTCACACTATTTTCCCTGCCTCAAAAATTCTTGTTTTCTCCACTTATTTGAACTGTGCCAACACTTCCAAGTGCCAACTCACCTACGAAGCCTTTGACAGTGATTCTAATTCAACTTGTATCCCCAGCACAGACGTAAGTGCTCAATTATTAGCTGTCATGTGAACTTGGCTTTCTCTCCTACCTAATGGCATCCATAGGATGTTCACTGTTTCAGGTAATAAAATGTAGGAAATAATTAAAATGTAATAAAAACATCTTACTATATGATCTCTTCACTATTATATGAAGGTAAATTTTGGCTCCTTCAAAAAAGAACAAGAATGGGATTTGCTATACCCTCGTGCCTGGCAGCATTTCTAGGTGTAGAACAGCATCAGACACCCAGCAGATGATTAGCAGATGCTGAGCAAATGAGATGTAGAGGAAGAGAGCACGCGGGGCATGGTTCTAGGACCCTGGGTGATATCACTGTAATAGTTCTAATGGCCATGATTAGAATTCATTTGTACTTCTGATCCTGCAAATCTCACTCCATCAAATCATTTATAAATTAGACATATGTAAATCACAGTCCTGGTTTTTTAGTATAAATATAGTACAGTATAAACATTTTAAGATTAAAGAAAATTGAGGCAAAGGGGAAAAAACATGTTTACACTGTCTAATCCATTAGACAATCCCATTTTTAAAATGTAAGCAGTGCTTCATCCTGAAGCCAGGTCCATTAGCATTTATAGTGTCGTGACAATTTCTAGCTTTCTAAAATAACATTCTCTACTAGATAGTGAGCTATGGTTCTCAGTCTCATCTCTACCCTTGCTAGATGACTTTCTAGTTTCTCCATGTTCCTAGGAAGGACAGCACTAGGCCAATTAGAATCAAATAACTGGGCCTATATTAATCACACTCACTTTATTCTAAACAACTCATCCTTGCATTCTATGCGTGCTGCAGTATTTCTGCTTAACCCAGAGGTTGGAGAACTCTTTTTCTAAAGGGCTAGGTAAGTATTTTATACTTTATGGGCCATACATTCTCTGTCACAACCCCATGGTTGTGGCACAAAACAGCCATAGGCGATATGTAAATAAATACACATGGCCCTGTTCCAAAAAAACTTTATTTGTGGACACTAAAATTTGAATTTCACAGAATTTTCATGTGTCATGAAATGATCTTTTGATTTTTTTTTTAATCTTTTGATTTTTTTACAATCCTTTAAACATGTAAAAGCTGGGCACCTGGGTGTTCAGTCGGTTAAGTGTCTGACTCTTGACCTCAGCTCAGGTCTTGACCTCAGGATTGTGAGTTCAAGCCCTGCACTAGGCTCCACACTGGGTGTGGAGCCTACTGAAAAAGCAAGACAAAATGTAAAGGCCATTCTTACCTCACGGGTCGAATAAGAGCAGGTAAAGTTTAGATATGACACCATGGCCATGGTTTGCTGACCCCTGTCCTAATCTTCAATTTTTCTTTAAACTTTGATACTTCTATTCTTCTTTTATACTTTACACAATCTTTTGTCATGTCTACCTATAAAAATAGATTTCAACGTACCCATAATTTTCCCTGTTTCTGTTTTTTGCCAATCTCACAGTATTTTTTTATCATAAGTTTCACAAAAACATTCAGTTTTCAGGTATGAACTGTTATAACGTTTACTTTTTCATGGATATAAGCTAATCCATCCAGAATCTCTCGAAAAAGCCTCCAGAGTCTGATGGTATCTTGATACAGCCCCTGGTCAATGGTGTCACGCAAAGTACTCTTCTCGCAGTACTCCATCTGGGGACAAGAACAAACCAGGTAGCATTTGATGGCATAGGGTTTCAATTAACGAGGACAATGGCAATTAATGTGATCCTCCATTTTAAAACAAGTGCTCTGGATTTTAAGTAGTTAAAGGAAAGGCTTACATTTTTTTAATGGAGAAAAGAAACCAACAGTATTTTAAAAAATTGGGGGGAAAGAGGCATTATCTCAACACCCCAAAATAACCATTTTAATTTTTCTTATTATTGTTCACTAAAAAATAAGGCTTGTCTAAATATCCCTGTCATAAATAATTTCATTACTTTTCGTATAATGAAAAAAACTCAGCATTGAGTAAAAGTTTGTTTTACACGATTGTTTCCAAATTCTACTAAGAAAGGCTAATTAAAACTCCAATGTCATTAGCCTTTCTCATTTGTCCTTTGAATTAGCAACAATGACCTTCAAGTCTAGAACAAAATATTGTAAATTTCAAAACATTCCGGACACAGTTCTTTCTCACCCGATTCTCAAATATTAATATATCAGAAAACAATGCAGTATCATTTAAATCTTAAATCAACATGTAGCATTTGATTTTGAAACTGGCCTATTCAAACCGGAGCCAGAATTGACATTTCTCATGAAGAAGGGTTTTGCTGTTTTTAAAGAGAGGAACATCCCCTCATGCTCTGCATAACCACCCACAGATTCTGACTCATCCTCCAGTCCCCACGAGGGCCTGTGACTCCCAGACTGTGATCCTACCACACCTCTGGACATACCTCTCCTATGTACTTCTGATTCCTAACTGTCTAGAGACTGATGCCACGGAGTCCATACACAGTGAGGGGTTTAGGGGACAAATGCTTTATCATGTATGCTAGTTGTACCACAAAGGTTTTGACATTACTTAAAACTAGCTCTAAGTGCAGGAAAGCAACCGCCTAATTTTTTTTAAAAAGATTTTATTTATTTATTCATAGAGACACAGAGAGAGAGGCAGAGACACAGGCAGAGGGAGAAGCAGGCTCCATGCAGAGAGCCCGACGTGGGACTCGATCCAGGGTCTCCAGGATCACGCCCTGGGCTGCAGGCGGCACCAAACTGCTGCGCCACCAGGGCTGCCCAGCAACCGCCTAATTAATCTCTTTTGAAACACTATCCTTGGGGCACCTGGGTGGCTTAGTCGGTTAAGCGTCTACCTTCTGCTCAGGTCATGATCCTGGGGTCCTGGGGTGGAGCCCTACATTGGGCTACCTGCTCAGCGGCGAGTCTGCTTCTCCCTCTCCCTCTGTACCCCCTGCTCCGTGCTCTCTCAAATAAATAAACAAAATTTGAAAAAAAGAATTGAAACTCTATACTTGTCTGAGGCTTCACTTCTGGCACACAGTACTGCATCTCACACTTAACGATGTGATGAAAATACTAATAATGACACCCATGGCCTTATTTGCTTGAGGGGAGGAGCAGAGTGTTCCTCGATGGTCTGTGATCTTCCCCCTATGGGCAGAATTCACCATGTCCAGGACTCTGTCCCTCAGGCATATGAGCAGGCTTCCTTTTAGGAAAGCCCCATTGGAACTGGTTTGCCTATGCTTTCTGTCACCCAGAGGTTCCAGGACAACTTCAGGTACTTTGCCTAAAGCTATGTTGGTATTTCTTCTGCACATGCAAGGATGCAGAGGCATCGCACTTACCTGTCCCGATGCAACTTGGTAGACAAAGTGGAATGTCTGTATGTGCACAGTCTAGCGTTTACAGAACTCAGATATGGTTCTAATTACCTTAAAGATGTTACTTCTCTTATTCTTCACATGTCACTGGGATAGCTAGATAGGCACAGAATGTGGGAGAAACTTGTCTGAGCTCACACAGCTGTGACTGGGGGATCTAGGATGAGAACTGTTACAGCCCTATGCCATCTCCTGCTACAGTACAGAAAACACGGGTTCAAGGCTAGGGGGAATGGCCTCTATGCTGTAATCCTCTCTAGTCAATTAATCTTTGGTAGTGCCGGCGAGCCCCCTTCTGCCCACTGTTTTGCTTTAGCCTTCAGAAACACACCCACCAGCAACCACTGGGAGCTGCTGTGTCACCAAGATGCACTCGTGCCAGGGCCTCACCTGGATATACAGGTAGTGCACAGCTTCAATGGTTGTTGATGGCTCACTTTCATGGCAACTGTTCTTCCCATTGCAGTCTTCTTCCTAATCCAAGAGGAACACGTGAGAACTAAAAAATGGGAGCTGAAATGGAACATGATCATCACCATCCTCAAGTCATTTGTGCCCACCTCCACCACACATGGACATCCAGTTGCCTTAGAGGGGAGGCCTCAGCAGAACACAACTTCTGTCCTTCAGATGCTTCCAGCATCTAAAAGGCAATTGTGCTGTTACCAGAATCTACTGTGTAGTTCACAGGCACGTCACTATATATAATAATGATGCAGGAAATAGGAAATAGATATTACAGTTGTGCGATCTACAGGAAGATTCCAAGTCTAGTTGATTCATTCTCACCACAGATATCTTTCTATGGCTGAGAATGGCAGAATGTATACAAGCTGATATTTTAAGGTTTCAGATTTAATGGAAAGCCCTTCTTCAGAAACAGAAGATGAGAGATCAATCTTTAGCCAAAACATCTTAAATATGAAAATACCAAAAGGCACACTGTGGGCTATGCTACCTGCCACTTCCTGTGACTATGCTACCTGCCACTGCCTGTGACTGATCCTGCAGACTGCTTCTCCACAGGACTAGTCTATTCTTCCCCTATAGCTAGTTTTGTAATCCATGTCCCTTTTATTAAAGGGGTCTTTTATTCTTCCAATAAATGTATTTAAATACTCCCCCTCACCAATACCACCCAGGGGAAAAGCACCAACTGAGGAAAAAGCATGAAACAGCATGAGATAGTTTCTGCTTTACAGTTTGTGGAAGCATTTTTCAATATTTTTCCTTTATCAAAGAAAACAAAGGCACTTCTGCAAATAATCAAGCTGGACTCTTGAATCATTTACATACCCTGGGGATCATCTGTAGAAAACCGTTAATCTCTTGGAGGTTTCTACTCATCAACAGAATGCCCGTGGGATGTTGCCCTTAACTGAGCAAAACCAGGATTATAAATTTGGTGCTCCCATAATAATTAAATGCAGAACTAATGCTAAATTCAAAGAAGTATAGGTTATAATTTATAAATTTAAGCCAAGACAACTTGAAGGTGCTTTTTAAAATTTTTATTTATTGATTGATTGAAAGTGCTTCTAATGAAAAAAGGTAGTTATCTCTAAAAAATGCATTCAAACCTCCTTCAAATCAATCTAACTGCCTATCTAACAGGGCCTATATGTAGACTTTTCCTTATCTACAACTAATGCACTCGTATAACTGCTTATAATTCTATATTTATTCCTGGAAATGAAATTGTAGCACTCAACGTCCTACCATAGAAGTTTCCTCTGCACCAACAACAGACAGTCCTAGTGGTCAGGGCCACGCACCAGCATTCAGGGGCTCTGCTGGCTAGGCAGGGGAAGAGCAAATTGAGCAGAATCCAAGACCTGGAATAATGTTTTTCCAACTTTTCCAGCCTTCATCCATTCAAAGAAATGTATTTTAGATCACACCCAGTTCATATACTCATGTGAGACACATTGTACCAACAGTTTACCCTTCCTGTTTACCTTTCTTGTGATGGTATTGTGATACACATTCTCCACTTTCCCTACACCACTAAAAATTAAATAAAGCTGGTTGTGGCCCTCAACTGATTTCATAACCTGTTACAAGATAATGGCTCAGTGTTAAAACATTGTTCTAGATGACAGTTTATGAGAATAAATAATCCAGATTAATTGGTCACATAGAGACCAATGTGATTCTACAATCACTCAATTGAATGCCTATCCCCAGCCACATAATGTTTCTCCAAATCCTCTGTTAAATGGTTATTTCAAGAAATAAAACAAAAACCAGCATGTCAATTTACTCCTCTCTTCTAAAAGCAGGCATGTTAGGTTATGTGGACAAATTAAGGCCTATAAATACAGGTGTAGCATAAAATTAAACAATCATGTTTTAAAATTGACAGTTTCCATATTTGCATATCAGAGTGAAGCTTTACTATCCCATCCGAGGTTTAAAACATCAAACATTAGTTTTCTTACATGCCTACCCATGATAAAATGGTGTAATTTCTATTTACTTACCTGATTCTGACTCTTACTGTTCTCATCTTCAAAGATGACATCACTGTCAGAATCTGAAGCAGGTCTTAAAAAGAGAAACAGAGAAATACTAAAGAAATCAAATTCCCGGATGTCCAGGTGGCTCAGGGGTTGAGTGTCTGCCTTGGGCCTGGGGCATGATCCTGGAGTCCGGGGATCGAGTCCTGGATCGGGCTCCCTGCATGGAGCCTGCTTCTCCCTCTGCCAATGTCTCTGCCTCTCTCTGTCTCTCATGAATAAATAAATAAAATCTTTAAAAAACAAAACAAAAAGAATACTCTTTAAAAAATTTTCTCTCAATGATACTAAGGTGAGGTTTGGAAAGGAATTTTTATTTTTCCTTTCTTCGGGGCTGGATTCTGGAGATATTTTGAAGACTACAGGGAATGGACACCTCCGGTCTCAATAGGGTTACTTTCTGAACTCCTATTTCTCTTTGCCAACACAGTGGCAGCCTGGCTCTCCCAAGGAACCCCCTCTCCGGGGTATGGGCCCAGTGCCCCCTCCAACGCTCTTACAGGAAGGGCTGCGAGAAGACGCCCTCGTGCTCGTCGTCGTCGTCGTCGTCCTCCTCGCTGCTGGAGCCTGGGCGGGCAGAGGGGAAGCGGGCGCTGGCCGAACGCTCGCCAGATGTGCTCCACTCCACGGAGCTGAGGATGGGCGGTGGCGCGGCAGCTTCCATGCTACCGGCGCCATCGCCGTCGGGGCTGTCGTTGCCTGGGGAAGGCTGGGACAAAGCTCGCCCATCTGGTGCCTGGGGCCATGAGTCCGAATCCTGCGGCAGCATCCCCGGGCCCACGGGCCGCTCGTATCTCTCTATCCAGGCGTTATAGTAGCGCACTATGTTCTCATGGTGCAGGCGCGACAGCAGCGTCACCTCGCCCTTGATCCTGCGGAAATGCCTACTGGCCGGATTGATGGGGATGCGCTTCACCGCGTAGCAGCAGCCATCCAGCTTGTTCTGCACCTGCCACGGGGAAGGGAGAGGAGGGAAACTGGTGCCACTTAGCCACGCATCCACCCTGTGACCCCATGTCCTCCCAAGGGGAGCCCAGAGTTCTGGATGAGAACCAACAGCTACAGTAGAGTGCCACATATTTCAACCTCTTAAGCTGAACAAAGTCTTGAAACTACGTGTATATTTAGCTTAATAAGAGACCTGGCGAAAACATGACCTGCATGTGAATCATTAATTTCACTGACAATTACATTTCTGCTTTTTCCACTATCACATGTCATCTCAATTCTAAGAAATTATTATTTTAAGCCCATTTAAAAATTATTTTGGGGATGCCTGGGTGGCTCAGTGGTTGGGCATCTGCCTTTGGCTCAGGGCGTGATCCCACTTTAGTGATCGAGTTCCACATCAGGATCCCTGTGAGGAGCCTGCTTCTCCCTCTGCCTAGTCTCTGTTTCTCTCTGTGTCTCTTGTGAATAAATAAAATATTTAAAAATGTTATTTTGGGGACACCTGGGCGGTGAGAACCAGCCCTGTGCTGGCTCCATGCTCAGCGTGGAGTCTGCTTGAGATTCTCTCTCTCCCTCTGTCCTGCCAGCTCATGCTCAGTCTCTCTTTCTCACATAAATAAAATTTTAAGAACAAATACTATTTTCTAAACTCAGGTTTAGAGGCTTCACAATTTTAGTTTCTCTACAGATTGTTTCTCTAAGGTTTCACAATTTTAGTTTCTCTACAGGGTTTTTTTTTTTAATTTTTTATTTATCTATGATAGTCACACACACAGAGAGAGAGAGAGAGAGAGAGAGGCAGAGACACAGGCAGAGGGAGAAGCAGGCTCCATGCACCGGGAGCCCGACGTGGGATTCGATCCCGGGTCTCCAGGATCGCGCCCTGGGCCAAAGGCAGGCGCCAAACCGCTGCGTCACCCAGGGATCCCGGTTTTTTTTTTTTTTTTTTAATACCTAAAGTCACTAAACCAAAATTAAACTAAAAAAAATGTTAATCCAAAAATAAATTCTAATTCTGGACTTACCAAACAGTGTAAACTTGGACAAATGACTTAACTTCTTTGAAACTTTTCTCATCTAGACGAGTGGCATATATGCCACCCCCCTCACCTCAGAGGTGACTGACTGTAAGGATGAAATGTGTGAGGTGAGTAAGGTACTTATGACCAAGACCTCATTGAGCAAGGGCCCAGTAAAACAAAACCGGTATCAACACAATTACTGCCCACTGATTTTATTACTAAGACTGTTTGTTACTAAGATTTATGTATGATTGACGATATGTTTTAAGACTAGAACAATGCAATTAAGAACACAATAAAATAAAAACAAAAATACATGAGAAAGTTCCAAAGTCTCCAACTCCTGCATACAGACATTTTCTCTCTTGGGCAGTCGCAGGATGCCACTGGATTGACTGAAGTTAACTTTTACAAAATTTTGTTCACTAGAACATTCTGGACCCAATGTGCAGGTCGGCTGAGGTGATGAAAGGCAACAACTTGGCCATGGGCAGAGGGACAAACTAGTTGATTACAAAATACAAAATAAAGCATCATTCTCATAGGTTTCGATTAGAATGAGAAAGGAGTATTATAAAATTGAGTTTCAGATTATTTTTGTGTGGAAATAGTGGCAAGGAACATGCTTTTGAGTAGAACACATACAAATCTGAATGATGGTCTCCTCTCTTACTACATGTATGTAACCTCATGCAAATTATGTAACTTCTCTGAAGGTCAGTTTCCTCACCCGAAAAATGCGGATAATACTTACTTTGTAACAATGTCACAAAATTGAAAGACAAGGTTTGTGAGCCAACTGGCACACAACCTGAAATATGGAATGTGCCCCAAAAAGCTATAGCCTGTGTTCTTTTACTGCCATATCATTAATAGAGTAGAAGACAGTGGAAAGTCTTGGCATGGTCTTCAACCTTGAGACTTGGAAGACATCACAAATGCCTTGAGTCACTGAGTGGGGTGTGGAGCTTGCTACACTGCAAACTCCCAGGGATTCACTTATTAAAATGGAAAGATGCCTGGACCATAATGGGGCCAGCTGCTCATGAAATGCCAAATCACTGAACAGAATAGCCTACCCTAACCTGGAAAGTGATGAAGTGTGAGGGCTGTGGCCTCAGATGGAAAAAGCCACAGAAAAACTTTGGGGCTTAAATTACTACACGTTTTAATTATATGAGCCTACTCATCTTTTTTTTGTTTTAAAGATTTTATTTACTTGACAGAGAGAGAGCAAAAGCAGGGGGAGCAGCAAGCAGGGGAGAGGGAGAAATAAGCTCCCCAGTGAGCATGGAGCCCCAAAAGGAGCGCTATACCAGGACCCTGAGATCATGACCCAAGTCAAAGGCAGATGCTTAACCAACTAAGCCACCCTCTACTAAGTAGGTACCCTCTACTCATCATTTTTTAGTACTAGTAAGGAAATGGAGTTTAACAATGTATCACGTTCAAGAATCTAAAATACAAACAAGTTAAAGGACTTGATCAAAATTACAGTGAGTTAAAGGAATAATATATACATCAATCATCCATTCCCCTGTAGAGCACTGGGATTACCCAATTAAGTATTTGCCCACCGTAGGTCTATTTAACCACCTAATGACCATGTCTATACTTTATGAAGAAAGTTGAGGGCAGCCCGGGTGGCTCAGCGGTTTAGCGCTACCTTCAGTCCAGGGCCTGATCCTGGAGACCTGGGATCGAGTCCCATGTTGGGCTCCCTGCATGGAGCCTGCTTCTCCCTCTGCCTATGTCTCTGCCTCTCTCTCTGTGTTTCTCATGAATAAATAAATAAAATATATATTTTTTTAAAGTTGAAAATTTTCTATGATCCTGTAACTTCCTTTTGGAAAACTTAAGATTGTCCTTCTGTCCCTGATTACCACAGAAAAACTTTTTGTTTTGGGGGGTGTTGTAAAAGGCCTTCTACAATAATACTGGTAACCCTTCCTAATAACACTCTCAGAATCCTAAACAGGCATGATGATGGGCCATTTTATTTCGTGAAAGATAACATGTCTTATGTGGCTTTAATAATACAATATTAGCCCGGGTCTCCTAAAGTCAAAATACTTAAATTACATAAGAACAGCTGAAATCTCTACCTCAAGGGGCAGGTAATCCTAAATTCACCCAAATAGACCAGAATGCAGAAGGGAAGACCTAACAACAGCACATCTTCATAATGCACCACAAATTTTCTCTCTCAGTAACAGATGGGAAATAATAGCCACTGAGACCATCTAGGGCCATTTCGCAGTGAATCTCAGCTCTAACCTCACAGCCCTTTTATCTACAACACCTCTGAAAGCAAATGGGATAAAAAGGACAATTTTCTTTCTGAACCAAAGCACAGAAAAATGGTCATGTAGAGGTCTTGGCTCCACTTGAAATGCTGGTATAATCATGTGGTTTTCACAGTAATGCACTGCATCAAGGGAGGGAGGAGGAAATGATGAGTTCTTAATGTGTCCAGTGTAACTTTAGGTAAAGCCTTTAATGCTACAAAGGTGATGATGATCATAGTTTCAAATGGTCATATTTACTTCTCTCCCCACTCTGAAAAAAGAACTCTCTAAGTCTGCAGCGAGGGAACAGTGAAGGACTCTAGAGGGCCTGGGCACAACTCTGTAACCACACCTTGATGACAGCTCCGAAGGCTCCTTTGCCGAGAAGCTGTAATTCTTCAAACTCAATGAAATATCGGGAAAACTGTCTCTGTGTCTCACTGAAGAACGCTGCACTGGGTAGCTGCTTACTAGGAATAACAGTCTCAACATAATCTTGTCCTCCAGAATCTGAGTTAAAACAAAATGAGAGAGGCAAGCGAAGCATTAGAAATACAGGAAGAGATGCAAAACCCAACAACAAAGCCAGGGCTGGAAGGTGACCCAACCCGTAGTTAGGTAAAAAGTACCTCTTACCTGGCACAGACCCTTCAACACGTTTCTTCACCTCGTTCTCCTTCAAGTAGGTGGTATATACACTAGCCCAGGTTATGGGCGGGGCTGAGTGAGACCCTCGGTGAGGGAATGACTTCTTGATAGAGCCAGAACCCAAACCGGGGTCTCCTGACCTATCCCCAGCTCTGCTATCAACACAGTTACTACCCATTGATTTCTCAGTCTGCTCCTTGAGTAGCAATAGGGAAATCTAGTTACATGGCAATAAGGTGACAGGACAAGAAGGGGGACCCAACACTGAGAGAGAGATTATCCCAACGGACACTCGATCTGTTGAGGCTGGAAAAACCAGGATGGCAAAAACAGTTGCACACGCACAGTATGTATTCAATGAGTGGATTTATGTACAGCTCGGTATGCAAAAGATAAATGATGGAGGCAGGCCGTTCCAGTCTTGGGTTTCTGCATCCTTTCAATATAATTTATGTCAAACAGGGTTTCAAAAAAGAGTGGTACCAGACTTACCGTCAGGACTCTGTTCCAATAAAGACATTTTCGGCTGTGGATTGATAAAGCTGTGTTTCAACAATTGCTGGGGACTCCATCTTTCCTTGTCATCCAAGCAAACACACCTCAGTGAGAGGGTAGAAAGAATCTCAGCAACACAGAAAATAATCACTAAACTTGTTAGTCCAACAGTTTATTTTCTTTTTTATTTATAGAAATAATGTAAATACACATGATACCAAAATGTACTCATAAGTGAATGCATGCTGATCATCAGGCTGGCTGTAAGTGGGGAATCAAAAAATAGACATTCTCTAGAGGCAGCAAGACTCACCTCATGGAACAATTTTTTTTTACAAGATACCACAAGTTATCATTCCTCCTAAATACTTCAGTTCTAACCTAGACCTCTCCCGGGACCAGTGAAAAACAAAGCTTTCCAAAAGAAGAGCAAACGTGATAGCTGGTGCAGGGTTGGGGCCCAATAGGATAAACTTCGGACGAAGTTTATCGGACGAAGCCTGTTCCTGCTAAGAAGTAACATGGTAATGGTTCAGGACTACTTTTAAAAAGTCCCACATTTTATCATGTATTTTCTTTTAATTCTCGTTCCTTGAACATTGTTTGATATTCTAAGAAATAATTTTTTGCCTTTTAATGAAGACAAACCGCACCTTTAACCCAGTGGGTTCTAAAGATGGGGTGGCATCAGTACCAGTATTATCTGGGAATTTGTTACAAATTCTATTCCAACCTTGTCCTAGTAGACCAGCAGCTCTGGTGGTTTGGGCAGTAATCTGCATTTTATCTAGCTGTGCAAATGATTTCAATTCAAGATAAAGTCTGAGAACAACTGTTTTAACTAATCTAAGATGTTTGCTTTAATTACAATGACTCAAGGAGCACCACTTGGGAGCACTTGACCCTAATTCTCAACAATATTTAAATGAACCAACCATCATTGTGAATTCTATATCACCTGTAGCTATGTAGTGGCGGCAGTAACTTCCTTAACAGGTAACATCTTATTTTTTTATGTCAGCACTTAATTCCATACTTTGAAATGGACAAGACCACAATAAAAGCATTTGGCTAAGACACTATTTTTTTTCCTCTGAATTTAAGATTAATCTAAATTTTTTTAAAAAGATTTTATTTAATTTATTCATGAGAGACACACACAGAGACAGAGAGCGAGAGCGAGAGCGAGAGCGAGAGAGAGAGAGAGAGAGACAGGCAGAGGGAGAAGTAAGCTCCATGCAGGGAGCCCGATGTGGGACTTGATCCCGGGTCTCCAGGATCACGTCCTGGGCTGAAGGCAGCGCTAAACTGCTGAGTCACCCGGGCTGCCCAAGATGAATTTTAATTAGATCAGTAAAAAAGCTTATCTTCTCCATGCAAATATTAAAACATTACTGATTATGATAGTCTTTCACCAAAATCCCATCTCTCTCCAATTCCTCTGCTCCCCTTCAGTGTCTGTCATTCCAGGCTTTTTTCTATGCATTTAACACAATAATACATAACATATAGTTTTGCTTTGTGGATGTTGTTTTTTTAATGACATCATCTTATATTATCCTCAACTTGCTTTTTTCATTTGACCATGGAAAACGTTTTGTACCCAATTCCACTGTTGGGGGGATGGGGAGCCACCAAGCAATTCTCTAACGCCAGTTGGGTATCATAATTCGACTCATTTCTGACATTATCTACCCAGAGATAGCATCAGATCTCACAGGTTGAAGGCTCATTCCTTTAAGACTGCCCCCAAACCTTTGTAGATGCCAATGGCAACCTGTGCTTTCAACCATCCAGCTACAGATCAGAGATCTCAACAACCCTCTCCTTGGATTCAATCAGTCTGCTATAGTGCTTCACAGAACTGAGAAACATTTTATTTACTGGATTACCAGTTTCTTATGAAAGGATATAACTCAGGAACAGCCAGACAGAGGAAATGCATAGGGCGAGGTGTGTGGAGAAAGCACAGAGCTTCCATGCCGGCCCAAGGCTCCTTCCCAGCACCTTCATGTGTTCACCAACCTGCAAGCTCTCCAAGCCCCATGCTTTTGGATTTTTTAAAAAAGATTTATTTATTCATGACAGACACAGAGGGAGAAGCAGATTCCCTGCAGGGAGCCTGATGTGGGACTTGATCCGAGGATCCCAGGATTACAACCTGAGCTGAAGGCAGCCACTCAACCACTGAGCCACCCAGGTGTCCCTCCTTTTGGAGTCTTTATGGAGGCTTCACTACACACACACACACACACACACACACACACACACACACACACACACACACGACTGATTCAATCATTGGCCACTGGTGATCGATTCAATGTCTAGCCCTTCTGTTCACCCCACAGATTAGGAAGCTCAACATCTCTAGTCAATGGTTGGTTGTCAGGTCAGTTCCCTGGGCTACCAGCCTAGATTCTCAGAGCGGATCCTTAGGCCAGTTCCAAAATTTACCTCATTAACAGAAGAAGAGACACCTTACTGCCTAGAAAATTCCAATGGTTTTAAGAGCTCCCTGCTTGCAACAGGGATGAAGACCAAATATATCTTTCTTATTATAAATCATAATATTACACCATATGTCTTAGAGATCTTTCTTCCAAGCCAGTACTATAATAAGATCTTTTTTGAGCTTCCCAGAATTTATTCACATGATACACACATTCTTCTACTGTTGCACGTTTAGATTATTTCCAATTTTTCACTTGTACAAAAAACTGCTACAGTGAACATTCCTAGACACATCCTGTTGGGTTTCTCAAGTCCCTTGTCACCTGTAACTCAACTATGACAGTAATCAAGAAAATTTTAAAGCCTACCTAGAATGAATTGTAACTTTAAGAGATTTTATAGCCACCAGGATTCTCAGTTAAAAAGATGAAATTTTCTGAGCCAAACATTTTGGCATCATAGTAGCTCTAAGTAGCGCAGGCAAATGCTAGGTTCATCTCTGAAAAAGGTTGAAATGCCTGGAAAGTCACCCTGTTAGATTCACTGTCCTCTCTACTGAGGACGGAGTTGGTAACATTGTCTCAGCAAGGCCACTCTACAGGTGTGTGTGAGCTCATCTTATCCTCACAGCCACCTTGGGGTGTAGGCAGTGCTATTAATATTAAATTACTAAATTAAAATTAAAGTATTAAATTAGGGACGCCTGGGTGGCTCAGCAGTTGGGCGTCTGCCTTTGGTTCAGGATATGATACCGGAGTCCCAGGATCGAGTCCCGCATTGGAGTCCCTGCGGGAAGCCTGCTTCTCCCTCTGCCTGTCTCTGCCTCTCTGTGGCTCTCATGAATAAATAAATAAAATCTTAAAAAAAAAAGTATTAAATTAAAATGATCCATTTTAACAGGGACAAACCATAGGGTAGAGAGTTTAAGTACTCAGCCGGGAAGGGGTAAAGGTAGGATCTAAATCCAGCTGTCCAGGCTACGGCCATACCACCCTAAATGCATCCGATCTTGTGTAATTCCAGCTGTCTGGCTCCAGTCAGGGCTCTTTCCTATCACAGCGATTGATACAGAGCAAAATCTTCCTCCAGAGGATATTCACCAAGAAATCAAAAGACAACTACAAATGAAATAAATGTTGCCATGCTAGTGTTGTTGGTGAATGATTTTTTTTTCTTTGTTTAACTGGGGCTGAACAGTAAAGGACAGTACAGGGCAGTTCCTCCTTCACCAAGTCCATCAAACCAGTCTAGGATGAGAGAGGAATATACAAAAAAAAAAAAAAAAAAAAAAAAACAAAAAACTAAAGGACAACCATGTTAAACAGAGTTCTTAAGAAGTAGTGCTGATCTAAAGTTCGAAACCAACAGGAGTGAGTGATTCTCTAAGGAGAAAACTAGGAAAGATTTGAGTCTGTCATTTTGCTATAAAATGTGAGAGACACCGCACACTTAAACCTTCCTGTGTTGTTGTTTTTTTTTTGTGTGTGTTGTTTTTTTAATACATAATGCAATTTGCTAAATCACCCTTGACCCGTGAAGAAGGGCTGAAAGCAAAATGTGACATTGTGAAGAATGAAATGAGTCTATCAGGGGTCCTAGCGCCATTATTTCCACTGAGGTCATTTTAGCCTATGTCATCCTCCGGGTGCATTTAAATATATATTTTTAAAGTTCTATTGCATTTAAGAGAAGTTGCAAAAGATTCCTTTGGAAATCTTAAGATGATTTATATACTTTCAGGAGGGAATACAGTATAAAGAATCAAAGCTGGCCTCTTTCCGTAACATCATGTCTGCTTCTGTTTTACAGTACACAGAAACGATCTTAAACAGAAGGGCAGCTACTTTCATCTTTGTAATAGGTAATGAGTAAGTAACAAGTAACGATACAGCTTGGGTCAAATGGCAATTGAGACAGATGGGAACAGTAGGGAGTGGATAAAAGTGAATGGCTGGGAAAAAGAGAAAAGACAGAGCGGCAGAAAGGGAAAGAAACCAGTCCAGCTCAATTTCCACAGGAAGGTTGGACCAGGGAAGTGTCTGAAAAAACCCACTCTGAAGGGATCTTATTTTTGTTTGACAGAGAAACCAAGAGAACCCAGGTCTGGCTTGGACAGAGCAGTGAGGCAGGGGCTAAGCTGCAAAGCACCGAAGGGAAGGATCCGAATAAACACATTAGGCACTAGGTGGACCTTTCAATAAATAACTCTCTCAAAGCAGCTGGACTTGGCTCTGCAGGGAAATGTATACCTGGAATTTACCAGTGTTGAAAATCCTATGGCCAGTGTGAGGAAGTCACTGCATTCTATGACCTGGCTGAATGAGACCCTGCTCATGAAGAACGGTTACGAAGAACAAGGGACAGAACTGTGATGTTCTTCACGCTGTTTTCTAGATAGGGGGCCTTGTCTTCAACCCCTTAGGAGCCAGCAGCTAAGGGATATAGTGAGCAACTTCCATGTGGAATACCTGGGCATCTGTCCCTGGAACAATCCCTGTTAACTTCCTGGATATACTAGGAACTCTTCAAAAGCAGTTTGAAAATCTTCCTAAAGCCTTAGTGAATGGAGGACAACATTCGAGGTAAGGGAATGAAAATGTTAAGCAAGAAAACAAGCTATGTGACTGGGAAAGGGGCTGGGAGAACAAAGAATGTTTACTCCGATCCTGTTCCTCACTTTTCAGCTTAAACATATCACATAGATGCTGAGCAAATTCAAGCACAATTACAAGTTCAGGACGAGGGGCGCCTGGGGGCTCAGTTGGTTAAGCGGCTGCCTTCGGCTCAGGTCAGGACCCCAGGTCAGGATCCTGAGGGCCTGGGATAGAGCCCTGTTGTGGGCTCTGCGCTCAGTGGGGAGTCTGTTTGTCCCTCTGCCCCTTCCCCTGCTCATGCCCTCCCGCCCCCAAATAAATAAAATCTTTAAAAAGGTCAGGAGTAAAGAGCAATTAGAGAGAATCTCAATGATACTCACTTCTTTAGAAAATCTTGGAAGTCAGCTGGTAAGTCACTAGGGATGGTCACAGGGTACTCTCCGCATTCTTGTCCTTGGCTGAGGAAGAGCAGCAGAAGGCCAAGACACCAAACATCCCCTTTCTTCCCCGTTTTATAAGGTAGGGCACTGTCACTAAAACTAACTCGGCTCTGCTCAAACACATCCTCCTTGCAAATGTCTGCTAGGCGCTTTGAAATGCTGTAGTCCGTAATCTTGACATTGCCCTCTGCATCCACCAAGACATTTGATGCATTCAGAACCTTGTGCACCACGTCATTGCTGTGCAAATAATCGAGGCCAGACAAGAGCTGAGCTGTGTACTTGCGGAGTTGATACACAGGGATGGGGCCTGAGTGGCTCAGATGTGCAGAGAGGGAGACCCCATTAATGTGCTCCAATAAAATGTCCACCATGATGGAGTCATCTTGCTCTTTGAGATTCATTGCAAAGTAGCGTACTACATTTGGATGGCTCAATTTTACCAGTGAGTTGAATTCCGTTTCTGCCCCTTGAATCTGGTAAGGAAAAACACCACTAAGATAATATTGTATTGATCAGCATTAACTGGTGTTTCACTTCACGAGTTAAATATTTAATAGAAAATGTACTCTCAAAGGAGAAGGGATATTTTCTGAACTGTATCCTCCCCGAAATTGTAAGGCCAACCTAACACTTTATAAAGATGAAAGCAATTTAATTCTCAACTTCTGTGATCTCAAAATCTAGTGTACCAATTGGCAAGTAACTTGTTTTTTTGAAAGTAGGCACCACAACCAGGGTGGAGAACAACATAGGGCTTGGAACTCATGACCCTGAGATCTAGACCTGAGCCGAGATCAAAAGCCAGGATGTTTAACCGACTAAGACACCCAGGTGCCCCCCAAATTAATCGTTCTTCTCTTTTATTTTTTAATTTTTAAAACTTAAAAAAAAAAGATTTTATTTATTTATTCGTGAGAGACACAGGGAGGTGGGGAGAGAGAGAGAGACAGAGAGAGAGAGAGAGAGAGAGAGAGAGGCAGAGACACAGGCAGAGGGAGAAGCAGGCTCCACGCAGGGAGCCTGACGTAGGACTCGATCCTGGGCCCCCAGGATCACACCCCAGGCTGAAGGTGGCGCTAAACCACTGAGCCACCCGGGCTGCCCTCTCTCATTTTTAAATAGGCTCCATGCCCAATGTGGAGACAAGACTCTGAGATCAAGACCGGAGTTTAGAGTCAGACACTTAACCCAGGTGCTCAGATGAATAGCTTTTAAAAGCAATTTCTTTTGCCATAAGGCCAGCAGGGGGAAAAAAAAGAGGGACAGCTGGGTGGCTCAGTGGTTGAGCATCTGCCTTTTGCTCAGGTCATGATCCTAGTCCTGGGATCGAGTCCCGCATTGGGCTCCCCACACGGAGCCTGCTTCTCCCTCTGCCTATGTCTCTGCCTCTCTCTGTGTGTCTCTCATGAATAAATAAATAAATCTTGAAAAAAAAAGAAAAAAAAGAAGAAGGCAGCCCGGGTGGCTCAGTGGTTTAATGCCGCCTTCAGCCCAGGGCATGATCCTGGAGACCCGTGATCGAGTCCCATGTCGGGCTCCCTGCGTGAAGCCTGCTTCTCCCTCTGCCTGTGTCTCTGCCTCTCTCTCTCTTTCTCTGTGTCTCTCATGAATAAATAAATAAAATCTTAAAAAAAAAAAAACTAATTTTTTTTCACAAACCTTTCCTGATTAGTGTGACTGGCTGGCTCATTCGGTGCAGTGTGCGACTCTTGATCTCAGATTGTGGGTTCAAGCCCCATGGTGGGTGTAGGGATTACTTAAAAATAATTTAAAAGTCTTAAAAAAAAAAGTCTTTAAAAAAAAAAGAAAAAGCCTTTCCTGTTCATAAAGAATCAATGTCAACCTTTTTAAATAAGTACTAACACAAAAGAAAAAACCCCACAAATTGCTCATATGGTCACTACCCCCCCCCCTTTTTAAATTTTATTTATTTATTCATGAGAGACACAGAGAGAGGCAGAGACATAGGCAGAGGAAGAAGCAGGGTCCCTGCAGGGAGCCCGATGTGGGACTTGATCCCAGGACTCCAGGATCATGCGCTGGGCCAAAGGCAGGTGCTAAGCAACTGAGCCACTGAGGGATCCTACAAAAACCGTTTCAATTTCAGTATATTTACTACCAGTTTTTCTACCAGAAATACATATTTCTAAACATAATGCTTTCCTACCATTTGTAATATCATTATTATGTAACTGTGTGACATGCAACGTTAAATATTCTCCTTAAACTCAGCATTATAAACTAATGTTAAAATTGTCCAGTCCCCTAAAATTCAGATCTGCTGCAAAGACTTTAAAAGATTGCAGAGGGACACCTGGGTGACTCAGTGGTTGAGTGTCTGCCTTCGGCCCAGGGCGTGATCCTGGAGACCCGGGATCAAGTCCCGCATCAGGCTCCCTGCATGGAGCCTGCTTCTCCCTCTGCCTGTGTCTCTGCCTCTCTCTGTGTGTCTCTCATGAATAAATAAATAAAATCTTAAAAAAAAAGATTGCAGAAAGCACAAGAATGAAGTATTATTTAGCTCCAGCTGGAGATGGTTATTAATGCCCTCAGAAAAGCAGAAAAAGAGTATAGGAAAAAGCTGTACAAGTCATAACCATGTTCTGAGTGTGGTGAAAGGGGCAACAAGGGGCTGAGAAAACTCTGGAAAAGAAGCAGGTCCCCCACCATCACCTCCAGTTAAAAGCCCAGCTCTTTTGTTTTGCTACCTCATCAAGTTGGGCATGGGGGGTAGGGGGTAGAGGGGAGAGGCCTCTGCTCAGGGGGCCCCTGGGATGCCCACCTGCTTTTTGCACTTATCAATCTTCTCCTTCTCTTGACTGGTAAGGAACGGGCCCATTTTTTTCTGCCACCGAAGGACCCACTCATGCAATGACACAAAGTTGCCAGTGGCCGTTTCCAAAGCATTATAAACTAATTTTCCAAGCTGCTCATCACTGCCTGCACATTGAAAGAAAATATGATGAAATCTCACTGGTCTACTTTCTGCTGGGGTCAAGAAAGAGGGGCTATATCTTCATTCATGCATTCAACAGTGGATACCACATGCAAACTATAAAAAATGATTTCATATAATATACGCTCTGTTATAATCAAATTTTTAATATTTCACAACATACTCTGAACGCTTAAATATTAATTTTTACAAATGGACAATAATCGACTATAAGATTTTAGCATCAGATCAGTGTTTTCCTCTACTAGCCATTATTCACAACGTGACTTTCATGACCGGTTCACTTCTGATGACCATGCCTACCCTCATGTGACTAATGACCAACTAATGTGATGAAAGGAATTTGGAAATAGGCGCAGTCCACTGAGATTACTCCACCAAGGTAGATTACTGTGCATAGGAAAAACAAGTTTTAACTATTTCGAAACTTCAATATATCAATGATCTTATAAAATGCGAGTATATGCAACAAATACAAACTGGCCACTGGTTTTGGGAGAAAGAACCAGAAATGAGTTTAAATTTGAAGCTAGAAAGACAGACATATTTATTTAATAATAGGTATATGGTTTCCACTCATATCTGGGAGAGTGAAATTTCTATAACACCAATTTTTATTAAAGACTGTGATAGAAAATTACCAAAAAATTGGAAATGAAGAAAAGTACCACCCACAATATCACCATTTTCTCTTCCACTTCCCTCTACTTTTTCTCTAATTTACCAAATCATAGCATATATAACAGCATTTCTTACCCTTGACCCCAGGACATTTTAGACTAACTCTTTTGCTGAAAAGGGGGGTCTTGTGTACTGCAAGGTGTTTAGCAGCATCCCTGGCCTCTACCCACTAGATGCCAGTAGCACCCCTACCCTAGTCTTAACCATCGAAAATAGGTCCACAAATGTCCCCCAGGGGACAAAACTACCCCCAACTGAAAACCACTTATATATAGTATTTTGTCTTTTCCCCTTAGTACATAAATGATAGTTTTCAAAAAATAAATGATAGTTTTCCATGCTACATTGTCTTCTTAATGAAAAAAACTGTTCCAAAGAAATGATGTACTTATTTTTTCCATTTAAAAATGCAAGGTAACCTGTATTTATAAGACAAAGTAGTCTTAGCAAAATTACTTTAGAGAGGGCAGACCCAGTGGCGCAGCAGTTTAGCGCCACCTGCAGCCCAGGGCGTGATCCTGGAGACCGGGGATCGAGTCCCCTGCCGGGCTCCCTGCATGGAACCTGCTTCTCCCTCTGCCTGTGTCTCTGTGTCTCTTTCTCTCTTTCTCTATTTCTCTCTCTCTCTCTCTGTGTATGTGTGTGTGTGTGTGTGTCTCATGAATAAACAAATAAAATCTTAAAAAAAAAATACCTACTTTAGAGAAGTGTGTCTGAACTAGCTCACCTAGACTTTTTAACAGAGAAGCAGTTTTTAACCTCATTAGAAATGCTGGCAACTTAAAAAAGAAAAAAAAAAGAAATGCTGGCAACTTAAGAAATTTTAATTAAAATGATCAGTTATGCTAGTTATAAACAACTCCTGACATTCTGAGCCTAAGGCAAAAAAACATATTCCTTGATGTATGAATATATTTCAACCTAAGAAGCAACCTGTGGAACGTGGGGTTTAAGCAGTACACACTGGGAGAGACATGATTTTAATATGGGATGGAATGTGATGTGATTTACATAAAGCCTAATTAAATGTGTGCGTCATACAGTACAATGTCTCGCAATATGTATCTCCTAAATTGGAACCCAGTGGGTATCGCCTAATTGCTGGCTGGAGGGGTTTTTCTGTATTGTGATTTTGTTATCACCACCCTCTTGTCACTTTTTCATGATGGGGATAATAAAAGGGACAAAAGAACACATTGCAATGAGGCTGAAGGAAGTATGTTACCAGAAGATTTCTGACTGCAACTCTATTAAGTGTTAATGATCATTTGTACAGACGGTCTCCATAGTGCTTTATCCATCAGCTTTCTCTGCTTCTAACAGCTTTAAGTGGAAAAACTAATGTTAATTAGTTCAGCTTTCATAAAACATTTCCTAAAAAATCAGGACATATTTTAAAAATCAGACCTGTTGTGAGAAAGCTAATAACTAATTTACATGACGGTTTTATTAAAAAATGTTGACTACAAATGTGTCCCCTAATGAGGGTATTAACTAAGGTAAATTGGTCTAATGTGTACCAGTGAGAATTAGAAACTAAGCGAAGGTAATAAGCATCTGGATTAATTTGCCTTCCTGGTTTCTCCATATTATTGAAAGCAGGGAGTTTTATGTTAACAGTTTGGGAGCCTGAAATGCCTCTAAGTCAAGGACAGTCTCAGGTCCAAGGTCATGAACCTGCTTAAATGGTTGCTTTGTCTGAACAGGGCACACTCTGTGTACACATGGTCTTGTACAGTTCAGGCTGCTTTCTGATAGCCAAGGTTAAGTGTTCGGTTCATAGACTATTCAGATATCTGGTTTGTTCTCCGTTTTATCTGCTGCTTGCTCCTGGTAACTCCCCTGCTAATTTGTATCTCCTTAAAGGGCATGGGAGGGATCCCTGGGTGGCGCAGTGGTTTGGCGCCTGCCTTTGGCCCAGGGCGTGATCCTGGAGACCCGGGATCGAATCCCACATCGGGCTTCCGGTGCATGGAGCCTGCTTCTCCCTCTGCCTGTGTCTCTGCCTCTCTCTGTGACTATCATAAATAAATTAAAAAAAAAAAAAAGGGCATGGGAAAAAGACACCAAAAGAAAGTAAATTCAGGGACGCCCAGGTGGCCCAGTGGTTTAGCGCCTCCCTTCGGCCCAGGCCATGACCCTGGAGACCCGGGATCGAGTCCCACACTGGGCTCCCTGGATGGAGCCCTGCTTCACCCTCTGCCTGCGTCTCTGCCTCTCTCTCTGCTGTCTCTCAGAATAAATTAATAAAGTATATATATAAAAAAAAGAAAGTAAATTAATATAGATAATTTGGCTGTTAACTTTGGTAAGAATATTCATGCGATTGAAAATTAAATTGTCAAAATCACTACATGCAAGTGACCCCTACACCAAGTAGTGGCTGTATCTGAATGGCTGATAAAAGATATACACTTATGCAAAAAAGTAAATAATGAAAACTTGACTTTAACATAAACAATCCAAATCACAAATTGCTAAACCAGCTTTATTCTAAATAGCCCTTAGTAGACAAAATTGCTAAGTAAGACAGATGGAAAATAAATAAGCTGGTTTTCCTGGCCAGCAATGCCAAGCAGGAAAATGCTATTAAGATGGGTATCAACTTTAGAAAATTACACTTGGTCATTTTATTACACATATTTTATCAGCAATTGATGCACATGATGCAAAATTCTAGCGATTCTTATTTTTGACCATTTTGGTTTCAAAAAGCTTGACGAATTATAATAATGACAAATGTTAAATGATCTTTAAGCTAACAATACTTCCAAGAGCTTAGGTTTTAATTTCCATTTTACGGAAGGGGAAACCTAAGCACTTTCTCTTTCTGGTCATTAGCTAACAGGAACTAGAATGACTCACTGAGTTGATAGTCTTCCCTGGACCACACTGCTTCAGACAATGCAGTGTCCGTTCCACCCCATCCTTCCATGATTAACTTTTGTCGCTAGAATAATTTAAATCAATTTAGCGAATTTACTCACCAATGCACCTCCCTTTGTAAACCATGAGCTGATCAGGGCTACCCATAGAGAAATACAGGACTTCACAAGAGCCAGAAGAATCTTCACTACTACACAGAGAATACTGACGTTCTCGCCTTCAAAACAAATTTAGACAATGATTTTTTTTTTTTAACTTAAGATTAACAGGAAATTCTTGCCCCTCTGTTTTCTCCAGTTTACTACCCCATTCACTGTCTAATATCTATCTCCACTAGGAACTGAGTTCAAGTGCTAATGGGATCAGTAGCACCCCATTCTATTGAGGTCCTCTCCATATGAACTCTACAGATCCCTAAATCTACGTCTGTGCTGTCCAACAGGGTAGCCACTAGCCACATATGGCTATTTAGATTTAATCAAAATGAAATTAAAAATTCAGTTCTGAGCAGCCTGGGTGGCTCAGTGGTTTAGTGCCACCTTTAGCCCAGGGCATGATCCTGGAGACCCGGGATAGAGTCCCACATCGGGCTCCCTGCATGGAGCCTGCTTCTCCCTCTGCCTGTGTCTCTGCCTCTCTCTCTCTCTCTCTCTCTGTCTCATGAATACATAAATAAAATCTTAAAAAAAAAAAATTCAGCTCTTTGGGGCACCTGGGTGGCTCAGTGGTTGTCTGCCTTTGGCTCAGGTCCTGGGATCGAGTCCCATATCAGGCTCCCCACGGCCTATATCACAGGCTGCTTCTCCCTTTGCCTGTGTCTCTGCCTCTCTCTGTGTGTCTCTTGTGAATAAATAAATAAAATCTTAAAAAAAAAAATCACCTCTTTAACAGCAGTAGCCAAATTTCAGTACTCAAAAGCCACAAGTAACTAGGTGGCTACCCTGCTGGACAGGACTGATAGGGAAACATTTCCATCATCACAGACGTTCTACAGCAGTGATTTAGCTGGGTCCCACAGCACTCCCATATCTCTGGATCCCCATGCACCTGCACGTCTGGAGAAAGCTACAAATGGGGATGTGGAGCACTACAAATGCCTAGTCTTCAGCTGAGCCCCAAACATTGCATGTTCCCATTCGTTGTCTTGTGTTTGGTAGATATGCTCTGCTAATCTCCTTTATGACTTCTCCCCAACGCTCAGAACCTACCCTGTCCTCCCCTCTTCCTCATATTCTGCTTTTTGTCTGAGTTAGAAGCAAGATCTGGGAAGCTAGATAATGCAAAAATAATCAGGGAATTATAAATATAATTATAATATAAATGAATAAATTGGCAGAGGTTACAGGGAAGAGGGATACGGAGAAAGCTGACAGTCAGGCCTGGACACCTGTACAAAAGGTTTTGATGAGCCACAGGGGCTGATCTCTGGAAAGCAGCCTCACTAAGCATGATCTTGCCTCCTACTTTCGCTCAGAACATGAAGCACTGGACAGTGAAGCCCACACTTTCTACGGTTCTGCCTGTAACATTTCTTGACATCTGTACCATTCTTTCTTTTGCCCAGACTGAAGGAGGATGGCAATCCAGTCCACTGTTCCATTCCCAACAGTCTCCTCTGAGATCTTGGTATATGAGCTAGTCCCCGTCTCCTGTACATTCAGTCTGACCCTCCACTGGTTCCAGCCCCTCAGAACTATGGCTCTCTCCCAGGTGCACACTCTCCTTCCTCAATCTTGTGCTCCCACCTCCTCTTGCTTTTCATTTTCAAACTTCTATACTTGCTTGTCTCCACCTCTGTGCCTTCTCTTTACTCTTCATGCCACTGCAATATCAGTAAAACCACCATCACCAACCTATCCACTCTCAATCTGGTTTTTCCCCTTGGTTCTTTTCTTTTGGTTGGTGGCACTGTCATCCATTCTGTCTCTAGTCAGAAACACACAAGCCTCCCTGAGCAACTAGATCTCCTATGTGTAGTTAACCCCCCAAGCACCACCCTCTCCTCTCCAATTCCCCCTGCCCCATTTGGGTCATTGCCAACTTTCTCCTGGACATGTGTGATACTCCATTATTAACTGGTCTCTCCACCCCCAGACCTAAGCGTCTTCCCCTCCCCCAAGCCTCTCCCACACTGCTGACAAGAACCATTATGATTTGACTGTCTCATACCACACATGTCTACATATTTGAAACACCAGGGAAGGACTAATATAATGTAGTTCTGTTTAAATTTCTACTAGTAAAGTTTTTTGTTGGGCAGCCCAGGTGGCTCAGTGGTTTAGTGCCGCCTTCAGCCCAGGGTGTGATCCTGGGGCCCCGGGATCAAGTCCCATATCGGGCTCCCTGCATGGAGCCTGCTTCTCCCTCTGCCTGTGTCTCTGCCTCTCTCTCTCTGTCTCTTGTGAATAAATAAATAAAATCTTTTAAAAAATAAAATAAAATAAAAAATAAAGTTTTTTGTGAAACCAAAGGCACCCTGAAACTTACGGAGAAAAACATAAAAGCAAAGGTTAAAATGATATGGTAGGCTTATTATTAACATTATTTATAATATAAATTATCCATCTCTACATCCATTCTGCTCCTTTCAAAAGATGGTGCTAATAGATATTTTAGCTTATGTCATCTTTATGTTATTTATAGTGTGTCACTGCTTGGTTTACAGGGGTTTTAGGGATGCCTAGGTGGCTCAATGGTTGAGCGTCTGTTTTCGGCTCAGGGCGTGATCCCAGAGTCCTGGGATCGAATTCTGAATTGGGCTTCCTGTGGGGAGCCTGCTTTTCCCTCTGCCTAGGTCTCTGCCTCTGTCTCATGAATAAATAAAATCTTTAAAAAAAGAAAGTGTTTTAGAATATTAATCACTTTATCATGACTGTTAAGTACAAACACAATGAGAATGTTAAGAGTTTTAGTGTGAGGGATGCCTGGGTGGCTCAGCGGTTAGGCATCTGCCTTTGGCTCAGAGCATGATCCTAGAGTCCTGGGATCGAGTCCCACATCAGGCTCCCTGCATGGAGCCTGCTTCTCCCTCTGCCTGTGTCTCTGCCTCTCTCTGTGTGTCTCTCATGAATAAATAAATAAAATCTTTAAAAAAAAAGTTTTAGAGGGAAAAGATGAATCATTAGGAGTGAAATAAATGAAATATTGAGACTTTTAAAAGTTTAAGTGTCAAGAAAAAAACAAAAGTGGTACAAATAGAATAGAATGTATAACAGTGGTAATCATTCTGAAGGATAAAAAGCAAATCTCATAAAGTCTGAGAAGGAATAGAGGCAAAAGCCAGTGCCACTGATGTTTCCTATTTTCACCCAAGAGATGTATATATATTGGGTGCTCATATTGTCTATTTTAGACTCATCCAAAATTGAGTTTAGAACAACCTTTAGGAACCTAATTCATTTATGAGTAAAACAGCTTCTGAACTGCATCAGAAATAACCATCCCTGAGACACCTGGGTGGCTCAGTCAGTTAAGCACTGGACTTTGATTTTGGCTCAGTTCATGATCTCAGGGTTGTGAGATCAAGCCCCACGTTGGGCTCCACTGGGCTCTGCACTGGGTGTGGCGCCTGCTTAAGATTCTCTCTCTTGGGGCAGCCTGGGTGGCTCAGCGGTTTAGCGCAACCCTCAGCCTAGGGCTTGATCCTGGAGATCTAGGATCAAGTCCCAAGTCGGGCTCCCTGCATGAAGCCTGCTTCTCCCTCTGCCTGTGTCTCTGCCTCTCACTCTCTCTCTCTCTCTCTCTGTCTCTCATGAATAAATAAAATCTTTAAAAATAAAAAATAGATTCTCTCTCTCCTTCTCCCTCTGCCCCTTCCCCCACTCCAGCTCCAAAAAAGGAAAAAAAGAAAAAAAATAAATAGCTATCCCAATGCAAACAAATGGAATTTAGAAGCAGTAACTAACAGTGGTCTCATCATCAAGGGTCTATTTGAGATTACAGAATGTTCACAGGGGATTGCAATATTATTAGGAATATCACCCATGCAATCAGTTTTTCCACGTAGCTGTGTTGTGCAAAGATAAAGGATGTTTTAAACAAAACTGCCAAATATTTTTTTTAATTAAGTCAGGTCTTTTTTTTTTAATTTTTATTTATTTATGATAGTCAGAGAGAGAGAGAGAGAGAGAGAGAGAGAGAGAGAGCAGAGACATAGGCTGAGGGAGAAGCAGCTCATGCACCGGGAGCCCGACATGGGATTCGATCCCGGGTCTCCAGGATCGCGCCCTGGGCCAAAGGCAGGCGCCAAACCGCTGAGCCACCCAAGGATCCCAAAACTGCCAAATATTATTAACTACATCTTCTAAGGGACAGAGAATTAGAGATAATTCAATTTTAGAAAACTAGGTGCCTAGGAGCTTGATGCCTGAAAACAAGAAAAGGTGAATTTTTTTAAAAGATTTTATTTATTTTAGAGAGAGAGAGAAAGAGAGAGTGCAAGCATGGGGAGAGCAGAAGGAGATGATCTCCAACAGACTCCACATTAAGTACAGGACCCAATGTGCGGCTCAATCTCAAGAACCTGAGATCACTACCTGAGCCGAAACCCAGAGTTAGAAGCTTAACCAACCGTGCCACCCAGGTGCCCCGAAAAGGTGGTTGTTTTTAAAAGCCAAGTAGCAAGAAGAGAGGTGGCAATCTGTCAAAGGGGGACTTAAGAATTGGGCTCTCATCCAAAAGACTGTTCTGCCAACATGACTGATAGGGTAGTTGGTTGGACCAGGATATGAAAAAGGAGAATCTCACCTGAAACATGGAAGATATCCTCAACTTCCTGCCTAATTCATCAAGATGCCACAGAAAACTAGCTCTTCATCCCTTAGTTTCAAACTCAGGGCAGTATTGAGGACAGAAAGTAAGAATTCTCGACACTGCTTAAGTTGAGGTGAACTAGTCTATGCCTCCAAGGAACCACATAGAGAAACAGTGATCAATGGAGAATCACAAGTTTGGAAATATTTATCCAGGATTCACTCCTTTTGGGCAGCCCTGATGGCTCAGTGGTTTAGCGCCACCTTCAGCCCAGGGCCTGATCCTGGAGACTTGGGATGGAGCCCCACGTCGGGCTCCCTGCATGGAGCCTGCTTCTCCCTCTGCTTGTGTCTCTGCCCCCCTCTCTCTCTGTGTCTCTCATGAATAAATAAAATCTTTAAAAAAAGAAAAAAGAAAAGGATTCGCTCCTTTCCTACCCACGTCCTTTATACACTTCAGTGGTTCCCTAGCTTTTTGGGGAGAGTGCAGGGAATCCCATGTCTTATACCTTTCGGAATCTGTTCTCTCTATAAGGTTGAACAGCCAGCAGTTACATTAACTGGTTTGAGGATCAGGAAAACAAGCTAGGGGACACTTGGGTGGCTCACTGATTGAGCGTCTGCCTTTGGCTCAGGGCATGATCCTGGAGTCCCAGGATCGAGACCCGCATCAGGCTTCCTGCATGGAGCCTGCTTCTCCCTCTAGCTATGTCTCTGCCTCTCTCTCTCTCTCTCTCTGTGTGTGTGTGTGTGTCTCTCACGAATAAATAAATAAAATCCTAAAAAAATAAATAAGCTATAAAAAAGGGGGGGGGGAACAAGCTAGGAGACGAGTTGATGTTGTTTGATGGTGGAAACAGGTAATACATCCTAGACTCTAAGCTACACATTAGTAAGCTGCAAAAAAGGTGGCTGCGAATCTGTGGGAAATGATTCTCTTCCATGAACTCCTTACAGAGACTTTTCCTCCCCCTTTGGCTTCTCCTAAAAAGTCTGAAGTACCCAGTTATGAGGTGTAACACCCCTGGAAAGAAGACAGGGATTGGGGAGGACTGTGTCTGTACTTCACAAAAGGCAATTTGACACTGAATTATATACTTGAAAATGTTTAGTTTTATGTTATTTGATTTTCTTTTTTTTTTTTTTTTTTTTTTTTTTTTTTAAATTTTTATTTATTTATGACAGTCACAGAGAGAGAGAGGCGCAGAGACACAGGCAGAGGGAGAAGCAGGCTCCACGCACCGGGAGCCCGACGTGGGACTCGATCCCGGGCCTCCAGGATCACGCCCCGGGCCAAAGGCAGGCGCCAAACCGCTGCGCCACCCAGGGATCCCGTTATTTGATTTTCTTTAAAAAGTCATTCCTTCAAGGGGGGAAAAGGACAACTTGAAAGACACAAAAAATGAAGTTCTTCCACAAAAGCAATGACTCATCGGAGAAAAGCTGGGCTAAAAGGCCTGGGCCTTGGGGCACCTGGCAGGCTCAGTTGGTGGAGCATGAAATTCTTGATCTTGGGGTTGTGAGCTAGGGCCCCACAGTGGATACAAAGATTGCTTAAAAATAAAATCTTTAAAAAAGAAAAGGCCAGGCCCTTGAGTATCAAGGTTTTAAGTTCTACTAGAATAGTGACTGGTTTTCTGTTCTTTTGTTTTAAATAACAGAAACCTTTTGTTAAATAAAGCTTTACTGGTTTCTTATAACCCACAGAAAAAGAAAATTAGAGTTGTCCCGGTTAAAGAGGCTGCAGACTGGGACGCCTGGGTGGTTCAGCGGTTGAGCATCTGCTTTCGGCTCTGGGTGTGATCCCGGATCTGTGATCGAGTCCCACATTGGGTTCCCTGTGAAGACCCTGCTTCTCCCTCTGCCTAAGTCTTTGCCCCTCTCTCTGTGTCTCTCATGAATAAATAAAATCTTAAAAAAAAAAAAACTTAAAATTTAAAAAAAGGATACTCAGATTGAGTTAGAACAAATGAAAATCTTCTTTTACACTATTAAGATTTATAGCCTTTGAAAAAGTTACTAAAACTATTACTTGAAAATTCCATCACATGTTGCTACAAGTTGTTTTATTTTTTCTACAATCTTCATCTTTCCTAATCAGAAATCCCACAGACTTACCTAGACCTTCCAGAGGAGTTGGTCCGATGTTTACCATTTCCTACAAAGTCAGGAGAGCCTCCATGCAGAATGGCAGATATTCTGTGTCCTCCTGCGTCTTTCCTAGAGTTTTGATCTTGGTTTGACAAACTAGCAATTTCCAAACGCTCCTAGAAAAAAGAAAAGTAAAATCGACTTTAGATACAAGTCATAAATAGGAGACAATCATGGTACATAGTCATTAGTTCAGTAGACAGTGCAAATTTTATTTAAGCTGAATGCTTTCAAGTGTAAGAATATTAAGTTGAACTTAACTTTTAAAAATTCAATGTCCAGAGTGTATTGGTTCAAGAACTGAAGACCAGGTTATAATATCACCAGAATGTGAATTTTCTAAGTGAAAATGCTTAGAATCTTACAAGATGGGTGAAAAGTTGAGAGAAGAGCAAGAGAGGGAGAAGACAAGGAAGAGGCATGCAAAGAGAGAATAAAGTGGCTGGTGGGCAGGTGGGATCAGAGGAAGACAGGGCTGATGGAAACAGACCTATCACCTTACATTTATGTATGGCTCTGTACTTTCAGAAAGGGCAGGACATTTATCTGTGGGAATAACTACATGAGAAGGAAGGGAGGAGTCATCGGTCTCATGTTAAGGGATGAGGAAAATGAGTCACATTTAGTGTCACCTGTCAAGGTCAAAGAGCTGGCAGTAAAAACACCAAAGCTTTAAAGCCAGGTGCTGCTTACTTGGACATCACAATGTACACCCACCCATTACCCCTTAGAGTTAAATGCCATAATTCTACAAAAGAGTATAATTTTCTCTAGAGTTCTCCAAACATGTGTAACTGTTATGTTGACCGTGTTGAACTCAAGAAAAATATAGGAAAAAGGACTTCATCCTTTTCTACCACTGCTTTTTAAATCTGCCTTGTTGGATCCTTCTTTTCCATTACTGAATACAATCTCCAGTGGATCAGTATGATTTCCATTCACTCTTCAGTTGAACAAATAGTTGTATTTTCCAAGTACATACTAAGAATTCCAGTCTGGGTTAATTATCAAAGCTTCAATCTTTGCTCTCCCTTGACTCATTTTTTTTGATAAACTACTGTCATTCCATCAGTCCGCGTCATCTTCAAATAACATACAACTCTAAATCTTGCTTCCATTTTGGGCAATCTGGAATACACAATGAGTGATATTTGGGGGATTTTTTTTTTTTTAGTGCTTCATTTCCAGCTTTACTACTGATAGTAACACTGATATTTGGGGGATTTTTTTTTTTTTTAGTGCTTCATTTCCAGCTTTACTACTGATAGTAACACAGGAGAGGAAAACATTATCAATGGAAATAGAAACATTTTATGTTTCACAAAACGTAGACTATTTTAGTGTGGTACAATTGATAGTATACCTGCTTAGCCATTTCTTTTCTTTTTCTCTCTTCTTTTATCTCTTCTTTCCTTCTTTGAATCTCATGAAGGATTTCACGTTGCTGAAATGAATGATAGTGCATCAAATACCATTCTCTGAAACCCAGACAACATATAAATTCCACAATCACAAAACTCTTTTGCATTTCTTTTTAAGATTTTATTTAAGGGAGAGAGAGAAAGAGCACGAGCAGGGGGGAGGAGCAGAGGGAGAGAATGACAAATACACTCCATCACCAGGGTATGACCTGAGCCAAAATCAAGTGAATGACCTGAGCCAAAATCAAGAGTCAGACACCCAACTCACTGAGACACCCAGGCGTCCCCCCAAAACATCTTTTGCATTTCTATGATTCAAGCCCTCCTTCCTAAAAGGCCTGAATACACAGAACCTTATAACAAGCTGTCGTTATGTCGGTTTCATCCATTCTTATACAACTGTTGCTTCCTTTTAGTAAGGTTTCAGGACTGTATGGGGAGGGGTGCTGACTTCCCACTCTTCATGAGAAACATTCACTACAGCACCACCATGGGTCTCCCTGTTATCCCCACCTTGTCCTAGCCCCTCGTCTTTAATATCTGCCTATCTGTAGAGAACATGTACTAGTGTCTGCTCTCTGCTAGAGCGTGGGACCAACTTGGTGCAAGCAGGCTGAGCTGTCCCTGGTGCCTGGACCTGGGGTGGCAGTGGCTCAGGAACCATCCCTGCACGCCACGGACTTTTTGCTATTTTCTCTACTTTTCTCAACATTAAATTTTCTAATTTCCATCCATTTGACTCACGTAACTATTGTTCAAGTGGGACTGAATTTAGGTTGGGAAAAATAGTATGTTGTTTTTTTTTAATGAGTCCCCTAAAATTCCAGGTTGTAGATATATAAACCATTAAGAGACTCACCAAAAACTGCATTAGCAATAATACAAAATGAAAAAAATACTCAAAACTTGAAGGTAAACAGTATACCAAAACAAGATTGATAGCTAAATAATCACTAATAAAAATGTGCCTTCCTAGAAACAATGAAAATATGGAACTTTAAACCCTACAGAATAACAAGGCTACACAATTAAATAGGAGATGAGAGTAACAAATGAATGGCAGCCACAAAGAGGTGATAACATGAGCACGAGATGAACAAAATGAAGGGGGAGAAAAAGCAGAACCAAGAGCAAGAACCTAAGAAAAGCATAGTAACAAAACCCTGGAAATAACTGCAAGAACAGTAACATCTGGGACGCCTGGGTGGCTCAGCGGTTGAGTGTCTGCCCTTGGCTCAGGGCGTGATCCTGGGGTCTCGGAATCGAGTCCCACATTGGGCTCCCTGCATAGAGCCTGCTTCTCCCTCTGCCTGTGTCTCTGCCTCTTTCTCTCTCTCTGTTCTTCATGAATAAATAAAATCTTTAAAATTAATTAATTAATTTAAAAAAAAAGAGGGAAGAAAATAGCCTGTAAAGCTCAGTGAATTGTTGCACAGCTTTACAAGCTCAGAAAGACCACAAAAAGTTTGGTTAAATGAACTTTTTTCTTTTCTTTTCTTTTCTTTAAAGATCAGGACTAGACTGAGGGTTCTAGAAGCAGCTAGATATTTGTTGGGGAGGAAACCACTTGTCACATTTCTGTTTCTCTTTGGGCTCCTCTCATACACATCTCCAGTTCTTTTTTTTTTTTTTTTCTTTCACATCTCCAGTTCTTGAAGCAAATGCTGAGCAAAGCCTAAACAAAGATGAGCATGTAGGCAGAGATGGGAGTAAACACTGATAGCAACTCCCGGTCGCCTGGGCCCGGTTACCAGTAGTGACAAGGCTCTCACCTCCTGCTCTACCTTCTGCTTGGCCTCCAACAGCCTCCGCTGCTCCTCCTGAGCCCGCCTTTCCAGCATTTCCTCATGGAAAGACTTGGGAGGGGGCTTGTTATGCTCGCTGAGAAATGATTGCACATGGTCGGCCAGTTCAAATATCATCACCTTAACGCATAGAGAAAAATCAACCACAAACGGTCAAATAATGGGAAGATAGAACCCAAGCATGCAGGCAATCAGGGGCCCACTTAAAACGATGATGGTCACTTTGATATGACACGTTCTAAATTAGGTGTATGATGCAATCACAGCAGGAAAAAGCTTTTCCAGGCTCACCTCATTGTGCTGCTATCAAGACAAATCACTATCTAGATAAAAAGCTTCACTTCTCTTTTACAGTCCTATTCAACTTTATTGGCATTTTCTGTATAATAAATCTGATAAAATTTTTCTGTACAAATAAATCTGATAAAATATTTAACAATGCATAAAAATAAAGTACTTTCCCAGCTAGAGAACCTGTCTACAGAACAATAGCAGAAGGATCACTGCCAGCATGAGGGCTTTCATCCGTCTATACAACATGCTAAAAACATTCTTTGGGGTATGGAGGCAAATACTTAAAACGCCACATCATCTCCCTGCTAGTAACCGGCCAGTGGGAGGCTGATCAATACTAAGAAAGCATTCCATTTCCACTTAGGGAAGCATTCATGGATACTACCAGAAGAAAAAATATCCCCCTCTCAGACATTGTTTATGTGAACATAGGAGCCACTTTCTCATACCTCCAGGAGTCATGAATCATATCTGGGCTGGTAAAATCATAAAACCAGGGTTTCTGGGACCCTACACTGATTCACTGTCCCAACCCCAAAGAGGTCAAGAGTGTCAAGCTTTTTCTGCAGATGATGACCACCACTCTGACATTTCTTTTTCCTCAATTACAGTAGAGCAGTTTAAAAAGTCTTCTTTCTTAAGGGACTTAAAAGAGGGTGAAAACTAGTAATAAAAGTCACTGTACACAATATAAAGTTAGTTCACATGGTGTTCATTCACCTTTCTCTCAAGGAGTAAATGCCAGGACACCAGTTATTACTGGGGGAAGTATTTTTTTTTTTTTTTTATAACAGAGGCTGTGGCATTCACTGGATATACTTCACTTTACAGTTGACAAATACTAATCTAGAGTCTAAGAGGCATATTCTTCGAAGAAAAGCTCTTTTAGGGACGCCTGGGTGGCTCACCCTGAGCGCCTGCCTTCAGCTCAGGACGTAATCCTGGAGCCCTGGGGTCAAGTCCCACATCGGGCTCCTTGCATGGAGCCTGTTTCTCCCTTTGCCTGTGTCTCTGTCTCTCTCTCTCTGTCTTATGAATAAATAAATAAAGTGTTAAAAAAAAAAAAAAGAAACGAAAAGAAAAGCTCTTTTAAGAAAAGCTGGGGAAAGTAGGCAGTTTCTATTGTATCAAAGAGAAACCACTTGTACACCAGAAAGGGGCAGGAGCCAAGCAGTGGAGAGTTTTTCTTTTGCCAATCAATTTAAATTACTAGCATTTTCTGAACAAAGACTAGATGAAAATAAGAACTACTGTCCAAACTGGCTCTCATTCCTCTCTCCCTATATGTCTATACAGCTGTTTGTCCTGCTCCTCTCAGTGCTCTACTCAAATGTGACTTCATCAGAAGCTTCTCCAGACCTATTTATTTATAACAGACATTCCACTATCACCTCACAATACATATCTGTATTAGCCAGCGTTTTCCAAAGAAGCAGAACTAATAGGATCGGGTGTGTGTGTGTGTATGTGTGTGTGTACAGCAAGAGACTGATTTTAAGAAATTGACTTATGCAATTATTATATTATTAATATTATTATTATTAATTATTATAGAGGCTGAAAAGTCCAAAATCTGTGGGGTAGCAACAGACAGGAGACCCAGCAGGTATGGTCTGACCTGCTTCCAGAAAAGCCAATCTTTTTCAGTTAAAGCCCTCAAGCAATTGGATGAGGCCCACCCATATTACGGAGGGTAATTTACTTAACTCAAAGTCTACTGATTAAAATGTTAACCTCGGGCAGCCCTGGTGGCACAGCGGTTTAGTGCCGCCTGCAGCCTAGGGCACGATCCTGGAGACCCTGGATCGAGTCCCACGTCAGGCTCTCTGCATGGAGTCTGCTTCTGCCTCTCTCTCTCTCTCTCTCTGTGTCTCTATGAATAAATAATCTTTTAAATAAATAAAATGTTAACCTCAAAAAAAATTTTCAAATAAATAAATGTTAACCTCATCTAAAAAATACCTTCAGAGAAACATCTAGAACAATGTTTGTCCAAATATCTGGGTACCGTGGTCTAGCGAGGTTGACACATAAAATCAACCATCACAACACCTATTAGAACACAGCTGAAATAAAAAAGTAATAACACCAAACGCTGGCAAGGATGCGGAGAACCCGCATCACTCACATATTGCTGGTGGGAATGTAAGGTGGTACAGCCAATCTGGAAAACTCTGACAGCTGCTTACAAAATTGAAATGCAGCTTTCATATATCGACACTTGCACTCCTGGGCATTTAACCCAGAAAAAGGAAAATTTATGCTCACATAAAAACCTATAGATAAATGTTTACAACAACTTTTTTCTTCTTTTTTTTTTAAGAGAGAATGCGAGGGGAGCATTCTCAGTGGCTCAGTGGTTGAGCATCTGCCTTCAGCTCAGGTTGTGATCCTGGAGTTCTGTGATCGAGTCCCACATCGGGCTCCCCACAGGGAAACTATTTCTCTCACTGCCAATGTCTCTGCCTTTCCCTCTGCATCTCTCATGAATAAATAAATAATCTTTAAAAAAAAAAATCAGGTTTGGATGTCCAGTCCAAAGTGTGCCAACATACGGCCAGGTTCACCTGCTCTTTTTTTTTTAAGATTTTTATTTAATGGACTCACATGGCCTCTTCTCAGAAAAATTCTGAAGAACCAAGGTACCATCCATAGATACTCTACAATGCATCATTCATAAAAACTGTACATCAACAATGTTCTCCTTTGTACATATCAATAGGAAACAAACCATTCTAGTCAAAATTGGGTTTGAGCTGCCACAGAAAAGCCTCCACGCCTAAAAAAAGCAGAAAGGCAAACACTGGTGACTGGGATGAGATTTCTACCATCCTCTTACAACTCCAGTTGAATGTATCTTACCTCTCCACAATGTTTTTTGGCCACTTTCTCTAGGTGGGATTTTAATAAATGAACACTTTCATTTGATAGACCTTTGGCATTCTTTAACTCTATTTCAGGGACTCTGGAAAAGAAAGAGAAAAAAAGAGTTACTCCAAAAAGTATGACCTCTTTGCATTAATATTTGCTAGATCCAAGCAATGAGCACAGGGGTTTCATATAGGCCACTATGCCCCCAACAAAATCTTCCTTCATCTCAAAGGACTGCAACTGTATGCCAGCAACTCTGTGGACACAGTGCTAGATGTGGGAGTCACCTGTGGCCCATAGGGGAGAATTACCAGACTTACTGGGCTGATCCCAGCTTGCCCCACAACATCAATTAACCCAGCTCTTACAGTCCAAGTACCCAGGGCTTACTTGTGTGCTCCAGCATAAAGCAAGACAAGTACAACCAGGCCTGGTGAAGCCTCAGATGGGGCACCAGGGTAGCTCAGTCAGTAGAGCATGTGACTCTTCTTCTCAGGGTTGTGGGTTCCAACCCCATTCCGGGTGTAGAGATTACTTAAAAAATAAAACCTTAGGGCACCTGCGTGGCTCATTGGTTGAGTGTCTGCCTTCGGCTCAGGTTGTGATCCCAAGGTCCTGGGATGGAGTCCTACATCGGGCTCCCTGCATGGAGCCTGCTTCTCCCTCTGCCTGTGTCTCTGCCTTTGGGTCTCTCATGAATAAATAAATAAAATCTTAAAAAATAAAATAAAATATTAAAGAAAAGAAAAACAATGAAGTCTCGGTGATCCATCAAGCATTCCTACCATGTGCCGTGTCACATCACTCCTTCTGATGTCAATGAGGTGGAAATGCTTGCTCATTTACTCATATCTGAATCTACCTGGGTGTGCTCTGCACACTCTTTGCTATTACAAAGATGCGGAGCACGCTCCTCTTCTCCCTGCCCAGCATGACAGATACTCAACACTCTATTCAAGGTACACAGCCACTCCTCAGGTTCCCCTTGATTCCCAATCAACAGATATCCAGTAACAATTCATCAAATAGGCTTCATTTAATTTTACCGAAGAGATGAGGACTCTACTTCCTACCAAGCATTTCTGAGTAACTGATGGTATTTTTAACTTCAAAAAGGCTTCATGATTCTCATCTCTACATTCTTTCAATGCTTTGGTGTGGTAGATTGCTGCTATCATATCTACTTGGATAGATGGAAATCTGACAGAAAGAAATTTATATATATGAGAAAAATAACAGAAATGCCATACAGGCCTGAGTCTGTGTATGGTCCATCTAACCCAGGACTCTCAGAGGCATTAAGGACTATTTTGCAGAAAAAGAAAGTTTTCCTGTACCATGTCATCTCAAAGAATAAGAATGCTCCCCCAAGTCAAGCTTACGTAATTTATCTTTAATTTAGTAGTCATTATATAGCAAGATTAACAGAATGATGAAAAATCCACCTATAACAAATACTAATTAAACTAAAAACTGTTCAGCTTTCTCTATATGCCATTGTCACAAAATTTATAATTTTATATGCTGATATTATAATGTCTACTTTGTAGCTTTTTACAACAATTTCCATGTTTTTTTTTTTAATCATCCTATAATATTTTTATCAGTTGGACACATCAGGGTTTATCAGAATGGTCCTCCAGCAAAGTGGTTTCCAACCAGGGATGACTGTGCCCCCAGGGGTTACCTGTCAACGTGGAGGGCAGAGAAACTCCACCCCTCTTACCACATTCTTTCCCTTCACAGCTCTTTATTTGGCTGGTCCTTTATTTACCTTTATAGTAAGCTGGTAATTTTAAGTAAAGTGCCTTCCTGAGTTCTAGAAGCTATTTTAACACACGATCAAACCTGAGGAGGGGGTTGCAGGAGCCCACATATTCTTGGCCAAAAATAGGTGATCAAAAATAGTGGTATGTGCAACTGGCATTTGAAATTTTGTGGAAATGAGCCCTTAACCCAGGAGATCTGCAGTAACTATGGCTAGTTTGTGTCAAAACTTGACTGAATTGCTAGACCTCCAGCTGTCAGGATAGATACCATCTATTTGGTGTCGGGGGAAAAATAAAACCTAAAGAGGTGCTGCCTTATTTTTCTTCCATAAATTTAATTACCCTTTAACCAATTCATTAATTAAATACTCAATACCTACTACATCTATTCTAAACACAGTGTTAGAGGCAAAGGAGGGTCACTAAATTCAAGAAACTCATCTTAAGGGGCACCTGGAGATGGGTTAGTCAGTTAAGCATCTGCCTTTGGCTCAGGTCATGATCCCAGAGTCCTGGGATCGAGCCCCCACATCTCACTGGGCTCCTTGTCCAGCGGAGAGTCTGATTCTCACTCTGCCCTTCACCCAACTTGTGCTCTCTCTCAAATAAATATATATAATTTTTTTTAATTAAAAAAAAAAAAGAAACTCATCTTGCCAATCTGTATTTTCATCTTCTTTATCAGCTGTTAGGATAACAAATTCCAGGACAGCCCAGGTGGCTCAGTGGTTTAGCGCCGCCTTCAGCCCAGGGTGTGATCCTGGAGACCTGGGATCCAGTCCCATGTCAGGCTCCCTGCATGGAGCCTGCTTCTCCCTCTGCTTGTGTCTCTGCCTCTTTCTCTCTCTCTCTCTCTCTGTGTCTCATGAATAAATAAATAAATAAATAATATTTTTAAAAAAAAAGGATAACAAATTCCATAGATTTCCCACCCACTCTATAAGGCACAGCTTCCTTTTATTTGCCACTTTTCTTTGCTGGTTCCCTGCACAATTAGCTCAAATGACAAAGTATCATTCAAGCCCATCTGCCTTTCCACGTGGAATGTCTGAGGAAAGATTACATGGGATATACATATACTTCAAAAAGACAATACTTGAAAAAAGAAAAAAGATACAATACTTGAGCAGTCCCGGTGGCTTAGAGGTTTAGCGCCACCATCAGCCCGGGGTGTGATCCTGGAGACCTGGGATCGAGTCCCACATCAGGCTCTTTGCATGGAGCCTGCTTCTCCCTCTGCCTGTGTTCTCTGCCTCTATCTCTTTGTGTGTGTGTCTCTCATGAATAAATAAAATCTTAAAAATTAAAAAAAAAAAGACAATACTTGACTACTGAATGCCAATGCTTTTGTTCTCCCAGTGGTTCTTATCCAGAGGCAGTACACTTTAAGGGGGAATGTGAAAATATGTGGGGTTTTATGGTTGTTTCAGATTGGAGAGCACTCCTAACATCACTGGCTAGGGCTAGGGATGCCACACACCATGCATCATGGGCCAGTCCTGCACATGGAGACCCATCAGCAGTGCCCCTGGTAATAGTGTAACTCAAATCTCCTTTTTCCTCTAGGAAATAAAACTCCCATTAGCACCAAAAAGCTACTTTGAGTCTTAATGCCAACCGTAGCTTAAAACTAAGTATACAAGGGGACCTGGGTGGCTCAGTTGATTAAGTCTTGATCTCAGTTCAAGTCTTGATCTCAGCGTTGTGAGATTGAGCCCCAAGTCAGGCTCTATACTGGGTGGGAAGTCTCCTTAAGGATTCTCTCCTTCTGCCCCTCCCACCCCCTAGAAAAAATAGTAAGACACAACTAAGAATACAAAGACTCTACTAGTCCTCATGCCTTTATCCTTTTCTTCTAAGACTGTTCCTCTTCCCAATTTAGGAGGAATTAAACATAAATTAGCACAGTAGAGAACGCAAACAATTAGTCATGGAGTAAATATCAGTATCTGAAGTGACTATTTTATAACTATAAGCAGACTTAACATGAGACAGATTCATGAAAATGCCTACTCTGATGTAGTTTCAATGAAATACAGGTTATAGGAAATGAAATTTTAAGTGGAATGGAGGCAGGAAAGAGAAAATATCATTAATGTCAATCTGTTTCTATATTGTCAAAACAGAGAAGTGCTATCACATGGGAGGTATTTATAAATGTACTCACACATCTGGGTAGGTTGGTGGGCATTTAACCCTCAAATCCACTTGCACGTATACTTCTTCACCAGTTAGGCCCTGGGGGTACAGAACTAAGTTGATTTCAGGGGGCTCGTTGACCTAAAAGAATAGAAGAAAATCTTTTTCCTTTTCTTGGCTGAAGAGCCAATTATTAGTAATTAGTATAAAGAGCAGGGACTCCTGGGTGGCTCAGCAGTTGAGCGTCCATCTGCCTTTGGCTCAAGGCGGGATCCTGGAGTCCCAGGATCAAGTCCCGCATTGGGCTTCCTGCAGGGAGCCTGCTTCTCCCTCTGCCTGTGTCTCTGCCTCTCTCTTTCTCTCTGTGTCTCTCATGAATGAATGAATGAATGAATGAATAAATAAATAAATAAATAAATAAATAAAATAAACAGCACCTTAACTTGAATGTTCTACTTTTTAAATATTATGTGTAATTTCATTTTTATACAGGTATTTGGTCTTCTCCTAAAGCACAGTTTAAAAACAAAACCTGCACCACAGAGACTGCATTTTCTTTTTCAAAGTTATCTAAGGAGTAAAGCAACGCCTTCCATGGGCTTCTATTCATTCACACATTACAGAGTACAAATCACATGATTATGCATGGGTACCCTTCTAGAGGCTAGGAGTACAGGGGTCAATTTGGACAGACATGGGCCCAACGAGCCAATACGCATGAGAAGAAAAGTGAATATTCTCCATAATGAGTGCTGTAAAAAAAAAAAAAATCAGGCAGAGTAATGGGATAGAGCATTGAGGGAGATTTTCAGACAGGTAGGTCAGGGGCCTTTTAAGCAAGGGAAACTTCAGTTGAAATTTGAATGCTGAGACAATGACAAGTGAAAGGCTTAACATGGAAATCTAATGCCTCTTCTAAATATGAATATGCTCTCACTCAACTGCTTTTCACCAAACATCTAAATACCCCATTTATTGTTCTTCAATTTATCAAATATGCTTTTTCCAAAAGGGGCTTGAGGCAGTTTATATTACAATCTATATTATACATCATGAGAGAAGAGAGGCTGAGAGAAGAGGTATTTACTCTCATGGTCCAGGCATTTTACCAGCTCTGCAAGGGTGGGTACTGTGGCTATTTTACAGATAAAGTAGCTCAAGCTCAGAAAGTTTCAGTTTCTGGGCATCTGGGTGGCTCAGTCAGTTAAGTGTCTGCCTTCGGTTCTGGTCATGATCCCAGAGTCCTGGGAGCATCGGGCTCCCTGCTTAGGGCTCCCTGCTTAGCGTGGAGCCTGCTTCTCCCTCTCCCTCTCCCTCTGCCTCTGCCCCTCCCCCTGCTTGTGCGCTCTCTCACGCGCGCGCTCTCTCTCTCTCAAATAGATAAATATAATCTTAAAAAAAAAAAGTTTCAGTTTCTTGCCCACAGATCCAACTTTGACTCCCAAACCTGTGTTTTCCTCATCAGCCACTCCATTGTTAGTGCCCATCCTGAGCTGCTGTGACTGAGCCTTGACTTTGTCTTAGAACATCCAGGTAGCCAAAAGGGAAATGTGACACTATTTTACATTTCACATAAAAGGAAAAGACAAAAATTTTCAGGTTGTGATCCTGGGGTCCTGGGATTGAGTCCCACATCAGGCTCCCCACAGGAAGCCTGCTTCTCCCTCTGCCTGTGCCTGCCGTTCTCTCTGTGTCTCTCATGAATAAGTAAATAAATCTTTAAAAAATAAAACTTTTTAGTGGAAAAAAAAATACTGAGCAATACTAAATTCTAACAGGTATTTACAACACACAGTACCCTGAATTATACAAAAAACAAAATTCTCATCAACAATGTATATAAAATACATCAGCTCAGTCTTCAAGTGGCTTTACCCTAATGCTTGCTCAAAGCAGTGTGGTAAGGCCCGAGGAAAGCACAATTCTGTGCACATGGTTAAATGTCCCATGAGCAAGAGGCCTTCCACACACTCATTCACGCTTATGCCTCATACCCACAGTGACGGCCCAGGGCTGTCAGGAACTGTGAGCACAGTGAAGTGAGAAAATAGACGTGGTTCCAGCTGCCATGGAACTTCCAGTCTAAACAATAAACACATAAGTTTGAGTTCAAAAAGTGCTACTGAGTGCGCCTGAGTGGCTTGATCAGTGGAGTGGCTCATGTCATGATCCCAGGGTCCCGGGTTGGTCCTGGGATGGAGCCCCGCATCAGTCTTCCTGCTGGGCAGGGAGCCTGCTTTTCCCTCTCACTCTGCCTGCCACTCCCCCTGCTTGTGTGTCCTCTGTCTCTCTCTGTCAAATAAATAAATAGAATCAAAAAGAAAGAAAGAAAGAAAGAAAGAAAGAAAGAAAGAAAGAAAGAAAGAAAGAAAGAAAGAAAGAAAGAAAGAAAAAGAAGGAGAGAGTGCTACTAAAGAGAAGACATGACGGCCTCAAAGGGTAATGGAACTGGCCGCCGCAAAATATGCCACTTTGTTATAAGGATTATTTTGAGTTAAGAGTACTTGAAAATACAAGGTGCAAAAAGGGCCTTCTGACCTCCTTTTCCTTCTTGAAAACAGGACATAAAACACCCATGTGAAAGATGCACTCCTACACTGGACCAAACAAAAGAATCTTTTTATCAAAGACAGAACATTGAGGCCAAGACAATTCTGTACAAACAGAACTTGGTATAATAACCCTTACCTTTCCCTCAGCCTCCCCATATGTTAGCTACTTTTCCACAATTGCCTCTCTTTGTTCAACCCACCATGTAAACAGTTAGACCTGGCCATTTATTTGGGTCTTCATTTCCCTATGGGGTTTCCAATGTGCAGGTAAAAATCTGTATGCTATTCTCCTTGTGTCATTTTAATTCTCAGATCTGGCCAGAGACTCTAAGAGGACAAAAATCAAGTCCTATCTCCCTCATTAGAGAATGAGTGGCAGTGGGGGTGAGGGAACATACTTGGACTTGGTCATCAGGAAGACCTATCTGCATACACTGTGCTTAAGCTGAGACAAGCCAGAGAGACAGAGCATTCCAGAGGAGGGAAGAGCATGTAAAGAGGTTCAAAGTGGGGCACCGGGGTGGCTCAGTGGTTGAGCATCTGCCTTTGGCTCAGGTCCTGATCCCAGGGTCCTGGGATCAAGTCCCACATCAGGCTCCCTGCAGGGATCCTGCTTCTCCCTCTGCTTATGTCTCTGCCTCTCTGTGTGTGTGTCTCTCATAAGTAAATAAAATCTTAAAAAAAAATTATCTTATACTAATACACCTTCACTTATAAATTATTCTGCCTTTCATTTTCTCACTTGATTGCCCACCAGTGAAAACTTTTTTTCACAACAACCAATGATTGGGCACCTGGGTGGCTCAGTGGATTGAGTGACCAATTCTTGATTTCAGCTCAGGTCATGATCTCAGGGTCCTGGGATACAGCCCTGCAGAGAATATACTTGAGAAATTTCTCTGCCTCTTTCTGCCCCTCCCCATGTACACAGGCATTCATGCTCTTTCTCTCTCTCTCTAATAAATAAATCTTAAAAGAAAAAAAAAACACAATGAGAATACTGTTCTAAATCCACAATGAGGGGCGCCTGGGTGGCTCAGTGACTGAGTGTCTGCCTTCGGCCCAGGGAGTGATCCCAGGGTCCCAAGATCAAGTCCCACATTGGGCTCCCATCCAGGAGCCTACCTCTCCCTCTGCCTGTGTCTCTGTCTCTCATGAATAAATAAAACTTAAAAAAAAAATCCACAATGACTGAGAGTTTAAAAGAGGCAAAAGGAAGAAGGTAAGAAAATAAGGAGAAACACCATACGGATGGTTTTCTTCAAGTAAAATCCTAAAGACCAGATAAGCCCAATGTGAAAAAGATTAAGTCAAAATGTTACCATGCAAGCACACCACCCAGGAATTAATAGCAGATCTTTTGTTTTTGAAGCAACAAAGTTAAAGCAATCCTCTATAGCTGCAAGGAGCAAGAATTATGTAAATGTAAGTAGACCTAAAATTATCAGCAAGCCATGTAAGTAGAAACCATGAATATAAACCAAAGCATAGGTCTTTCCTGGGCCCAGGATGGAAATGAACTTGTAACAGATAACCTACACCACACGAAATGAGTTATCCCTGCAGTGGCAAGACAGCAAATCTGGTTTAACATTCCCTTTTGTCCTTATGTGGGAAGTGCAAAGCGCATCTGAACGAAAGCAGCTCTCACGGGAAATGGTACAGAAAGCCCTTCACTCTATGTCCAGAGTCATGGGAACAGGAAGCAAGCTTCAGAAAAAAGAGGCCTATTGGAGGATTACACATTTTGAATATATTCTTTACTAAAGAGAATGCTTAATAAAACACAATGAATCCAGTTAAGGATTGCTGACAAGCCTCAGGGAAGGAGGCCTCTAGGCCAGTCTGGAGACCATGAGGGGGAACGTCAGTATGCAGACCACTGGAGTCTAAAGAAGTAGTAAGCAGCCTGCAACCACTCCTGGGCTGGACCAGCCATGTAACACGGTACAGGTCTAGCGTTCCAGTTATTTCCACAACATATCAACACTAGCAGGGCAGAAGTGACAATAGTAACAAGCCCAGGTCATGCCAAAAGAACCTTCGAGGAAAGGAGTTTTGAAGCAAAGTGAAGAGATTCCTGGATGCATAAAGGTTTCAGCTTTAAGAGATGCATAAGCCAGTGATGGTAACTTGGATGAAGGAACAAAGCCAAGGCCGCTGAGGAATGACAAGAACCTAACAACTGAGCAGCCCCGGTGGCGCAGCGGTTTGGCGCCGCCCGCAGCCCGGGGCGTGATCCTGGAGACCGGGGATCGAGTCCCACATCGGGCTCCCTGCATGGAGCCTGCTTGTGTCTCTGCCTCTCTCTCTCTGTGTTGCTCATGAATAAATAAATAAAATTAAAAAAAAAAAAAGAACCTAACAACTTGTCTGGATCTGAGTATGAAGGGAAAGTAACTCAAAGAACAGCACTCTGAAGAACTAGGTGTCTGCTACTTTCAAGGCCTTTATTTTTGGCTGACAATTTAACTGGACCAGAATGATATTCTTCTCCATAGTGTATAAACTTCAGGATATTTCTCAGCAGACTATTAATTATTCCCCCAATATCCATTCTCCCCTTACTTCTTGGCAACAGAACCCGAT